CACACCGGTGTGACCACACCAACACACCGGTGTGACGCTCCAACAAACCAGTGTGACCACTCCAACACACTGGTGTGACGCTCCAACACACCGGTGTGACGCTCCAACACACCAGTGTGACGCTCCAACACACCGGTGTGACGCTTCAACACACCGGTGTGACCACTCCAACACACCGGTGTGACGCTCCAACACACCGGTGTGACCACTCCAACACACCGGTGTGACCACTTCAACACACTGGTGTGACGCTCCAACACACCGGTGTGACCACTTCAACACACCGGTGTGACGCTCCAACACACCGGTGTGACCCTCCAACACACTGGTGTGAGCGCTTCAACACATCGGTGTGACGCTCCAACACACCGGTGTGATGCTCCAACACACCGGTGTGACCACTTCAACACACCGGTGTGACCACTTCAAACACACCGGTGTGACCACTCCAACACACCGGTGTGACGCTCCAACACACCGGTGTGACCCTCCAACACACCGGTGTGACGCTCCAACACACCGGTGTGACGCTCCAACACACCGGTGTGACGCTCCAACACACCGGTGTGACCACTTCAACATACCGGTGTGACCACTTCAACACACCGGTGTGACCACTCCAACACACCGGTGTGACGCTCCAACACACCGGTGTGACGCTCCAACACACCGGTGTGACGCTCCAACACACCGGTGTGACCACTTCAACACACCGGTGTGACCACTTCAACACACCGGTGTGACGCTCCAACACACCGGTGTGACCCTCCAACACACCGGTGTGACCCTCCAACACACCGGTGTGACGCTCCAACACACCGGTGTGACCACTTCAACACACCGGTGTGACCACTCCAACACACCGGTGTGACGCTCCAACACACCGATGTGACCACTCCAACACACCGGTGTGACCACTCCAACACACCGGTGTGACCCTCCAACACACCGGTGTGACTACTCCAACACACCGGTGTGACCACTCTAACACACCGGTGTGACGCTCCAACACACCGGTGTGACCACTCCAACACACCGGTGTGACGCTCCAACACACAGGTGTGACACTCCAACACCCCGGTGTGACCACTCCAACACACCGGTGTGACGCTCCAACACACCGGTGTGACGCTCCAACACACCGGTGTGACCCTCCAACACACCGGTGTGACCACTTCAACACACCGGTGTGACCACTTCAACACACCGGTGTGACCACTCCAACACACCGGTGTGACGCTCCAACATACCGGTGTGACGCTCCAACACACCGGTGTGACCCTCCAACACACCGGTGTGACCACTTCAACACACCGGTGTGACGCTCCAACACACTGGTGTGACCCACCAACACACCGGTGTGACCCTCCAACACACCGGTGTGACCACTTCAACACACCGGTGTGACCACTCCAACACACCGGTGTGACGCTCCAACACACCGGTGTGACCCTCCAACACACCGGTGTGACCACTCCAACACACCGGTGTGACCACTCCAACACACCGGTGTGACGCTCCAACACACCGGTGTGACCACTTCAACACACCGGTGTGACCACTCCAACACACCGGTGTGACGCTCCAACACACCGGTGTGACCCTCCAACACACCGGTGTGACCACTCCAACACACCGGTGTGACCACTCCAACACACCGGTGTGACCACTTCAACACACCGGTGTGACCACTTCAACACACCGGTGTGACCCTCCAACACACCGGTGTGACGCTCCAACACACCGATGTAACCCAAATAAAACCTCTATGATGGAAATCTTCGGGCAAAATGCCTTGAAAAGGCTGGACACGCGGTAAATGTGGGTATCCTCCGGGTCCTTTGGTGTCCTCCCACGGCTATGAACGCTCTTCGATGGAGTTGGCCACACACCCCCAACTTAGGACTACAGAATGGGACCTTTTTTTGCCGGGATCACAGTTATGAAAAAATTTGAATGGGTCTTTGCCCTCTCTGGCAAAGGAAGAGGCAGTGTTAAGATGTTCAAACACCAAATAGAAAACCAGTTGCAAGGAATCAAGTCTGCCTTAACCACACGTGCTTGCGGGCAACATGCCGAACAAACATGCTCTGATAATTTATGGCATTGCCTTTGAAACTCATTGGCCTCCACCAAAGACTGCCTTCCTTAGTGTCTAGTCTCGCAAGCGTATAAATAAATAAATGGTGCTCACCATGTACAATCAATGAATCAATAAATGTTCATTCGTCGCACGGAAAGTCCCTTGTAGCCGGTTGCCCAGCTCGTTTGCCAGAGAGATCCGTGGTGCATCAAAACAACGATCAATGCGATCCATACGGAGGAGCGGGCAACAGCGGAACGCGCGCCACAGGCGCGGGTAGTAACGGAGCGATCTGTCGGAGCTGTCGGGACTCGTGTGCGCGTGTCGTACGGGTGAGCCTCGACTGCCATCGTCTAGCGGCACCACCGCTCTCACTTGTTGAGTGCTTCGTACACAAACGTGCAAAAAAATGTGCTGCTGCTGCTTAGCAAACTAAGATAACCTTGGCCTATCACTTCAAAGGGAGGTGGGCAAGAGATGGAGAGGAGAAGCGGGACTGAGTTGGGGTTGGGATGATATTAGGAGTGGGGGTGGTGGGGGATGGTGGGGGGGGGAGAAATGTTTGGGGAAGGCAGTAGGGCGACGAGATAGCGATTGGCAATTATAACCCCCCACACCCACCCACCCACCGACGCTCAGCGTGAACCTTGCTTATAAAAGTCGAGCGGCGCGCACCTCCCAGCTAACCAGCCCGCCCGTGTGCTGCGTTCCGCCACCCTGGTCCCCCACCTGGCAAGACATCCCCGACCCCCCCCAGGCCAGCAAACAACCGTGACCCAACAGCAGACGGCGCCTCCGACAAAGACGATGCCTCTCCTGGTGACCCTCACCATCGCCGCCGCGCTCTCCGCCTGCGTGCTGCTCTGCATCCTGCTCAGCCTGCGGCGCAGGTAAACCGGTCCCTCCCGGGTGCCTCGCTGCCCTCGCAACAGGCAACACCAAGACGCGAGTGGTCCTGGAAGACCCCTGCGTATCGCGAGCTCTTCGATGGTGACCTTTTTGATGCGGTGCACGTTTAAGTGCAGATGTTGATGAAATGTCTTGGGGTTTTTTTTGTACCCCAAATAATCAACGTTGCCAAAGTGTACATTGTCAACTGCACGTTCGGCTCGCGAGAGCCATGCGCCAGAACGTAAGCTGTGGAAAGGGGTGCGAGTCCGTCCTAGAGCAGGGACGTTCTCAAACGAAGCTAAACACACCGTGGGTTGATGAAATGAGAAGAAGCTTGTCCGTTATGCGTGCGCGCAACAAACCCTGTTTATTTCTGCATTGTAATTGGGACGGTGCGTATTCGGTGAACAGCGGTGGCCAAATGGTGTTCACGAAAAGCGCCGTCACCGTTTTCGCGTGGTTCTCTGCTATCTCCCCCGATGGCCTCTAACGTTTGAACTCTTGGGCAAATACGAGGTACAGCCGTGCGTGACGATGTCCTAGAAAGGGCTAGAACGGTGAAATTTGTGACCGCTGATAGCCGAGTCCATGCTTGTAACTACAAGAAACAAGTCAGTTTAACAGGAGGGTTTTCGCGACCAATATCATCCATAATCATCCACACCGCTTAGTGCTGTACTAGTGACGAATTGGCCACGTTCTGTTTACGTGACAATCCTTACTAGTTGGCTGTGTCGGGTGGTGGCGGGTTTTAACGACATATATTTACGCGATATAACCCAAAAAAACCCCCCTCTATTATACAAGAAACCAAAAAAAAATAATTTTAATTTCTTTGGACCCCTCAAAAAGTTGGTGGTTGGGGGTAGGGGGGAAGCATTCTATGCTGGGGTTTAAATGTCACTGAGTCCCAATAAGGCATTGGAGATGCAAAAAACCCATCCACGATTTTGTTTGTTTATGGAACCCCCGGTGCTCAATGCAAATACTGCATCGTATCTCCTTAATAACTTCAACGACTCGGCCATTTGATGGCATTGGAGTGAAGAGTGCCGCATGAAACGCTTCCGCGCGCACGAATGCAAGGACAACACAAGCACAAGCTGCGAAAATCGCAAGGCGATTGCAAAAAAACGAACTCCAATGTGCAGACGCTGAAGTCAGAGCAGGTAACGAGCGATTGACTTCCAGCCACGGCCTGCTGCCACCCCGTGGCGGCAGATCCCGTAACCTGGAGTCGAACCCCGACCACGGCGAACGCCGCTGGCAAACGGCGCCAGGAGCCTTCGCCAGCGACCAGTGCCCAGCAGCGCGGCGAAACTTTTGGTCAAGCAACCCCCCACCCCAACCCACGCCACCTCACCCCCTCCATCAACGATAAAGCAAATGTTAGGCCATGCATTCGACAGTAGAATTATTGTTTGATCATTGTCGTGTTTATTTAGAATGTTGTGCACGAGATGGTGCGATAAGATATGTTGGTAGGTTGTAACGCGCACATTGTTAGGATAAACTATTGAACGTAACGTAATGAAAGTGGACAAACAATAACAGTCACTTACACTAAATGGCAATTCGTCGCAAACAACATATATCGCCTCTGCATAGAGTGTACGCTCAGAAGAAATCAAATATGAATATTGTTGCTTCAGTGACTTCAGTAGAATTGGGCAAATTTCCAATCTGTTAAGTTCCCATGTTTAATAACACTGAAAAGTGTTGTAGTACAATAAATGATTAACATAATACTGACAATTCGATGTTACGTCACGTAACACGTGCGATGCGTACGCAGGCTGAACAAAGACCGAGGCGTGTGCGTAGCATCTAGAAGCATCCAGCAGCATCCCAATGTCTCGTGCGATGCTACGCCGACGCCGCCGTACAACCGCTCATTCCTACTCGCGCGATGTTATTCCATTCACTCAATAGCGTTACATCCAGTTGGCATCCGCGTTGTACGAAAAAATGTCTGCCATAATACATTAATCGCATTATATCCAATTTGCGTTATGAAAACGGATAGGCTTGCTCACCCTGCCATAGGAATGTGGAATTTCCACCGTTGACTCAACAGCAAATCACTTTAACTCTTTTGACCACTGCAGAAAAGTCCTTGTCGGCCGCATGGTGCTCATTGCCTCCTCCCCCCCTCCCCCCCCGCTGCTGTATCCTGGAAGGACGCCCGGGGAGCCTCCGCTGGAGAATGGCTGGCTGCCCTTCCTCGGCCTCGCGCTGCAGTTCGGGGTCAACCCGCTGGAGTTCTTGCGCAAGCGCCAGCGGCGGCACGGGGACATCTTCACGTGCAGGATCGCCGGCAAATACATCCACTTCATCACGGACCCATTCTCCTACAGCGCCGTGGCACGGCGAGGCCGCCACCTCGACTGGAACAAGTTCGCCTACGAGCTCTCGTCGAAGGTAAGCGACGGTGAAGGTGGACGCCCGACGCTTCTCCCTCCCCGGGAGCCCCTGAACGTTGACGATGACCACGGTCATTGTCCTCGTCGTCGTCGTGAGACTCACGGCAAGCTAAGTTGGTGGCGATTGTATTTGACGTTTCGCCGGAGGGCCTCCTCGTCAGAGCCGAGAACGCTGTGAACGCCCGACAATGCTGGGTGTAATCTGCAGCGTATAAAATTTGCCGAAGTTTTCGCTTGGGCTTTCAGCGGTCTCCCCCCCCCCCCCCCCCCCGTTTGTTGATGAACCACAAACAATCAATTGGAATATCTTCCCGGGTGACAGTTCGATTTGTTCTGTCGGGTGGTCGACGAACGTGCTCGTGTACAGCTGGCAGCGAATTCTGAAAAAGAGCTGTACAACTCAGCGGGCCTTACCTGGTAAATTTTTTTTAAAAAATTCGTTCAATAGTTTGTGTGAATCGATGTTGTTTTGTGGTGCGTAGCTGTTTGGCCACCACAGCATGGACCCGGACGCCGGCTACACCACGGAGAATCTGCACCAAACGTTCCTGCGTACGCTGCAGGGAGAGGGCCTGGTGGGGATGTCCGAGAGCATGCTGGAGAACATGCAAAGCGTCATGCTGCGCGACTCCGATCGCTCCAAGCCGGTGCTGGGAGCCGAGCACGAGTCACCACCCGAGGCGGCCAGGCAGCGCAGACGCAGCCCCAACTCGGCGGCGCAACCCTCCTGCGCTGAGGATGCGGCGCATCTCCTCCCCGATCCAAATCGTGTCAATTTGATTAAATCTGAGTCAAGAGGCCAGGCAGACAGGGACAATGTGGACACTACCGCTTATACAAATAAGGGCGAATCAGTTGGCAGCTCCAGTGACATGCAAATCACGCGGCACAGGTGTGCTCAGACAGACGCTCTAATTCGGCCACCACAATCCAAGCCATTGCCACTGCTGGGACACCAGGGCCTGCCCACTGCCTGGCAGCAGAATGGACTCTACCTCTTCTGCTACAGCATCATGTTCGAGGCGAGCTTCATGACCATGTTCGGGAAAGAGCTGCATCAGCAGAACAGTCCCAGGGAGCATCGAGCCAACATCCACAGCATGCAGAACAACTTCAAGACCTTCGACAGCTTCTTCCCTGCGCTGGTCGCGGGCCTCCCCATCAAGCTCTTTTACTGGGCGCACAGCGCGCGCGAGAAGCTCGCCAAGGAGCTCAAGCAGGAGAAGCTGTACGAGCGGCACAACATGTCGGCGCTCATCGCCCTCCGAATACAACTCAATGACACGCTGTCTCGCATGGACGACATGGGCAAGGCACGCACCCACCTGGCCCTGCTGTGGGCCTCGCTGGCCAACACCCTTCCAGCCGCCTTCTGGAGCCTCTTCTACCTCCTCAGGTATGCGGAAGGCTCCCCGAGCTCTCTGTGCGCCCTCCTCGCCCACAACTCGCCGCGACTCTCGGGTGTTGGTGGCGTGAGCGCTCTCCTCCTTCGGAGCGGTGAAATGAATTTGCTCCGCCGCTGCTCTCCAGGTCTCCGGAGGCAATGCAGGCGGCCAGGAAGGAAATCAAGGAGGTCATTGGGGACTGCCACTGGAAGGAGGGAGAGCTCCTCAAGTTTAGCGAAGAGCAACTGAACAGGCTCGTCATATTAGGTACACATCGCCCTTTACTCAACCTTCGCTGTCACGTGGTGTTAATCGGTTAACAAACACAACGTTTTAAATAAAGTGATCGTGTTGTAGTATCTGGGTATTACTGCTCTTGGCTATGAAACTGTATTTTTCACATTTTTGGACGATCCTCAGACCGCCCTCACTTTTTTCAAACAAGCGTGCGCCACACGAGTCTCATGCGCTGTCCGTTGTTTTTGCTGCTGCTGCTGCAGAGAGCGTGATCAAGGAGGCGATGCGGCTCTCCAGCGCCTCCATGAACGTCCGAGTGGTGAAGGAAGACTTTGAGCTCGCCCTGGACTCAAGCAGAGGGTACCGGGTCCGCAAGGGTGACGTCATCGCGCTGTACCCACAGCTGCTGCACTACGACCCCGACATATTCCACGATCCGCTGGTAAATATGCGCAGCCGTGAACGTGACTTTAAATTCCCCCACTCGCGTGTTAATCGGTCCGTGCGCAATACGTTTTGGGCTACGGTAGAATGAACTGTAAATAAAAACCAAGATAAATAAGCAGTGCTCCTCCTACCTATGTGTATCTCTCCATGTAAAAAGTTATCCTTTCCCGTTCCGATGACGTACGTGTACGTTATTAGTTTTTCTTCCGATTCCGTTCCGACAATGTACATGTACATCATCACAACGAAACCGGAAGAAAAATAAAATAACTTCTCAGTACCGAGGCTCCCACAAGGCCATGCGGGAGGTCGTGTCGCTACGATTCTCTGTGGGGAGTACGATGTCTTTAAAAACAACGGCGCTACGCCTCTGTAAATAAAATTAATGCTGAGCCGCGTGCGCATTCCGAGATTCAGAGGTGAACGGGACAACCACACCCTGCAATTTGCAGATGTTTTGGAATTGGAAAGGCTTAAGAGTAAATCTGACACATCCCCTCAACCACCCAGCCATCCAGGAGTGCACAATCTCCGCAGTAATGGTTCAACACAACCAAATTAATCTGCCACAATATATATGTACACACGTCTCAGAATACAATTTTAATTATGACCGCTTCGAAACATCGGTATAAAAAAAAAGTTCCTGATTTTAATCGAAGGTTGACATTTTAATCGGTTTAAATTTAGCAGCTAACATGGTTGGTGCGTTTGCTTTCGACAGAAATTCAAGCACGACCGGTTTTTGGACGACAACGGCCAAGAGAGGACAAACTTCTATAAGAACGGGCGGAAGCTCAAGTACTACTACATGCCCTTCGGCTCCGGAATCACCATGTGCCCCGGACGCTTCTTTGCCATGATCGAGATGAAGCAGTTCCTGCTGCTGGTCATGAGCCTGTATGACATGGAGCTGCTGGACTCGGAGGAGGTCCCGCCAACCCTGGACCAGGCCCGGGTCGGGCTCGGTATCCTGCAGCCCGCTACAGATGTTCCCTTCCGCTACCGAATCAAACCCACGTCTCGCAGCGTCCACCTCTAGTCCTTCTAGCCACGATCGCACTTCACAATACACTATTACCCAACTCTTCCATAAAGCTCTATCTCTGTGTAGGAGTGGAAGTCCAGTGCACTGTGCGCTTTACCAAGAAAAGGCTGTGGCCAATAATTAACCATATTTATTAATAATGTGCAGAATAGTAAAAGGGAGAAAAAGAAGGGAACCCCCCTCCACCCCCACCCCCGTTTCTGTTCCACTTCCCGACCACGGCGCGTTCGTCCCAACGTTGTGCAGTGCGGCCAGGAGGCCTTGAGTCACCCTGGACGAGGGTGCACGTACAAAGCTTGCCGGCTATTTGGCCTGCCGCTGCGTTCACATAGAGTTATGCTGTCACCTGTGGAAGAGTAATGGATGAGAATCCACATTTTGGGAACTGATAGGTCGACTTAAAGAACGTTCCCAACGTGGCCACAGGCGACAATGCTAGCAAGACCCCACTGTGCCTATATAGAGGCTATGGATTCACCTGTTCATGTATTTTACCCTCGCGATTTTAAAACGGATGGCACGTGAACGCTAGCTGAGGGGTGCACGAGTGGCAGGAACTACAGCTGGATGCAGAAAATGTTTACATCTACCTCATTGTCCACATTGACATTTGGATTAAAAAGGGAAGATGTCGTGCTTCCGGAATATGGGCGCAGCTCAATGGCAGACTCCCAGTGGGAGCGGCGCCTGTACGACCGATGCCAGATTAAGCCAAGGTAACGTCATTGTGTGATATGAATTAGTTAATAAAATACAGCCCTTTGTCAATCTGCTACTGCTGGATGAAAAAAACAACCCCCATGCCATGGCAGTCATGGGGATTGTTTGACCATACTTCACCATGCTGGTCACTTAAAGGTTTCAGATAGTACCCACTGCTGATATTAGCTATGCCCTGGAATGAAACTCAGGTCATGGGGTTCAAAGTGCAGTGCACTAACCACTGCCATTTAACAAAAAAATGATCTTGAAAAAAGTTTTGTTTGACTTTGGTTGTGTATCAAACTGTGCCCATGCTCGACCCCTGCTTTAACTGTGTGCCAGTATCTATTAAGTGTACTGCGAACATCGGCCACACACTGCTGCGACTGCAGCAGTATGAGAATCACTGATACGATTTTGAGTTTGAAACAATATCTTTGAAACAAATTTTCTTAATTGTATATATGTTATTTATTTTATAAAATCGTGAATTCTTCAATAATAATATAACTGTTGCTTAAAGCGATGGGCCAAGAAACACCCGAGTCTGTGCTGCCTGGGTGAAAAGTGGCCAAACTTCGCTCAGTAAACGCAAGAAAATAAATTTCCATCGTGTTCGGAGCACGAAGTAAGCCACCGATGTGAAGGGGAACCCCGATTTGCGTGCAGCCTGCGGGACCATGGGCCCTCTGGTTAGCACCAACGAGGAAGTGAGAGTGGGTGGCGTTTTTGACGCTCGGGTGTTGAGGACTTGAGAAACATTTGGACTTACGTTTGTCGCCAAACTGGCAAACTTGTCCACATTTTTTTTTAAACAAAATAAGTACAATAGAAATGAGTCTGCATCGATGGTGCGGGGCTTTAGGGAAATATTATAATCCAACATAGGTTTGGCAACATTTGTCGGAATGCGTTTGGAACGGTATAAATGTACGGTTGCCAAGAAAACTTAAGACGATGTCCTGCTAAGTGGCACCCAGCCAGTGGTGTCTTGTTGGCACTTTAGCAGAGTCTGCATCGATGGTGCGGGGCTTTAGGGAAATCATGGATAAGCAAAGCAAAATAGGTATTTAAGTTGGGCATTATACATCTTTGTTCATTATGCATAATTGCTGTAAAATAAAGCAACGTGTTGAATATTTTATCGTAATTCCCTTTCATACGCTCGAAGTGCCTCCCAAAGGCATTGATAAAAATGTGTCACGTGAATTGCACAGAAGCTTGATATTTTCGCTTACACCTTACACAGTACTGTAGTGCATAGAGCAACACACGCCTTTGGTAAAAAAAAATCACGAGCCCTGTATTTGCAAAAAAGCGCCTCAATGAACCTCAAGATCCATGCCCCAAGAGGACGCTGTAATTGGGAATATTTGACCAGTTCCTTTGATGAGGATTTGTTTTTGCTTGGTTCGTGAAGAATGCAGTACCCTGGCGAAGACCCAAACAATGAGGTGACACGGGTCCACACAGACGGGTTCATGAACCCACCTGCCGCACGAAACACAACACCTCGCTGATCTCGTCAAGGGGCATTAACTGTCCGCTCATCCTCCCCAGCAGCAGTCACTTTTGGCTGGCCATCGAACAACGACGATCACCGCTTCTGCGGCCGTCTGGAACGCTCTTCATTCCGATATTAGGAAGCCACTCGAGATACGCACTTTTACATCATCTAGATTCTAGACCGGTCGTTCTTCACCTGTTCTGCAGCCTTACACCCCTTTCATTCTCAGTCGTTAAATTGTTTTAATATGCTAATAAAAACGTAGGTTTGATTAAACAAAGTAGTTGTCCTTATACTCTTTGTTTTTTTTTCGGTAAAGTCACGTCGGTAAAATAAAAGAAAACAATTAAATCACGACGTTTCGGAGGCAACACAAGCTTCCGTCTTCAGGTGGAACAGTCACAGCAAGATCGCTGCATCAAGTGGGGAGGCTCTGAGAGCCTCGAGCTTATATATACAGGTTAAGGAGGGGGGGAGGAGCCAAGTAGGGGACATTGATGGGTTGCGGGGCTAAGTTAATCCGTCTTTTGTTATGTTGAGGGTGCGGGGGATGCGGTGGGTCACGGCACGGGGGCAATGGAAAAATGGAAACAAAAATGGAAAAATTAGATTTTTTCCATTTTTCTAATTTTTCCATTTTTGTTTCCATTTTTCCATTGCCCCCGTGCAGTGACCCACCGCATCCCCCGCACCCTCAACGTAACACAAGACGGATTAACTTAGCCCCGCACCCCATCAATGTCCCCTGCTTGGCTCCTCCCCCCCCCACCTTAACCTGTATATAAGCTCGGGTGTCTCAGAGCTCCCCACTTGATGCAGCGATCTTGCTGTGACTGTTCCACCTGAAGACGGAAACTTGTGTTGCCTCCGAAACGTCGTGATTTAATTGTTTTCTTTTATTTTGTTTTACCTACGTGACTTTACCGAAAAAAACAAAGAGTATGAATCCTTGCAGTCACGAAAGCTTCAAATCTATAATAGTTGTCCTTAGGTGCCTATGCTTAATTTGTTTCGATGATTTACCTAGAAAGGGCATCTCGCACTCACAAGGGGTGCTTGCACCCCAGGTAAGGAACCACTGATCTACATTGATTAAACAAACATTTCTTTACAACTGTTTTGTGTGTGTTTAGTTTGTTGTCCTTCCCCCGCGCCCTCCGACTAGCGCGGTTGGCTATGTACGGTGTGAAAGAAGTTCAACATAGCACTACGGTACATGCACGCGCGCACTGCCAACTGCTCTCCACCTCTTTGGTTCTATTGGGTAAAGTCACGTAGGTAAGAAATAAAACAACAAAAATCACGACGTTTCGGCCACAACACAAGCGGCCTTCATCAGGTGAAGGAACCAGACTGTCTCGAGGACAGCGCTGGAGTGAAACACAGCCAAGCTCAGACCGCGACCTTTAAGCTGTGTGAGAGTAATTAAGGTGCCTTGAAAAAGGAATTTAGCATAATAATTTGCATTTTAATAGGCGGACTTAGCATGATGAAAGGTAGGGAGGGGGTCGACCTGTGCAGGCTGGCGAGGGGGCACGGTAGCGTCCACATGCTGGTGGTGTGAAAAGGGATTATAAGAAGCTGCGAAAGTTTGGGGTACCACTACTTGAAAAATATACTGTACCATTGAAAATTAGTTTAATGTTTGGTTCGATTTAGAACATCTTTCCAATGGTTGCTTAATTTGAAACCATCTTCTCGGTTGAAATTGTGTCTGTGTTTGTAAATCTGAATTGCCTCGTGAACAAATCTCTGATAAAAACCCGTGGGTTTGCACCTCGCAGCTCAGCGCGTTTGAGTTTCTCAAACCCTCGCGGTGCACAAGCCCTCACCAACAAAGCGTCCATCACAATAACCACATGAAGCAAGCTCTTCAGCAGTGGCTGGCTGCCTGTTATATCGGAATATAGTTAAATGTACGTACTGTATATCTTGACTTACAGCTTTCGTGACTGCAGAAATTCATATTTTTTCACCGAAAGACGCAAAAAATATGTACGAACTGTACTTTGTTGAACTTATTTCGCACTGCACGCAGCCAACCACCGTGCGAATCGGAGGTGCGCGTAGGAGGACAACAAACTAAACACAGCCAAAATAAACTTCACCTCCGAGAGTTACCAACTCTTCTCTCGGCTGCTTATGACACAGTTGCGTAACTCTGCATGCAACACGCCACGTGAAAGTTTATGCTGACCGTGTTGATGGAGAGTTTCAGTTCTCTAGCCCAGTGATGATTCTTAACCTTGTTTGGCTACTGCTGTTACCCCTCTTATTGCCAGAAAGAGTAAAGATGTATTCTTATTTTTTCACAATTTGATACTGCCAAAAGAAAAGGTCCCATTTTGTACCCCCTTGTTGAATAGCTTTAACCGAGTAACCCCCATGCCTGACACAACATGGTTCTAAGAAATACATTTTAAGAATAATGAACATTAATACTTTAACCAATTTTCATTTTTGTGAGGTATCCTAACTAGCTGCGAACTGCAAGCGATTACAAACTAAAATAAACGGACGCTCTGCACGCGTGAGGTCACCTGTTTGGGCTCGCTGGTTACTCTTGTAAACCACATTGCTTACGATCAATGAGTTTCGAAAATACCTTGTATATACAGTGAGGGAAAAAAGCATTTGATCCCCTGCTGATTTTGTGCGTTTGCCCACTGACAAGGAAATGATCAGTCTATAATTTTAATGGTAGGTTTATTTGAACAATGAGAAACAGAATAACAACAAGAAAATCCAGAAAAACGCATGTCAAAATGTTATAAATTGATTTGCATTTTAATGAGGGAAATAAGTATTTGACCCCCTCTCAATCAGAAAGATTTCTGGCTCCCAGGTGTCTTTTATACAGGTAACGAGCTGAGATTAGGAGCACACTCTTAAAGGGAGTGCTCCTAATCTCAGCTTGTTACCTGTATAAAAGACACCTGTCCACAGAAGCAATCATTCAATAAGATTCCAAACTCTCCACCATGGCCAAGACCAAAGAGCTCTCCAAGGATGTCAGGGACAAGATTGTAGACCTACACAAGGCTGGAATGGGCTACAAGACCATTGCCAAGCAGCTTGGTGAGAAGGTGACAACAGTTGGTGCGATTATTCGCAAATGGAAGAAACACAAAATAACTGTCAATCTCCCTCGGCCTGGGGCTCCATGCAAGATCGCACCTCGTGGATGTTCCAATGATCGTGAGAACGGTGAGGAATCATCTCAGAACTACACGGGAGGAACTTGTCAATGATCTCAAGGCAGCTGGGACCATAGTTGCCAAGAAAAAATTGGTAACACACTACGACGTGAAGGACTGAAATCCTGCAGTGCCCGCAAGGTCCCCCTGCTCAAGTTTACCAATGAACATCTGAATGATTCAGAGCACAACTGGGTGAAAGTGTTGTGGTCAGATGAGACCAAAATGGAGCTCTTTGGCATCAACTCAACTCGCCGTGTTTGGAGGAGGAATGCTGCCTATGACCCCAGGAACACCATCCCCACCGTCAAACATGGAGGTGGAAACATTATGCTTTGGGGGTGTTTTCTGCTAAGGGGACAGGACAACTTCACCGCATCAAAGGGACGATGGACGGGGTAATGTACCGTCAAATCTTGGGTGAGAACCTCCTTCCCTCAGCCAGGGCATTGAAAATGGGTCGTGGATGGGTATTCCAGCATGACAATGACCCAAAACACACGGCCAAGGCAACTAAGGAGTGGCTCAAGAAGAAGCACATTAAGGTCCTGGAGTGGCCTAGCCAGTCTCCAGACCTTAATCCCATAGAAAATCTGTGGAGGGAGCTGAAGGTTCGAGTTGCCAAACGTCAGCCTCGAAACCTTAATGACTTGGAGAAGATCTGCAAAGAGGAGTGGGACAAAATCCCTCCTGAGATGTGTGCAAAGCTGGTGGCCAACTACAAGAAACGTCTGACCTCTGTGATTGCCAACAAGGGTTTTGCCACCAAGTACTAAGTCATGTTTTGCAGAGGGGTCAAATACTTACTTCCCTCATTAAAATGCAAATCAATTGATAACATTTTTGACATGCGTTTTCCTGGATTTTCTTGTTGTTATTCTGTCTCTCACTGTTTAAATAAACCTACCAATAAAATTATAGACTGATCATTTCTTTGTCAGTGGGCAAACGTACAAAATCAGCAGGGGATCAAATACTTTTTTCCCTCACTGTAGTTCTAGGTTACCATGTGGATTCATAATTGTATCGTAGTTATATCGCAGCGGTAGATTCACGCACGCGGATTATTCACCAATTGACTCGCGCACAATATAATTTCACACTTATTTAGACAATCACCTAGCGTACCCCCTGGGACATCGCCACGTGCACCCCCGAGGGGTCCACGGGATTAAGAAGCACTGCCCTCCCCCCCCCCAATAACCGTTGCCTGCCACCTCAACCGCGCTCCTTTCGCCGTTCCTCCACCAGCCTCTCGCCACCACCTCGGCTCCGATCCCACGCGTCCGCCCCCCACACTCCTCCCCCCGCCCCCGCATGCCCCACGAATCTTCCGCTGCCGTTTGCCTCTGCAGGAGTCCCCATGCGCAGAGCGCTGCCGTCCTATAAACAATCAACCCCCCCCCCCCCCCCCCCACTGATTCCAGACGTTTGCCAGCGATTCTGTATTATAAAGAGGAGTCAGCTCGTACGGAGGGACTACAATAACACGATGGGATAGTTTTATTTTAACAGGTAAGACCCACTGCGCTATTGGCTATTTTTCAGAAGGGACCTGGCCACACGACTATGAAGCGGCGTATCGTCGTGGTGGAAATGTATGCACAGCCAAGTCGCCTAAACGCGTGGTGATGTTGATTCTAAATGTGGAGGGAAACACCTGAGGACCCGGAGAAAAATCCACGCGACCACGGGGAGAAAGAGAGAGACACGCAAACTCCAAATATACAGGGATCGCATTATTGTGAATGTTAATTGTAATTGAATAAGTCGAGTCAGACTTGTACCCATGCAACTTTAATGCGATCTTGAGAGCAATGATGAATAAGTATCCAATCCACAGTTCAGTGTTATGTGCAGCGCTGTAGATTTAGGCTGCAGTATGGTGATTACACGAAGTGACCTTATTTAACACAGTAGCTTATTCTCTTGTGTAGCTATTCAGTGCTAATGGAGGTGCCTGGTCCATCCAGGACCTATTGTTGAGTTTCATGTTATCTAAGACAACGTTATGATGCTCCTTGTGTTCATTGTATCGATATTGCAAGTATTAACAGATGCCGTATTTTGTGCTGTGTTTTTACCTCGTTCAATTCATTAAATACATCGGAGTCGGATGTTCACCCTGGCTCTGAAAGTGTATTGAATGCGAGGTAAACGACTCGGATAGCGGTGCAACGCAGCGCACAGCGAGGCCAAAACACTGCCAGTATACTCACCCAGATTAATAACCAGGCTACAGTCTACATTATAGACAGCCAGTACACTCACTCAGATTAATAACCAGGCTCCAGTCTACATTATAGACTGTCAGTACACCCACTCAGATTAATAACCAGGCTACAGTCTAAATTATAGACTGTCAGTATACTCACCCAGATTAATAACCAGGCTCCAGTCTACATTATAGACTGTCAGTACTCAGATTAATAACCAGGCTACAGTCTACATTATAGACTGTCAGTACACTCACTCAGATTAATAACCAGGCTACAGTCTAAATTATAGACTGCCAGTACACTCACCCAGCTTAATAACCATGGCTACAGTCTACATTATAGACTGCCAGTACGCTCACCCAGCTTAATAACCATGGCTACAGTCTACATTATAGACTGCCAGTACACTCACTCAGATTAATAACCAGGCTACAGTCTAAATTATAGACTGCCAGTACACTCACTCAGATTAATAACCAGGCTCCAGTTTACATTATAGACTGTCAGTACACTCACTCAGATTAATAACCAGGCTACAGTCTACATTATAGACTGCCAGTATACTCACCCAGATGAATAACCAGGCTCCAGTCTACATTATAGACTGACAGTACTCAGATTAAGAATCAGGCTACAGTCTATGCTAGTGGGTTTTGTTTTATTATTATTTAAATTCAATTTTTATTAACTTTATTTTTATTATAATTTTTCTATCTACGTGACTTTACCAAAAGAACCAAAGAATATGAATTCCTGCAGTCACGAAAGTTTTAAGTCAAAATTTAACCAGGCATATAGTATATTTTATTCATGGTAGAAGCATTAAATGTAGCATTGCATGCACAGTTATCCACTACTGCCAACAGTAGTCCACATGATGTGTGTATATGTGTGTTGTACCCTGCTGTTGTGCTGGACACCCACCCCTTGTGTGCCTGCTCCAACAGTCTGTCTTGTGTACTCTGCTGTTAAACAGCATCAACCCATGAATAATGCATATTACTGGTATGTCGGTGACGATTTACTAACCGACTTCAAGCACTCCTGGTGAAAACACGCACCTGTGATACCCCAACACAGCACATCCACCAACCTCCCATCCGGCAGTTCACCGGCATTGGCTCAAGCAAGCCTGACTGCTGATGAGACACGGAGTGTCGAACCGGTCCCGAGTTTGCTGGTGTTGAATCATTGCTGATGAAATCACTCACTGCGAGAATGCCGCATGGTTGATGAGCTGTGTAAAACACTACAGTACTCTTATATTGTGTGCAGAGGGACAGGAATGTGGGGGCAAATTGCCTGCTTATTGATTTCACCACTCTTGCAGAAACATGTTGGGAACGTTAGAGTCAACCATAGGCATGCTGTTCCCAAATAGAGGCTGCATAATAATATTGCGAGTTGTATTGTGAGTTATAAGAACTTACATGCACAGTCCTCAGGCATCATTTCAGCCGAGTCTGTCAAGTCGGTGACCCGGAAAATGTTTGTAATTGACAAGCCACATTGAGTACACGACTGACTATGGCTGTGGCTACGGTACCTACTGCAGTCTACCAGCGACCCGGAATAAAATTGAGAAATAATTGAATACGTTTATAATTGGTAGCATGCTTTGATTATACAGGGTGCTTAAAAAAATATGTTAACACATACATGGAACTATCGTTTTGAATGGGAAAAGAACGGATAATACCCTATCACATGATAACACATTTATGTTACTAGCTTCAAAAAGTCAAAGAGTATCCACTTGTTCGTCGTAATTGTCAACACGTGCCTGGAATATTCTTGTGGTATTGTGGTATTATTCAAAATATAATATATTGCTAAATGGCAACGTTCAAAAGTCCAAGCATTGTACAAATCCGAACAGCCTGCAGTCCCCAACTCAAACGTTTGACTCTGCTGTTCTGTAGTAATGAATTAACTGCACAGTGCATGGTAAATATAACATCAAGAACGACCAAAGCGAAAATTACATCAACATTAATTTAGGCAAATACAGTACTGACCAAAACTAATCACAGCAAAGGTCGCGTTGTAATTGTAGAGGTGTTAACTACGCACTGTTCGGTAACCTGCATTGCCACCAGGTATCAAAGGGGCAGTGCAGCGTTACCTCTGTGTACATAACGGTTGGGGTCAGAGGAGGTGAAGTGGATCGTAGCCACAGTTTGGTAAGAACCAATCAGACAGATTCACGTGGGACTGTGGGATTGGTTACACCTGGCCACAAACGGCTATAAGAAGGGTGACCACGCAGAGCACCGGGAGTTGTCTCCCTACAGCCTACACGAAGACTGAAGCCTGGGCTGAAGGCTAGCTAGGACCCTGGACCAGCCGTCCAGCCCTTCTGAGGGCTAAGGCTCGGCGTACCCAGTGGTCAGGACTCACCGGGCCAGCGGTGGGTCAGATAGCCTCCCCTAGGTCCCAGCCGGAGGACTCTGGGATAGCGGTAGACGTGTAAGTCCCGCCAAGATAGGAGGCTTTACCTCCTTAGGTATCAAGGAGACCTGTGTGTAGGTTACACTGAGCCCGGAGGCTGTACCTCTTTAGGGTATCGGGTGAGGGGACCGTATACCCCTCCGTGTGTTAAGGACTGTGTAAGAGAAGGATTACAATAAACAGAGTGCCTCATAAGAAGTTTATTCGTCTTTAGAAACACTACATAATTATAGAGTCAGAGTCAAAGCGATGGAGCTGCTGCTCATTTCCTGTTTGTGACCCCGGATTTGATCTCGCAACTTACAGTGAACATATAATTTTAACATTATTTTTACACGTATGCAAAGTATGCGGCTATGTAAAGCTCACTGCTGTGCTGTGTCCGGGTTAGAATATGAAATGGGACTATGCCGGTCGACATTTTCAGCGTTCACACAAAATGTACGAACTCTACGCTTGTGGTGAGAAGCTTCATTTGCAGGGTTGAGATCCACCGGTGAGCCATCTCCCTACTGCTGAATGATCGTTTTGCACACAGAGTGTGTGCAGCAGCAGTGGGAAACCGTGCACCTTGTCTACGCTTAGCCACATGTGTCCGGTTATCCCTCATGTGACCGGGTTATTAACGTTTAATTTCAATAACGTATTGCGAATTCCGTAATGCACTGAAGAGGCTTGAGGAAGAACCAGCTCATCATAGGTCAAAGTAACCAGGACTCTCATAGCTTATGGAAACAAAATCACTTCATTATATTAATATCACGTGATTGTGCATGAAATATATTAAGACTGGAAATTGGCAGGGCAGTGAGCCCAAATGCTTTCAACAGGACCCCGATTTGAGGGCGAATTGCTGCAGACTGTTGTGCTATTGTGAGCTTTGTCTGTTTCCCTCTCGGATGTCTGCGTGGTGTTTTTGTGTCCTTGAATGAAATCAATTTTATAAAAGAATTGGATATTGGCTAATGCTTAATGTCTGATTTCATACCCAGTTGCTATTCCCTACGAATATGTATATTTAAATGTGAGGGCTCACTCGGCACTGAACAACTTTTCATCTTTGGGTTACACTTGAGGCAGACTTTAAATGTCCACCTTATTGAATATTCGGGCTTGAGGGCTCCGGCAGATGCATGAGGATTGAAGACTGATAACGCAGAAGGTGAAGACTGCTCTCTCGATCTGTAAGTTATCTCCACCGTCGCGTCTCACCAATGTCCACCCTCGTGCAGCTACTGGACTGCAGATTAAAGGAAATCAAGGTTAATTTAACACATCATTGGTTGAACACGACGGTTAGTCTAGCAGGTTCTATTTGCAATATCTTGCCATAACAGACTGAACACAAATGAGTGTTAGTGTGCAATGCAGAGGTATTTTGTCTAACACAGATGCTGAGCACAGCACAGGCCCAAAAGCCCAAACCACCAAGTGGCCAGCAACAAACAGCAGTATGGCTTTCACAAAAGTAATATAACATATTTACAATAGGTGCATAATGATGCTAATAATATAATCATCTACAGCTCTTTGTCAATACACTACTGGATGAAGGGGGCTTGTTTTACCATACTTCACCACCCTGGTCTGTCCAAGTTGGTGAAAGGGGGTGTCCCAGTTCCAGTTCAGATTTCACTCAGGAGACTCAAGATAACCGCGACCAGGAAATCGAACTCGGGTTGCTGTGTTCAACGCGCACTACGCTAATCACTGTGCCACCACTCCTCCGAGGGACATCCGTGGAACTCCTTTTATTATCCACAGGGTCATCCGTGATTACTTATCCGTGGGTAAACATTTTTGTTACTGATAATCTGGCACTCAACTCATCTTAACCGTGAACATTTTTCGGATAATTCAAATTATGACGTAACACACGCAGAGACATGAAGACACATGCACAGACAGAGGAAGACAAGAGACACGTACAGAATGAATGGAGACGCACACAAAGAAACATAGACACGGTGACACGCACATGCAATGAACTATTGGAAAACATTCCGATAATTGTCAGTACAGTATTGCTGGAAAGCAGACAATATAAGTTTCTGGGGACACAACGACTCCCGTTGATAATAAGAGGTGTTGGTGATAGGGTCACAGATGACAGGAGTTCTGATGCATAAACATGCTGACTTAAAAGAAATGTAGGATAATAAAACATTTCACAACTTTAGAAACTCATAAAAAGTAAAGAAGAAAACACGTGGCATTTACAAGGCAGGTCAAGCTGCTGACAAGCATGCGCTGCTCTACCGCAATAGCCCTTCACTCAGTGCTCGAGACGCCTCACAAGCTGTGGCTATCCTTTGGACATTTTGTTCACCTCATAGGAATGATGGGCTAAGTAAACCCCCGAGCCAGGATCCGAACTCACAACCTTAATGATTTGCGAGTCCAGCGATGCTACGCACTCGCACATTTTCATTTTGACGAAAATTGCCTGTGCGTGCGATTAATGATCTCGCCGAATAGACTCGCTTACAGGGCAGCTAACCATCGCAGGCAGAGCATACGGGTAGGGGCTCGCATGCACAGTGGGCGAGCAACCGTCATCGCCGACCGCTGAAACCAGCGGCCTACCTGCATTGCGATGTATCCATTGCTACATGCTTGCTGGCTCAGCCAGCATATTCTTCTCCTGTGTCACTGTGAAAAAGGAACAGGATATTATTAACGGCTGGAAGACATGCGAGATTAGCGTGGCAGCACGGTAATTTGGCTCAATATGCAACGCAGCTTTTGGAATTAAATGTAAGTGTTCAGTTTCAGTGTCACAATCTTCCATGTCTTTCAACTATCAGCCTACATGACATTAATAGAGAAACACCAATGCACCCTAAGCAGATATAACGGGTTAACTTTAGTTTCATCTTGGTGCAGACAATTCTGCGATACAATCTTAAAAAATTAGGTGAGATTTTTAAAAAAATACTTTTAAGTTCTTTAGTAAATAAAAACGGACGTGTGCAAGATCAAACATAGAAAGTCACAACTCTACACATATCCCAAATACGCCAGTGTAGTGCTACAATTTACCACCAAACGCCCTCTCCCTGCAGCTAACCAGCCACAAGAAAGAAAGTACTCATGAACACTATGCGAGTAAATTTTGATTTAAAGCTTTCGTGACTGCAGTAATTCATATTCTTAGTTTTTTCGGTAAAGTCACGTTGAAGAGAAACAACAAAATAACTAAATAAATATAAAACAATAAAAAATTCTCACGACGTTTCGACCATAACTCAAACGGTCATCATCAGGTGTGTCGGTTTGCATAAATTTAGTTTTAAAACGGGACATTTATTTATTTATAAAAAACGTTGGCGTCACGCGCAGCGATTGGCAGTTTGCCCAGGACTAGTCCATCTATTTTTTTGAAAAGAGGAGGGGGGAGACGAAATTTTTTATAATGTATGCTGTCTGAAAGCCACTGTAAGCGTGAACAATCAATCAAGAACTGAAATGATTTATCAAATCTTTCCAATGATTGCTAAGATAGAATCCATCTTCTCGGTTGAAATTGTCTCTGTGCTTGTATATGTGGATAGCCTCATGAACGAATCTCTCATGGAAGCCAGATGGCTTACAAAGAACCTCCATCTTGGAAAAGTCAATGGCATGTGAGCCTACTGAATTAGAACAATGATCTGCTACGGCCGAGGTGTTGGTCCTACCGTGTTTAAGGTCTGCTTTATGTTCACGAATGCGGTCCGAGACATGGCGTTTGGTTTCTCCAATGTAACTACTACCACAGAGGCAACTTAGTTTGTAGACACCAGGGTATTGTATGTCCGGAATCACATCTTTTACAGATGGAACCAGATCACGGATTTTATGTAATGTGTTGAAACGGACCTGGATCTTGTGTTTATTCAAGATTTTGGAGATCTTTTTTGTGATCCCAGCAATGTAGGGTAAAGTGATGGTTTTGAAAGGCTCCTCAAGAGGGTTCTTCTTCATGGTTTGAGTGATAGCTTTGCGGATTGTATAGTCGGAGTCACCATTAGCCCTAAGAGCTTGGTGTACGTGCTTGAGTTCACTGCTTATGTGTTCCTGGTCGGATATGCATTGGGCTCTATGATACAGAGTCTTGATGAGAGAATTCTTCTGTGATGGATGGTGGTGGGAATCCGGTTTCAGATAAGCATTCGTATGGGTAGCTTTCCTGTAGACAGAGTGGCTCATTGAACCATCAGGACTAAACACTGAGGTACCCCCCCTGGTGAGACACTGTTTAACCAATACATACTTCACTTGGAATGGAACTTTCTACAAACAAACTGAGGGCACCCCAATGGGCTCTCCCCTTTCTCCAGTTATAGCTAACATTTTCATGGAGAAATTTGAGACTGACGCCATCCAGACTGCCACTCTGCGCCCAACCTTATGGAAGAGGTACGTGGATGACACTTTTGTCATCTTGCCACATGGCCGGCCTGCTCTAGACCAATTCTTCGACCACATCAATTCCATACATCCAGCCATCAGATTTACCATGGAAGTCGAAATAGATGGCAAGATACCTTTTTTGGATGTCCTAATTAAAAAGAGACCTGATGGTTCAATGAGCCACTCTGTCTACAGGAAAGCTACCCATACGAATGCTTATCTGAAACCGGATTCCCACCACCATCCATCACAGAAGAATTCTCTCATCAAGACTCTGTATCATAGAGCCCAATGCATATCCGACCAGGAACACATAAGCAGTGAACTCAAGCACGTACACCAAGCTCTTAGGGCTAATGGTTACTCCGACTATACAATCCGCAAAGCTATCACTCAAACCATGAAGAAGAACCCTCTTGAGGAGCCTTTCAAAACCATCACTTTACCCTACATTGCTGGGATCACAAAAAAGATCTCCAAAATCTTGAATAAACACAAGATCCAGGTCCGTTTCAACGCATTACATAAAATCCGTGATCTGGTTCCGTCTGTAAAAGATGTGATTCCGGACATACAATACCCTGGTGTCTACAAACTAAGTTGCCTCTGTGGTAGTAGTTACATTGGAGAAACCAAACGCCATGTCTCGGACCGCATTCGTGAACATAAAGCAGACCTTAAACACGGTAGGACCAACACCTCGGCCGTAGCAGATCATTGTTCTAATTCAGTAGGCTCACATGCCATTGACTTTTCCAAGACGGAGGTTCTTTGTAAGCCATCTGGCTTCCATGAGAGATTCGTTCATGAGGCTATCCACATATACAAGCACAGAGACAATTTCAACCGAGAAGATGGATTCTATCTTAGCAATCATTGGAAAGATTTGATAAATCATTTCAGTTCTTGATTGATTGTTCACGCTTACAGTGGCTTTCAGACAGCATACATTATAAAAAATTTCGTCTCCCCCCTCCTCTTTTCAAAAAAATAGATGGACTAGTCCTGGGCAAACTGCCAATCGCTGCGCGTGACGCCAACGTTTTTTATAAATAAATAAATGTGCCGTTTTAAAAATAAATTTATGCAAACCGACACACCTGATGATGACCGTTTGAGTTATGGTCGAAACGTCGTGAGAATTTTTTATTGTTTTATATATATTTAGTTATTTTGTTGTTTCTCTTCAACGTGACTTTACTATGCGAGTAGTTCATTGCTAATCAAAACATCTAAGTGACTCAGTCCTGCATCGTTAACGTCGCAGACCGGACAGGAACTCTATTGTAATGCAGATGCAATATCGCTCAAAGCACAGGAGGCATCATTTAACGCATTTATAACCGCGCTTTAAATTTACTTCTTAACATGGCGGAGAAATCCTGAAGCACCTCTCTTATTGCAAGGTTTTCTCGACTGAGTGATTGTGTTCATTGGGGTGGTAACATGCTCGTTGTTATAAACAAAAATGAACAATAGCAAGTTTCCTCTGCGATCTGCTAGTGAGTGTGAAACAATGATATCGATCTTAAATTTCGATTTAAAGCTTTCGTGACTGCAATGATTCATCTTCTTTGGTTCTTTCGGTAAAGTCACGTAGAATGAGAATAAAATAATAAATTGATAAAATAAAATAACACAATAATATTCTCACGACGTTTCGGCCACAACACAAGCGGCCTTCATCAGGTGAAGGGAGCGAGACTGTCTGGTAGGACAGCGCTGGAGTGAGAGAGCCACATTCAGATCACGGCTTTTAAGCTGTGTGAGAGGAACAAAGAGCCTTGACGAAGGAATTAGCATAAAATTTAGCATTGAAAAGGCTGAATGATTAGCTTGTGACTGGTCACAGAAATAGCTATGTTAAAAGTTAAAGCATACACATCCGCAGAGGCACCCATTGTTAAAAGGAATTAGCATAGAATTTAGCATTGAAATAGCTAAATTAAGGCATTCGCTTGTAACTGCTACAGAAATAGTTACGTTGAAGTCAGAGCATACACATTCACCGAGGCACTTAGTACAAATCAAAACAGGAGAATTTAGCATTGAAATAACTAGGCGAATTTAGCATTGAAATAACTGGGTGATTTGCTAGTGACTGGTCACAGAAATGCCTACACATCTGAGCTATTCACAGTACTATATAGTGAACCAATAAAAACTAAAATATAAATTACCTTCATGTTATCAATAAACTCTATATTCTCCAATCAGCTAAGCTACCAACCATAAGTCGTTATATATCACAATGCTATATGGCGAAAAAATGGGTGGATTCTTACCCTCAAATTTCCGTACCACGGATAGCTACGGGCCCCGTTCAGACGGACGAGTTCGTCCATGGTCGGAACAGAGGAGGGGGAGAGAGACAGCTGCGAAGCCCTAGTATACTCCATGTTGTAAACCATACCATTAACCGTGGTGTGAGAGGTATTAAGAGGCAATGCTGGCGAAAGAGCTGCGGTCTGAAGGTCATCGTAAAATTACAATTAATTAAGAACAGAAATGATTTAACACATCTTTCCAGTGGTTACTAAGCCTGAATCCATCTTCTCGGTTGAAATTGTCTCTGTGCTTGTATATGTGAATGGCCTCATGAACGAATCTCTCATGGTAGCCAGTTGGTTTGCAAAGAACCTCCGTCTTGGAGAAGTTAATGTCATGTGAGCCCACTGAATTGTAACAGTGATCTGCCACGGCAGAGGAGTTCGTCTTACCGTGTTTCAAGTCTGCTTTATGTTCGCGGATGCGGTCCGAGATATGTCTTTTGGTTTCTCCAATGTAGCTACTACCACAGAGGCACTTTAGTTTGTAAACGCCCGGGTACTGTATGTCTGGAAGAGCATCTTTTACAGATGGAACTAAATCACGGATTTTGTGTACTGTGTTGAATCGGACCTGGATCTTGTGTTTATTCAGGATTTTGGAGATCTTTTTAGTGACCCCTGCAATGTAGGGTAAGGTGATGGTTTTGAGTGGCTCCACAAGAGGATCCTTCTTCATGACTGGAGTGATGGCTTTGCGGATTGTGTAGTCGGAGTAGCCATTAGCCCTGAGAGCCTGGTGTACGTGCTTGAGTTCACTGGTAATGTGTTCCTGGTCGGAAATGCATTGGGCTCTATGGTATAGAGTCTTGATGAGGCAGTTCTTCTGGGATGGATGGTGGTGGGAATCCGGTTTCAAGTAAGCATCTGTATGGGTAGCTTTCCTGTAGACAGAGTGGCTCATTGAACCATCATGTCTCCTTTTAATTAAGACATCCAGAAGAACTGCCTCATCAAGACTCTATACCATAGAGCCCAATGCATTTCCGACCAGGAACACATTACCAGTGAACTCAAGCACGTACACCAGGCTCTCAGGGCTAATGGCTACTCCGACTACACAATCCGCAAAGCCATCACTCCAGTCATGAAGAAGGATCCTCTTGTGGAGCCACTCAAAACCATCACCTTACCCTACATTGCAGGGGTCACTAAAAAGATCTCCAAAATCCTGAATAAACACAAGATCCAGGTCCGATTCAACACAGTACACAAAATCCGTGATTTAGTTCCATCTGTAAAAGATGCTCTTCCAGACATACAGTACCCGGGCGTTTACAAACTAAAGTGCCTCTGTGGTAGTAGCTACATTGGAGAAACCAAAAGACATATCTCGGACCGCATCCGCGAACATAAAGCAGACTTGAAACACGGTAAGACGAACTCCTCTGCCGTGGCAGATCACTGTTACAATTCAGTGGGCTCACATGACATTGACTTCTCCAAGACGGAGGTTCTTTGCAAACCAACTGGCTACCATGAGAGATTCGTTCATGAGGCCATTCACATATACAAGCACAGAGACAATTTCAACCGAGAAGATGGATTCAGGCTTAGTAACCACTGGAAAGATGTGTTAAATCATTTCTGTTCTTAATTAATTGTAATTTTACGATGACCTTCAGACCGCAGCTCTTTCGCCAGCATTGCCTCTTAATACCTCTCACACCACGGTTAATGGTATGGTTTACAACATGGAGTATACTAGGGCTTCGCAGCTGTCTCTCTCCCCCTCCTCTGTTCCGACCATGGACGAACTCGTCCGTCTGAACGGGGCCCGTAGCTATCCGTGGTACGGAAATTTGAGGGTAAGAATCCACCCATTTTTTCGCCATATAGCATTGTGATATATAACGACTTATGGTTGGTAGCTTAGCTGATTGGAGAATATAGAGTTTATTGATAACATGAAGGTAATTTATATTTTAGTTTTTATTGGTTCACTATATAGTACTGTGAATAGCTCAGATGTGTAGGCATTTCTGTGACCAGTCACTAGCAAATCACCCAGTTATTTCAATGCTAAATTCGCCTAGTTATTTCAATGCTAAATTCTCCTGTTTTGATTTGTACTAAGTGCCTCGGTGAATGTGTATGCTCTGACTTCAACGTAACTATTTCTGTAGCAGTTACAAGCGAATGCCTTAATTTAGCTATTTCAATGCTAAATTCTATGCTAATTCCTTTTAACAATGGGTGCCTCTGCGGATGTGTATGCTTTAACTTTTAACATAGCTATTTCTGTGACCAGTCACAAGCTAATCATTCAGCCTTTTCAATGCTAAATTTTATGCTAATTCCTTCGTCAAGGCTCTTTGTTCCTCTCACACAGCTTAAAAGCCGTGATCTGAACGTGGCTCTCTCACTCCAGCGCTGTCCTACCAGACAGTCTCGCTCCCTTCACCTGATGAAGGCCGCTTGTGTTGTGGCCGAAACGTCGTGAGAATATTATTGTGTTATTTTATTTTATCAATTTATTATTTTATTCTCATTCTACGTGACTTTACCGAAAGAACCAAAGAAAATGATATCGATCTATTGTTAAATAACATATGGAGAAAGCCAGAACGAGTATGAAGATCCAGTGAAGGGCACAGCATATGCCCGATCAAGGATTAATTATTTGATGATGCTGCTGCGTCAGCCCTGGAGCACAAGCACGATGAACAAAGACAACTTAACACACTCGTCAACAACACTGTTGCCTTAAAAGAAAACTATATATAATTGGAGACATTTTTGGCAATGGCCTCTCTATGTGCTATGAAGAAGGGACATTTCGCCGACCATATGTTTATGTTCTGTTGTTGAAAAGTAATCATCATCATCATACGGATCAAGAGAATAAAGAGCTGCTGCATGAACTATAAAAGGTATATGAAGAGTACATTGAGTTTCTGTATCAAGGGCGAGCTCACTGCTCTTCAAATGTGCAGTTGTGCCGCCATCTTTGGTCACGTGATACGTGTGCCATCTAACAGCAAAATATATACACACATTATGCATATGTGTAGCAGGATCACAGTAAATCACACGAACACAGTTAAGGGAATTATTAAGAACCCCATTACTGATTATTAGTGAGCCAGGACATCCTAACGTTAAATTGAACGCTCGTCACACTTTGTGAGAATATGCTTTGATAAACAGAAGTATTACCGGCTGGAAGAGAAGTGTTGTCCGGCATGCTGTTGTACACTTGGTTGCTGTGCGTGTAGACCTCAGGGTTAACCTGGGATTTCGAATCTGTGTGAAACAAGTCAAGAGGGGCACATTTCAAAACGGATAATTTATTTATTGCGAATATTTCACTAAAAAAATACTTTTCCAACCATTCATTTGGAATAAAATCTATCAGTCATTGTGAAAATAAATTTCCAGGAGGAGACAATACAGTTGTGTATCTCTTGCGAGGTAAAACACATTTAATACTATTATTTATGCTTCTTTACCTAGGAGAGCCTCACTGAAACTCAAGATGCATTTCAGGAGGGTCCTGCCAATACTTTGGCAGGAGGGGGGCAATATTTCGATGTGTAATCCTAATCGAGTAACTTGCAGGCACTTTTCATCATTGGGATGTTTTGGTCAATAACAGTTGCATCGTGTGTTGTTTTTTTTGCAATAAACATCGATTGTAGCCTAGGGCAATTTGGATGGCGCATTTGACGCACCTTACCCTGTGCACAGACCGTAGCCGGCAGGGCCTCCATTTTTAGTGTCACGGGCCGCAGCATTAATCCACTGACTTAAAGCAGAGAGAGAGAGGGGTTTTGGTTTATGACAGCTTGGCGCTGAAGTACAGGGAATTATAAGAAGAGCAGGGCAGCAGTGGAGGAACGTGGGGTGGATAAAGCTGTGTATTTGAAAGGATAAGCGTCGTGGACATCGTCTGTGACGCCACAGGAGGAGGCACCTTGCGCTAGGGGGCCAGGACACCGTCACGGAAGCATGAGGCAACACAAACAGCGGCACGGAGAAGCTACTCCGTGTAGGTCACCTGCGTGGCTGTCCCTCTTTAAATAAAAACTACTGTTGGGACATCAGAATAATTCAGATGTAATGTAAGACGCTTTGAGATGTAGGGGGGGGGGGCATTTAAGCGCCAAATAATTGACAATATTGATAAGAAAAAAAACAATCTCCAAATGCGTGTAATGTGAGTTCACCAAATACAGTTGCAACTGTGTGAAAAACTTTAAACGATGTATGCAGGCCAATCCTGGGAAAGCCGCGTAGGTGAGCCACACGGTGACAAGGGACCAGCGCCACGTTCCCAGAGCCGACTGGGCCTGGGCATGTGCTCATCCCTGCACACTGACTGCGACACAACTGTACCTGATCCCTGTGGAACCACGTAAGCCTCTGTGTACAAGGGAATGAAATGCGCATGGTTACTGCATGTGACGACATCTACACACGTTGTGTCACCTCATCCATGGTATATCCTGAATTTAAAGTAAAGTATTTAAATACCGCTTTGCTGGTTACGTTAAGAGAAGATTGCAAAAGTGTGCAGTTTGTTAATCCTTTTGTACAAAATATCCAGTACATTATGCTATCCTATAACACACTGTAATTATCATGGGACCTCCTTTGCCAGTACCAAAATATGAGAATAGATTTTCCCCTTTTTTTCTGGCAATAAAACAGGTATTAAGATGTTAAAACACCAAACTGAAACCTTTTACAAGGAATCATGTCTGCATTAACCACAATACTTGTAGTCAAAAATCAAACAAAAAACACACTGATATTATGATGCATTGTCCTTGAAACTGATTGGTCCACACCAGAGACAGCTTTCTTTTGAGCATAGTCCCAAACGGTGCTAGACCAGAGGACGCCAAAATGCATACTTACAAAAAGAGCATTTAACCTCAAGTGTTAAAGTGCGACCATTGTTTTTGCAGTGTTTGTGCCAATCGACACCCTGGACACCCTTGCAAATTAGACTTTCCATCTGAAGGGGATTTCCCAGGTGAAATATTGTAACCTGTATGTTAACAATTAACATTTGTGGTGATTGTAAGCAAGATGGCGTCACTCCGGCCGGCTGCCTTCCCTCCTCTGCTCCGCTCCCTGGCTTCAAAATCAACGTGAGTTTCGCCTCGGTTGAGCATCCAGGCACTCGTGCTCATCTCCAGTCTACAGCCCTAAGTCAGTGTCGGAAATTCCAAATCCCTACGGCGGCAGTGAGCCGATCCATAGGATAACCAAAGCTGACTTCCTCACCAGAGTAGTGCCTATTTTATCAACCCTGGAGGGACGATGGGATGAGTCAATTGGCAGACAATACGCCTAATTCCCATATCTGCCTGTCCAGATAAAATGTACGAGTATATTTGTTACGTACCCTACGGGCCTCACGACCTCCTGGAAGTTACTTTTTTCAGCAGCATGTGTTCAACACAACCAAACGTCTGCACTGGTGTTGCAAAACAGTGCCTCATCAGCAGAGTCAGGCTCATTGACTTTCTTCTAGGTCTCTTACCGAACAACGCTTCGCCATATCCTCTACCACGACCACTATCAATTCCCAGCACTCGCGTGTCTGGTAGCCAATGCTCACAACGGGGGCTTTGCCACTGCTTATAAACTAGAAACTATTTTATTTCACCAGGTAAGGCCCACTGGCGTATTTAGCGCCCATGGTGGCGAGATGAGCTTACTTGAGGACGCAGAGCGGACGATCATCACGACAATGAGGACGAGCAGAAGCAACGAGAGCGGCACGGCCAGCCCCAAGATGAGCACTGTGCGCTGGGATGCGGTCAGTCCATCAGCAGGGCTCCTGCCCTGCTGCACCATCATCGCCCGGGAGTGGGCACGGAACGACCCCTCCAGCACAAACTCCATTACAAACTCCCCTGCAGACAGAGCAGCAGTAGCAGCAGACAGCATCAACAGCAGGAGACACAGCAGCAGCATATACAGGGGCACACAGGAAAAGAGTTATCACACCTGGTGGACACTGTCATCTACTGAATACCACTTTGAGATATGACATCTGAATATAACATGCGGGTGACACCCTGACGGACCATTCTAGTGCAGGTCACTGGTCCTCCAGACTCATGTTTACATGCATTTAACTTAGAGTCGCTTCAGTAACCCTTAATTGGGCATAGTTGTATTTTAAAGGATGCACTATATATACTTTTTATTACTCTTTGGGTGATGGTAAAATGCCTAGAAAATTCACACAATTTTTTTCATTTTCAGATATACCAAAAAATGTATGGCTCGTGTCATAATAAACATTCAATGAACGAGTTATCTAAAAAAAACTCGTGCTGGATGTCAAAGTGACATAATTGACTGAAGACAACATGAGAAATGTGTGGCCCGAGTCTTTGTGGAATGAAGTCAACGTACGTTCAGACCCGGGGCTTTTCTCGACGTGCCCGCTGTGGTCACGACTCGCTCCAGGCAGTGGCACCGCAGACGTCAGCCGCGTCTCGGGCAATTTGGCGCACCTCATGTCTAACAGCAGCCACCCGTGCACAGCTTTACGCACCGTTGACGTTCAGGCGTTAAACTTATAAATAGCTTTGTGAGTCTCGTGGGTAGCTGAACATGTGTGCACTGTGCTTCGTTGCCTGGTCAAGTTTTCAAAATCTCTGCTAATTTAATCTTGAAAAGCTGAAAATGGCTGCCTCTGATTCTGAAATTCAAACGCCTGTTTGCCTTCATGAGATATATTTTTATCGAATGGCTACAAATGAAATACACACATTTTTCATTCATGGTGTCTCCCACAGGAGGATAACTACTGTCGTGTTTCTCTCCACACCTCAACAGGAGGCTCCACAACCACAGAGCCCACCCACTAGGCCGGGTTTCTGCTGTGAGCTTATGACAGACCGAGCCCTGTTTGTCTTCCTCAACCATCACCACTCTCTTGCCAGCCTTCACACCTCTCTCCTAGTAATCCTCCCGTAATCACGGCACTTCTTTAGGCAGCTGGCAATGAGACCGAGTGATCACTGGAATGTAGCGCCGATTATCGTGCTTTGCTGAAGCGCTGTCGCACAGTGGTTTACTACTAAACTATGTTTTCATCTTACCCAGGTAAGGCCCACTACTGAGATATGTAGCTCTGTTTCAGAAGGAGACCTGGCCACAAATGATAGCTCAACGAAGTGGCTTATCACGTGTACATGCATAGCAGCAGCCAAATACTCTGAACGCGTGACGTTTATTCTAAATGTGAAGGACCTCGAGAAAATATCCACGCAACCACAGGGAGAGAGAGACACGCAAACTCCAGATATACAGGGGGCGTCAGGGTCGGGATCGAACCCACAACCTCCTGCGTACCAGGCGAGGGAGATGACATCTCGCCACCACGGCACCCCTTTTTACCTGTTTGGGTGATGCTCAAATCACTGAAGTTGGCCCAGCAGCCCGAAAATGCGATGGTTTTGGTGCCATTGAGGTACGGCACCATCTCACCCGATGTGTTTTTCAGGAGAGCCAGGACACTCCACGATGTGACCCCAAACTCCATGCAGTTACCCTGCCCACGGAGCAGCGGAGAGAACCATCATGTCAGCAAAGGACCCAGCAGCAGCAGTGACAGCACTTTCTATATTATTCGTAGCCAAAGTTGTACACGTTAAATTGGTACGACACAATAAGCTCGATACTTTGAACCTTAGTGCATTACAACAGCGAACATGTGTTGGAGACCGCACATTGTAAAAAAAGTATTGTAACTATTGTCACAATTCATCCTACTATAATGAATTACTCGTGTAATTAATTACATATGAACATTATGTATGTTGATTAACTGTGAATAACCCAACCAATAACAGATATATTGTCATTTATATGAATACATTAACACTCTGGCCTTCACACATGATTGGTTCACAAGTGACCTCACATTTATCCCCTCTATTTAAGACAGAAACTGGAGGATGTATCCACAACTCTAGCTGTCGCCTGATGAGACTGGTTGTAATTACCAATAAAGCGTTGTACTCGAATTGTAAATGCTGTGGACTTACGTGACAAACCTTACTAATTGACGGTCAGGTGGTAGCGAGTTAAACGACAAATTTATATTTACACGATCTAACCCAAAAAACCTCTACTAAGGAAAATGTACACTTAATTCTGAATCTACAATGACATCTTGGTAGGCAGGAGAAGGTGTGAACTGATGGCCAATGATAAAATCGGGCGATAATATCAAAAGCGCGCTTTAGAGATCATAAAAAATAAAATCAGTTTTAATGATTTTCTCATCAAGGCAAAAACGCAACAAAGCACTCATCACTTGGCAATGATGAAGTAAGCGACAGAGCTGTTGGCAAACGTGAAACAAGTTTGTTGTGTTGCCAAGACACAAATGGGAAAAATACAACTGTGAATACAATTCAGCATCTATATATTGAGCCGTGCGCATTATTTATTTATTTATTGTTAGCTATAATGACTAAAAAACATCACTGATGTTGGTTTCGTCAACGGCAATATAACTATTGTAAAACAAACATGTCTTAAGGATCTATTGCGCCAAACCCATTCCATCGTTGAACATCAGAGGCCATAGGATAACAATGTTAGGTCTAAAGTTCATTTTGCCAACATGTCCAAAATTCCGAGTTTCCCAGAAAAAAAAACACTCGGGCCAAACAACAATTCTCCCAATCGCAAGTGCAAAAGTACAACCCGCTCTAATCTCACCTTCACAACCAGGGCGCTATAAGTTTCTCAAAAAGGGGAGCGGCACTGTTTTATCTTCCGAGCTATTGTTGCATCTCTTCCCCCCCACCCTGCGATTCTCAATGCAATCGCTGCATCACGGACGAGTCAAACAGAAAACTAATAAAAAAGACTGACAAGAGGATTTTACTGTCGTTGACAAGGGAAAAAAAAGATTTCCACATTTTTGCTGAATGAGTCAGCCAGTGATATGCCTTGAGTCAAGGTCTGCCATGACTTTGTGAGCGAACAAGTCATTATTATTATTACTACAATGCTTTTTCACCAGGAAAGCCTCATCGAGCTTCGAGACTCTTTATCCGGAGAATTTATGCCAAGCTTTTTGCCGCAGGGGGAAATGTTGCCATGAGTGATCTCAATTGAGTAATTTGCAGCTCATTATTCAGCATCGTAATGTTTGGCCAATACCCCTTTTCAAAATGTGTTGGGGGTTTTAGCTATGCGAGTAAATCAGAGAATTCGGAGGAAACCCGTGCAGAACAGGGGGAGAACATACAAACTCCACAGACAGTGGCGCCCGAGTCGGGAATCAAACCAAGGCCCCTTCTGGCTGTGGGGCACGAGCGTCACCACTGTGCTGCCAGCATGCCACGCAGAGTGAGATCAGAGTGTGCGTCGCAACGCCGCTCCCGTGCTCGCCGTGCTCGTCGTGGGAGCCCCGTGACCAATGGCAGCTGCGCCACAAAATAGACGCCTCAACTGTCATCATTATTGTCTCTCAGTCCTTGGGGCATCCGCGGATTGGCAGATAAATTATAATTACTGATAAATAAGACATGTGGGTCTCATGGATTCCACAAATAATGAAAGGGTTCCTCCATAAGAGGTTAATGCACAAGAGAGCATCACGCTGCGGTAGAAATAATAAAATAACATAACAGTGTACGACGTTTCGATTTCAACACAAGCAATCATCATCAGGTACAGAAGAGCTACATTTACGAGAGAGAGGAGACACATAACCGCAGATATATGTACAGACACAGATATCCCCTGTTGTATCTGTGTCTGTACATATAGCTGCAGTTATGTCTCCTTTCTCTCGTAAATTTAGCTCTTCTGTACCTGATGATGATTGCTTGTGTTGAAATCGAAACGTCGTACACTATTATGTTATTTTATTATTTCTACGTGACTTTACCGAAAAAAACAAAGATTAATTACTGCAGTCACGAAAGCTCCAAATTCAAGTTTCTGAGCAGTTATCGCTCTCTTTCTCCACCGTCACACATTGTCCCTAAAGTATTCGTTGAGTTATTCGAGTGCGCTAATACGCTCTAGAGTGACCTAATATGTATTCAGACGGCGCTTTGTATCATTGCAGCTGTAGTTAATGCTTTCATTGATACACATAGCAGCACGCGCATGACGAGCAAAGGGACAAAGGTGACGTACATCTCGGTCATCGGCTCGGAGGGCGGGCTGCACGAGGAAAGGTTGGCCTAGGGGCCCAGCCATGGGCTCGACTGCCAGCACCAGAGAGCCCAGCTCCGGCACGGGCAGCCAGGGGTCAGACCAGTTCACTGGCACCGAGGCCATCTGCAACGAAAACACCACCAAAAACACGGCCACAACTGCTCACATACGGCTTCTGTGAATCACACGGACGAGTGGCGGGCGAGAAGTTCCGGTAAACGATGGTACGCTGCACTGGCTATTCTCAGAGTACCAGACACGTGTGTACCTGCACTGTTCAGAACCATTCCTATGCTGCGGTGTTTTTTGCAGAGGGGAAACAGCAGTGAGTGTTAGAGTGTGAGTGTCTATGTGTAGTGGGGAGTGGTGGCACAGCATTTAGCACGCTGTACTACAGTGAGGGAAAAAAGTATTAGATCCCCTGCTGATTTTGTACGTTTGCCCACTGACAAAGAAATGATCAGTCTATAATTGTAATGGTGGGTGTATTTGAACAGTGAGAGACAGAATAACAACAACAAAAATCCAGAAAAGCGCATGTCAAAAATATTATAAATTGATTTGCATTTTAATGAGGGAAATAAGTATTTGACCCCCTCTCAATCAGAAAGATTTCTGGCTCCCAGGTGTCTTTTATACAGGTAGCGAGCTGAGATTAGGAGCACACTCTTATAGGGAGTGCTGCTAATCTCAGCTTGTTATTTGTATAAAAGACACCTGTCCACAGAAGCAATCAATCAATCAGATTCCAAACTCTCCACCATGGCCAAGACCAAAGAGCTCTCCAAGGATGTTAGGGACATGAATGTAGACCTACACAAGGCTGGAATGGGCTACAAGACCATTGCCAAGCAGCTTGGTGAGAAGGTGACAACAGTTGGTGCGATTATTCGCAAATGGAAGAAACACAAAAGAACTGTCAATCTCCCTCGGCCTGGGGCTGCATGCAAGATCTCACCTCGTGGAGTTGCAATGATCATGAGAACGGTGAGGAATCAGCCCAGAACTACACGGGATGATCTTGTCAATGATCTCAAGGCAGCTGGGACCATAGTCACCAAGAAAACAATTGGTAACACACTACGCCGTGAAGGACTGAAATCCTGCAGCGCCCACAAAGTCCCCCTGCTCAAGGACATACATGCCCGTCTGAAGTTTACCAATGGACATCTGAATGATTCAGAGGACAACTGGGTGAAAGTGTTGTGGTCAGATGAGACCAAAATGGAGCTCTTTGGCATCAACTCAGCTCGCCGTGTTTGGAGGAGGAGGAATGCTGCCTATGACACCAAGAACACCATCCCCACCGTCAAACATGGAGGTGGAAACCGCATCAAAGGGACGATGGGCGGGGCCATGTACCGTCAAATCTTGGGTGAGAACCTCCTTCCCTCAGCCAGGGCATTGAAAATGGGTCGTGGATGGGTATTGCAGCATGACAATGACCCAAAACACACGGCCAAGGCAACAAAGGAGTGGCTCAAGAAGAAGCACGTTAAGGTCCTGGAGTGGCCTAGCCAGTCTCCAGACCTTAATCCCATAGAAAATCTGTGGAGGGAGCTGAAGGTTCGAGTTGCCAAACGTCAGCCTCGAAACCTTAATGACTTGGAGAAGATCTGCAAATAGGAGTGGTGGCCAACTACAAGAAACATCTGACCTCTGTGATTGCCAACAAGGGTTTTGCCACCAAGTACTAAGTCATGTTTTGCAGAGGGGTCATTAAGAGGGGTCAAATACTTATTTCCCTCATTAAAATGCAAATCAATTTATAACATTTTTGACATGCGTTTTTCTGGATTTTGTTGTTGTTATTCTGTCTCTCACTGTTCAAATAAACCTACCATTAAAATTATAGACTGATCATTCCTTGTCAGTGGGCGAACGTACAAAATCAGCAGGGGATCAAATACTTTTTTCTCTCACTGTATGAACCCGGCGATCTGAGTTCGATTCCTGCTCACGGTAAACACAAGTAACGAATATCTGAACTGGTTCTGGGCCTCCCCTAGGTCGACTCAGCCTTAAATGAGTACCTGGTACGGTGTGTAAATATCTCCACAAGGCAAACAAAGGTGGCCAGGCGTGGTGCTGGCCATCCATCCCCACGTGTGCCGTGTCGGCCTTTGTAGGTGCTCACTAACAGCATGTGCCCCGACAGTCAGTTAATGCTATACCGGAGCTATTTATTTGTCTCTGTGTATCAGTGAACATGGGTTGCAAGCCAAATAGCTTAAATACCATAACTTCTACGTTTACATTGCATATTGCGCCAACCACTGCGCCACCGCTCCCACCCATATCCATATAATCCATTGTCATCTGTAAATATTAACGGAACGGTTTCTACGATGGTAACTCTTTCTTGACACCATAAAATACCCGTGGGAGATAGCCAATGCCTCTAGTAGCTGCGAGCTGGAGGGGAAGAACCGCGGTGGACCTCACCTTATCCCATGCCACACTGCCCGCAGGCGGCATGGGTTTGATGATCTTGGCTCCTGTGATGTTCACTCCCAGGGCAGTGCTAAGATTGCCAAGCTGCAGCGATGCAGAGAGCCGCTTTGTCGCTTCCTGCAGCTCGGCCCACGTCAGGCCAGATGAGGCTGAGCAGACCAAATGGCAATGGGGAAGGTGTTACGTTCGTTACGTCGACTACAGGGCAGGAATGGACAATAACGCTTTGTAATCAACTCATAGACTGGGCAGTGATAATGATGGAGTGTGCAGAGTTAGGACTCCATAAGGAGACGCATAAAGGATGCAATTGGTCAATTGGAGGCAGCTGCCCTCCAGGAACAATGGAGCGTGGAGGAGCGACTCTCACAACAACGAGCAGAGCGCCGGGTGGCCAACACACAGCAAGTTGGCACAGTGGGGAGCACAGGCGGTGTATCTACCACTACCAGTCATCTCAGTTCAACCAAAACATCTGGATCTGTCCCATGACCTGCCAGCGAGTCTTCCACACTTCGCGTGGTTCAAAGTGCACCTGGCCTGGCACAAGTGTCGTGGTAATGTTACCGATGCTTCATGGCAAATGGAGGCTGTATGAAACCGATGGCCTGATTTCACTGCCTGACCACTGATAACTTCAGTACTATATGTCCCATCCGTTTCTGGGCCTCACTGAGGTTGACCAAACCTTAAATAAGTACCCAGTGTGGCGACTAAATATCAGCACTCGTGAGACAAAGGAGGTCAGGCATGTTGCTATCCTCACTCACCCCTTTGTGTTTTGCGCGGTCTACAATGCCGTCAGGGATCTTTGTGTTTGTCTCCGTGTGTACGAGAGAGAGAAAATGTCACTGTTGCATCCAACTGCTGGTGATTTTTCAGAAAATTTCCCAAAATCTGAATTTCCACAAAAAAAACAGAAAATAAATCATGGATCGAGCTCCGAGTCTGCAGACAACCGGAAACACAGGGCAGCAGTCACACTAGGGAGAGGCTACACACACGTCGTCACCTGAGATGTATGTGTTGGCTTAGGGTCGCGACCTTTTTCGCAGACCAAACCCGGACATATTTCTCAGGCAGCCTTAGGCCTACCAAAAATGTGCAGTGCGCTGCGATACATTTTGACATAATACCGGTACAACATATCAGTCTCAAATCAATTCCTGCCAATTCTCTCAAATTCCTGCCAATTCTCTCAGATCAATTCCTGCCAATTCTCTCAAATTCCTGCCAATTTTCTCAAATCAATTCCTGCCAATTCTCTCAAATTCCTGCCAATTCTCTCAGATCAATTCCTGCCAATTCTCTCAAATTCCTGCCAATTCTCTCAGATCCATTCCTGCCAATTCTCTCAAATTCCTGCCAATTTTCTCAAATCAATTCCTGCCAATTCCCAACTGTGTCTGGGTCAAACCCAGACAGGTGGCGACCCCAATGTTGGTACCAAGGATGGACGACTTCATGAGCAGGGCATCCGCATATTAAAACTAAACTAAACAATTTTTTTATTTTACCAGGTAAGGCCCACTGAGCTATTTAGCTCTTTTTCATAAGCGTCCTGGCAATAAATGACAGCTCAACGAAGTGGCTTATCATGTGGAAATTTATAGCAGCCAAATACTCTAAACGCGTGTATGTAAATGTGGAGGGGAAAACCGGAGGACCTGGAGAAAAATTCCACGCGGCCACGGGGAGACAGACAGGCAAATATACAAGCGTCAGGGTCAGGATCGAACGCACGACCTCCTGTGTACAAGGTGAGGCAGTGAACATCTCGCCACAGTGGCGCCCACCTCGCCTCCCATGGCGCAACCTGTGTAGGTCGTGGGTTCCATCCTGATCTTGACGCCTGTATACAGTAAAACCTTGGATTGCGAGTAACTTGGTCTGCAAGTGGTTTGCAATATGAGCATTTTTTTAAAATAAATATTAATTTGATAAACGAGCGAGTGTCTTGCAATACGAGTAGTACGTATAGACGCTTTGTCTGCCGAGCGTCACGTGATCACAACTGATATACGAGTGCTTTGATATACGAGTGCTTTGGATTACAAACACGTTTCCGGAACGAATAATGCTCGCAATCTAAGGTTTGACTGTATTTGTAAATTGCATGTTCATTGCATGTTCTCCCTGTGGTCGCATGTGCCCCCCAGGCTTGTGCGCATGCTCTCATCTATACAAATAAGCAAGACGGGCAGCACTTAGTTCCCAGGTCCGTAACCATTGCCGTGTCCAGCCTTGTCCATACGCCGAGCATCTGGAATGCTCCACTGAGGAATCCATCCACCCCAGCCACGTTCAGAATACATCAGCTGATCCGGTGGTAATAAAAAAAAAATCTGGCCGTGACACGAGAATGCATTGACTGTCTATTGCGAACGATGCACTGTTATGCAACCGCACTTTATGCATGTAGTAGTAATAATAATAATAATGCAGTGAATTATCTGCGGGCGTGTTCAGAAAAAAGACTGGAACTAGGTCAACAGCGATCGTTGGTTTGCATGTAAAACCAGCCTCGGCCCGGTATCTATGAAGATATAAAGGTCACATTCCCCTGGCCTCTCAAACGTCACCACCGTCGGCCAAAGGCAGCCGTGAACCTTGCAACCCACGGCCAACGGGCGGCAACGAGAGCACCGCGGCCGCCCCCTCGCGCACCGTCTCCGTCGTCGGCGGGGAGCCTGAGCGGCGGCCGACCGGAGACGGCGATCTCCACGTGCAGCACCGTGGCCGAGCGCCTCCTCCGGCGCCGGCGCGCGCCGCCGTCCTCGCGCACGACGCGCGTCGCGCGCAGCTTGTCGGCCGGCACGCCGAGCAGCAGCGCCAGCTTGGGCACCAGCTCCGACGAGTAGAACGCCTCCAGCGTCATGGCGGGCACGTCGAAGGAGACGAAGAGCATCGGCGAGACGCGCACCTCCACGGGCGCCCCGCCCCGCAGCACCACGTGCAGAGTCTGCTCCCCGCGCTCGAAGTAGTTGGCGCCCGCAACGGAGGAGCTCACCGCCGGCACGAATTCGCCTGCGGCGGAGAGACGCCCGCGCCGCATTCGTTCGTTTGCCGTGGTCGCGCGGAACACGACGCCGTCCTAACCACATCGCTCCTTGGTCACCGACATGCCGATTTACCAGTCGTTCATTTTGAGTGCAAAACCAGCGCACGTAAAACGATGATTTCAGGAGCTAAGCAGGGCTTGGGCCTGGACAGTGCTGGAATGGGCAACCACTGTGCACAAGTAGGTTGTTATAGGCTTCGGGGCTAAGTAGTGTGCAGCAGAGAGCAGGGTGCAATAGCAATGACTGCACTGCACCCCTATGCTCCCGTATCTATATATGCACCCTGCCTTCACAAACCCCTTACTGGCGAGGTGTGGTGAAGTGACCGACATGGCACGGCTAGGAGGCATTTATCCTACAGTGGATTGATGAGGGACGTACACCATCGTCAGAGAATGGTCAGTAACCGTCAGGCCAAGCCTGCTGTTTGTACAGCAAGCCCTACCTTCATAGCTGGGGGCCACAAGAGTGTACTCAGTTCGCTCCGCGTTCCACTGAGCATTGCCGGGCGCCACCAGCGCTCCGTCCACGTAGACGTCCAGGCGCTGAGGCGTGGAATAGAACACCCCCACGCGCACCGCCTGCGCGCAGACACACGGCACCGCATGAGCACTGCAGCGCGGCCGCACAGCCTGCACGCGGGCGCACGCTGACCGGCTCCCGACACCTACGGCGCGGCCAACGCAAGGTGCACCTGTAAGCTGCAGAGCCCACCGACAGGGGACCGCACGCGCACTGCAGCTTACACGCAGGCCACACACGAGCGCGCACACTGGCCAGCCCCCATCGCACGCAGTCAACGCAGGGTGCACCTACCGCCTGCAAGCTGCAACATGGCAATAGGAAACGAAGGTGCAACCCTGCTGCATATGCTACTGGCGTGAGCAAGACTCTGCATATGGGGCATTGCAGAGAGCCCCCCCTGGAGGGTATTCAGCCTACTCTTCCACACTGGACAGATGCCTTGGAAGAGGTGGGAATGACCACACCCCCCCCCCCCCCGACCCTCCGGACGTGACCTGCCCCATGCCTGTGGTGAACTAATTTACAACTGCTTAGTGAAGAGAGAAGGTGAAAACGAATGAACGTGCCCCATCGTTTCAGCTGCCGCACAGGGAGATAGAATCGAGATGGCAGGTCCAGTGTGTGAACCGTTTTACCACTGTGGCGAGTGTTGTTTATATAAGCCTTTTTCCAAAAAATGTATATAAAAAAAATTCTGCCATTTTATTTTATAATAATAAGCGATGAAATAAATAAATAAAGCACCCTCAAACCCGCTACCTCCCACAAGCACCAAGCATCTGGAGGTCGTAAAAGGCCATTAAATAATAAACTCCGGGACAAAGGGAGGATAACGACGATCTGCAAAATCTCCAGATTGCCAAAGGACCGCATGTCATGACCTGCTTGGCACTTTGGACAGTTCACAAACAAATATCCAGAATCACTGGCACGGACGCAGAGCACAGGGCAAACGGACATTATAACTGATATATTTTTTTGTACGGAAAAAGTTGAAGCTTGGCTATAAGAATAAGTCGACATTATAGACTGCAGTATTCCTTATATTATTTCTTATTGTATCTTTCTATCTACGTGACTTTACCAAGAGAACCAAAGTACATGAGTTCCTGCAATCACGAAAACTTAAGTCCAAACTAAGCGATATCTCTGACCTTGAGAATAAAAAGCACGGATCCCTGGATGCAGACAGGGAGCAAAAAGTAATAAAACCCTTGAAATACCGGAGGTAACATCTAATGACATTACAAATCTTGGTTAAACATAAACCAAATAATAATCACAAGAGATTAGACCTAGGGTAACTCATTAGAGGTACAAAAAAATAAGGTCAAACACACAAGACCAGATAAATGTATTCCATGAAATCAGAGCCTCCCCGGCCGCCTTTGTCTTCCAACAATTTGACACAAACACATGGTAGCCATGAATACGTATGAAAGGTGCGTCCCCTCCCTTAGCAGACACCACGAAGAGAGGGGTTGGGAGTGCAAACAAACATCAATTTGATGTAAAGCAGCCCGCCCGGGGTCACCAAGGGAAGAGGGGGGGAGAGTATGACGGAGTAAGCATCTGTTTTTTTTCTCGCAAGAGACGCGCAGAGGGGAGACATTTTCAGATATAAACAGCAACACGACACACAATTTTAAGCTCGCCAAGGGACAGCTCGACACAGCAGCTCGGAAGAGGACAGCAAGCCAGCTCCAGGGCATGGCCTCGAGACATTGGCAATGGGTGCTGCGTCTCGCAGAGAAGAGGGACGAGGTGATGTTAGGTGCTGAGTTCGGCATGGACCGACAGAGTATCGCTGAAAGTTTATTCTACATTCATCCTGATGTTTTGAGTCGCTTGCAGAATCGAGGATTGCGATAAGCTGTATTGTACTAAGCTATCAGAGTTGTGTAAGAGGTGTGCAAATACAATTTTCAAGTTTTGAGAGTGAGTGATCCAGCCAGCAGAGAGCAGCTCACAGCAAGAGCCCTCCTGGAAGAAGGGTGAAGAGCACGAAAGTTGAGCAACGACAAAGCGCAGCCGTGAAGTAAGGGCGGGTGTCCGTGTGAAGCTGGCCGCTGCACGATCAAGGAGAGAGCAAGAGAAATGAGAGAGAAAGAGTGCCGAGCGACGACAAGCAATCAACCTGGAGAAAGGGCGGAAAGCGCCAAGCCTCGACCAAGCCAGCGTCACAGAGAGCCAGCTCCACCGAGCGAGGGTGTCTGCCACCAGCTAACGAGCTGCACGCGCAACCGGCATCGCCAGAGAGAGAGAGACGGAGCAAGAGAGAGAGCGCCACCAGCGCCACCGAGCGAGGGTGACAGCCGCCAGCGGACAAGCGTTGTGCCGACTCTGCTCATCCAGCAGGGGAAAGAGCCCGACCAGCCGCCCGTGAGCAAGAGCGTTGGCGCCAGCGAGCGCGCCGTGGGTTCGACCCACACGCACGCCGACCGGCACCGGCTGGGAACCAAGACGAGAGTGAGGAACTGCAGCCAGCGGACGAGCTGCGGGCGCTGTCTGACGACGGATCATCGCGCACAGACGGCGAGCGTCGTGCCGACTCTTCCAGCCAGCTGCGGCCCGAAACTGTGGCCGCCCCCGAGCAAGAGAGAGAGCGAAGCCGTTTGTACGACCCTCCCCACACTCACAGCCTCACGACGCATCGCCCGGCGTCTGCTTTACGCAAAGAATTGAACAAGTGGCAAAGAAGACACACAACACGCATTTAAGATTGTTCCAAAAAGTTATCTTTGTGTTTCAAGAAGGGTTGCCATTCCAAGGTGGTGCGTTAAATATCAACTGATCGTGAAGAACATTGCTGCCCATTGAGTTACGTGGATACGGTCATTTAGAAGTATTTTAGTCGTTCGTTTTTTTATTTTTTATTGCATAATCTTACCAATGAATTAATTGATAACTACTCTTGCCTTCGGGACATGTTTCTTCATTGCCCTTCGTATGAATATCGTTGCATGAATTTTAAGGACTTTTCCTCTCGCCGTATTTGCTCGCGTACTCTGAGGAATAATCAATTGTACTGTTACCCAGTTAACAAACGTGACCATTGAGGGTTAAATGTATGGATGAATGAGGGGAACATCTCCAGGAGTACTGTGTTGACAATTCCAAGCATAAGAGTTCGCATATTAGAGTGTTAAGGTTTGTTTAGAAATTAAAATTGCTTAACACAGAAGTGCATAATAAAATCTTAATAATAAGAACTGTATCCTGCGGTGAGATTTGAATTTGTAGACCTAATATAAACACACTAAGACATAATCAGTAAATGTTAAAGCAAGAATAATTGTATTATACTGATTGATAATACAACCCTAGACAACGAAGCCGAGCTTAATCTAGCATACTTACATCACACTTGCATAACTGTCTTATCCCGATTGATAATACTACCATCGACAACGAGGTTGAGCCTAATTATCATAACTGCATACATTAGCATAATCAGACACATTTGCATAAGTTGATCTGATTACATCTTAATTAGCATAATTTATGCATATAATTACACCAATTAACATAATTTCGGACAATTAAGGAATATTCCCAAATTACATTTTATGTTTATTATATTCATCAAATTTTCAATACCTGGCTCCCTTTGTATCGTGGCATTCAACTTTAAATAGAGGTCATTGGGCTGCATTGGCCTTTCTTTGATGATTTATTATGATGCTTTTACAACCAGGAAAGCCTCGTTGAGTCTCAAGACTTTCTCAGGAGGGTCCCGCCAAGTTGTTGCCAAGCGTAATCCTAACCAAGCAATTTTCAGGTTCTGCAGGAGATTTAGGATGCTTCACCGATGTCACGAGTACAAACGGAACTACAACCAAAACTATCTGTAACCGCAACACGTTCCCGTTGCGGCAATGGCTTCCGAATAGCGGACGCTGCGGGAGGACTACGCGCACGGCAGCGCTCACCGTCTCGGGCTCCGCGTTGAGCATCATGAGGCGCAGGTGCTGGGGGCTGGTGCTGGTGAAGTGCAGGCTGTACGACGTGTTGGCGGCCACCACTCCGTGGAACAGAGAGATGCGGCGCTGGCACGTGTACCCTGTGCACCAGCCGTGGTCCTGTGGGCCTGAGTACCGTGTAGGAGACAACAACAACAACAACCATCATCAGGGGCACAACGAGCTATTTCAACCGGGGCTACGCAACATACGACTGTGGGGCCCCCTCCTCTCTCCCGACTCACTTATACCAAAATAGCTACGGATGTTTCTAACCCGTATACAATAATATGTAGGCTATAACTACATATATTATACTCTTTGGTTCTTTCGGTAAAGTCACGTAGGTAGAAAAAATAACAGATCACGACGTTTCGATCGCAACGCAAGCACTCGTCATCAGGTGGGACAACCACAGCAAGAAACAACGGCTGAAGTAGGCGAGAGATCTGCCGTGGCACGAGGTTATATAGTGTAGGCCTCGGCAGTAGGGGGGGAGAGAAGGGGGTGGGGGGAGAGAGGGGGCGGGGCAGAAAGTGGACCCAGCAGCAGCACCCGGGTCACTGGAGTAGAGTGGACCACCGCGGCAGCACTGGAGAGACCGGCTGCCGGGGGGGAGAGAGAAGGGGGGGGGGGGAGAGATGGACCTCCGTGTTCTGGGACTGGCGGGATCCGAGGTAATTTCCAAGTAGTTGTTTAGAAAATATCTCCAGAAGCTTAACAGGGTTGAGCTTGGATGGTGCTTGGATTGGTGACCACCTTGCACACAGGTTGTTATAGGGCTTGCCGAGCTACACGGCGGGCATTGCTGGACTCTACTCCTACGCCCCCACGTCCACGCGGACTAATCTCCACCATCGTGGTGAAGTACGGTCAAAAGAAGCTTCACAGACCGCACGGGATGTGGGCAGGCCCTCATCCAGCAGAATCAGAATCAGGATATTTATTTATACTAGAGGAATCTGATGAGCTATAAAGCTCTTTTTCACAGATGTCCAGTAGGGGTGGGTAAGAACGTTACAACGGCAAACAATACAAAAAAAACGATAGGAGTGCAAAGTATAAAAAAGGTAAACATATCACCCAAACACACAAATAAAACTAAACCATCTCCATCCTACAAGGCAAAAGCCCACTTGAGGTATTAACTTATTTTTTAGAAGCGATCTGGCCACAAATGATAGCTCAACAAAATGACCTTTAATATGGACGTTAATAGCAGCGGGCCGACTCAATGGCTGTGCAGGCGCATGAGGGCCCACAGAGATGAAACTCCCAGGCAAGGTGAAACAGGCCGTGCAATTCACGGGTCATGGCGAGCGTGCGGGCGGGCACCGTTGATGAGGTCGACGTAGCCGTTGGCGAGCAGCGCCACGGGGGAGAGGCGACGCGTCTCCGTGTCGGGGTCCAGGCTCTCGATGACGAGCATCTCGTACTGCAGGCCCGAGCAGCGCCACGCCTGCCACGCGGCCTCCAGCACGCAGGTGGCGTCGCGCACCACGCCTGCGCGCCCCCGCGCCACAAACGCACACTCAACTGGCAACGCGCGCGTCATACTGACAGGCCAACTGCCGTGGTGCTGAAATATCTGACGAAACAAAGTCGGACCTGCGAATCATCGCAGCATGAATATGTACGAAAGAGGCAGAAAGCTGTTCCGTTCTCCTCAAAGTCAAACTGGTCGATACGTCGCGGCTACATTTGGCAGTGTTGCAGGCGTTCCCACATCAACGTAAGTAGTAATAATCGAGCGTCTCTCTGCTCGAATGAGCACGAAGCAGAGCTCATTCTCACTTATGGAGCTGAGCCAGTGTTGAGAATTCCAAACGTCTACGGCAGGTCCAGTTCCATTAAGAGACAACCACCATTCTACGTTTCGCAAAAGCTTCGCTGCTTGTTTTGATCGCTGCTCGGGGGGGCGACCGGGTCCACAGGTGACACAAACGTGCCCAGCGGACGCTGCGTCCCAGTCGGTGTCGCTCTAAAGTTACAACCTTTCTACAATAACATTACCCCCCCCCGCCCACCCCGTGGCAGCGCCTTCTGCAGACTCCCGGCCACCACCAGGCCCTGAGCGGCTTGCACCGCCCCCCCTCGCCGTCGCTGCTGGTGACCGCGTACCCTTGTTGGGCGCGATGCTGGCGACGGGGATGCGGGAGCCGTCGGCTCTGGTGAGCAGCGTGCGAGGGATGCGATAGTCCCCCAAGCCGTGGCGGGGGTCTCCGTCCCACTCGTACTCGGACTGCGGCACCACGGCGCCGGCGGAGCCTCCGAGCAGCGAGCCGTCGAGGTCCCGCAGCAGGGCCTTCTTCTTGGCGTCGCAGTCCATGTCCACGCAATCCGACGGGTTCACCTTGCTGGTCACCGCACGCCCAGCACGTCGCCCGTCACTCGCACCTCACGCATGCAGCGTTCATGCCTCGCACCTTTTCAGCGCCATTACTATAATCGTCGTCATCATCATCATCATCAAGTGAACGCAACAAATCATCATCAATTTACCCTTAACAAAACAACTACGACACATCCAACTCGGGGGACCATCTTCTCTGCGGTGGTTTACATTCAAATACGGTCAGGACTTGTGTTTTTTTATCCTCGTACATTGTAGTTCTTGTATTTGACACAAGTGTAATGATCATCCTTAGTTCATTAGGTGTTTCTGCAACTTAATGTTATTCTCGTTTTCAAAAGTAATTTGTCATAGTCAATGTTTGTTTCAAAAATGTATTTAATTTAATATTAATGTTTGTTTCCCTTTGGTTGTCTTTGCTGTCCCATTTGGTTGATTTGGCTCTGATTTTTATCGGCTTCAATGCACCACGGTGGCGAGATGTTATCAGGAGGTCGTGGGTTCGATCCCGACCCTGACGCCTGCTGTATATTTAGAGTTTGTGTGTCACTTTCCCCGTGGTTGCGTGGATTTTTCTCTGGGTCCTCCGATTTTTCCCTCCACATTTAGAAACATGTGTTTAGAGTATTTGACTGCTATGAATTTCCACATGATAAGCCACTATCATTTGTGGCCAGGTCGCTTCTGAAAAAGAGCTATATATCTCTATATAAAATAAAAATTATTTTAGTTTATTTTCGTTGTAATTGATTATTGTCATTGTGTCGACTCAGGTCACCCTGGCAAATCGCTCGTCCAGATCTATCAATATTCCGACCTGGTTGAACTTAAAACAAAGCGGGAGGCACGCGACGCGTGGAGAGTAGGGTCGCGAAGCACGCTCGCCGTTTACCTCAGGTCGGGCCTGTGGATGAAGACGCGTGCGCTGGCGGGAGCGTCAAACCAACGGAGGCGCCGTGTGTGGACCGGGTGCTGGAGGTCCTCGTTGAGCGGATTGGTCATGAAGGCCACACTCCTCTTGCCGGAGCATGCCTCTCCGAAGCCCGCAAACACGACATCTGAACACACGGCACAAAACGTCAGCTACCTCCACTCATGGCGAGACGACCTTAGCCTTTTTGGCGTGGTATTTTCTCTTGGGAGAATCGATTCACGCCCACGGTGATTGAAGAATTAAAACTGGAAAATAAAATCCAAAAACGATCGTGATTCAGCATCACGGTTCAAGGATGTCTGTTGCCCCGCTTGTTCTACTCATTGGCGTCGTCGGTCACGCGTCTGGTTTGATCGTCGGTCACATGTCTCATTTGATCTAAATAGTCGCGTGGAAAGGCATGCGTTAAGAGATGAGGAGTTGCACAAAACAACGTTCTAAAGGTGCACCATCGTCATCACCACCCACATGGTCTACGCACTGCTCAATGAAGGTCTCCCAATCGCTCATGGTTCCCGTAATGCCACAATCTATTCACATGAACTGATCTCATTGCTCCATCCCCGCGGAGGTCCTCCTCATCTGTGGTACCTCCCCCTGGCTCTGAGCCGTCTTCTCTCTCTCTAGGAGAGCGAGGAGCAGATACCGTACGACGGTGGTGGCGGCGCGGCGTTAAAAGTTGAACTTACAATTCTTATTATTACTCCAAAAAAGTGGAAGAAGCGGGAGAGAAACATCGAGTTTATAATGGTGCCTAAAGGGGGAACCATGATATAATTAGATTCAATATTTGAAATTAAAAATATTACTTAAAATCAGATAGCAGAGGGTTTCATATATCAGTAGTAATCAAGACTCTGGTTTCATAAAAATGTGACACGGATGGCAGGAAACCAAACAAATTAAGATAGGAGGATGAATCGTTGAGGGTACAGGGATGGGCAGAGCTGAAAGGAGAGCCAATAAAACACAAGGGAGCACAAGGCCAACACGTCCATAAATGGCAATGGGTTTCATAGATCGGAGAATATGACCCTGACAATGGCTCTCCTTTGAATTGGCTGTGTACGGTGCGAAAGAAGTTCAACATACACACATTGATAGTAACATAAAAGATAGTAGTTAAGGTCGAGAAAGGTTTCTCTACGGTAGGACACAAAAACCGTGTTTGGACATCCGGAGAGGACACCAGCGGAGTACAGCGGAGTAAGGAAGACTGGCTAACCACGTGTGTGGCGTGTTGTAGCACAGTATACTCTCGTTTATTGTCTGCAATATTATTGCAACATGCAAACATCGATCTATTATAAAGCAACTTCATTATAGAACCACATTATTTTTTGTTTTATCTATGTGAAATAAAGATCGTTCCCAGTAACCGAAAAAGAGGGGAGACGTCTTGGGAGTGGGTGTAAGGGGCAGTTGAAAGTTGGGGAGAGGAAGGGGGAGTGTGAGAGAGGAATTATGTAACAATCATTTTGAAGATATCGTTCTCAATAAAGTCATAAAAGTGTTTAACAGTGGAAAGAGCACTTGTAAAAGATGCAAGACTTGCAGTGTGTGGCTAGAGGAGCGTGCGGTTTGGGACGAGGATAGAGCACAGGACAGGGAACGGAGAGACACGTAACACATGACACAGAATATTAAAACATTTTTTACCGAGTAAATATATTTTTTTAAGGCCCACTGAGCTATAGAGCTCTTTTTCAGAAGTCACCTGGCCACAAATGATAGCTCAACGAACTGGCTTATCATGTGGAAATGTATAGCAGCCAAATACAGCACTCTAAACGCATGTTGATTCTAAATGTGGAGGGAAAAACTGGAGGACCTCAAGAAAAGTCCACGTGACCACGAGGAGAGAGAGACATGCAAACTCCAAATATACAAGCGTCAGGGTCGGGATCGAAGCCACAACTGCCTGTATACCAGGCGAGGTAGTAAACATCTCACCACCGTGGGGCCAGATATGGAGCTGCCAGGGACACATGTACTTATGTAATTTGTACTGACACACTTTATCTATTTTATTCATTTCGTTTCAGCGACTTGCTTACATTTTCTCTGTTTTTCACTCCTATCGTGTTTTTGTGCTCTTTGTTGTAGCAAATTTCTGACCCGCCCCTAATGGACGTCTGTGAACAAGAGCTTCATAGCTCATCGGATTCGTCTAATCTGAATAAAGATTCTCATTCTGAAGTAAAATAAAGGCACTTGACCTGCGTGCCCGATCTCCACAGCTGCCAAATAACAACCTCGTTATCTTTGGTTCTTTCGGTAAAGTCACGTAGGTATAAAAAATAAAATACATTTAATCACGACGTTTCGGGTGCAACACAAGCGTCCGTCATCAGGTGGGATAACCACAGCAAGAAACAATTGCTGAAGTGGGAAAATGTATTTTATTTTTTATACCTACGTCGTGACTTTACCGAAATAACCAAAGAGTATGGATCCCTGCAGTCACGAAAACTTCAAATCTACATTGAACCTCGTTATCCTTTATCCGCTAAACGCTCCCTTATGCAAATACTGTATATGTACATTTCGTTGTGAGTCATTAACATGATAATATGATGATGTAAAGAGCTAAAGTCCTAGATTTCAACAGGCAGTGGTGCATCCAAGAAAATCGCAACTGCACATAATAATTCACTATGTAACACGATTTTTTGTTCCTGGGTAGTAAGGATTATTTTCTAATTGCTTATGCCTCAAAAAGTATTAAAAACATTATATTATTCGCCACAAACGTTGCTTTTGTGACCAGGACTTTACGTGAAGGAATTACACAAATCCACGCGTTTCTTATTGAAAATAGGTAAATTTCGAAATATCACTGTCCTGGTCACAAAAGCAAAGTTTGTGGGGAATAATAGCAATTTTCTGTACTTTTGAAGCATAAGAAATTAGGAAATAACACTTACTACCCAGGAACAAAAAATACAAAAATTGTTGCACGTAATCCATGATGCACACAATCATTGAAGCTGCATTGCTCCAGAACAATCTCCAGTCAGTAATAATTAACCTGATCTTAAAAAATATATTCAATTGCAAAAATGTAACATTCTATCAAGGTAAAAACTGCGCAAAAAGTGTGATTATTAGCTCATGGAATGAGTTATTTGCAGCCCATGCTGCGGTAAATACAACTGCAATTTCCTGCAACTCTGATGAGCACGGTTGGCTACGTACGGTGCGAAAGAAGTTCAACATAAATTCATACAATTCGTTTCACATAACCATATCGTATTAAGGACCACCAACATGCAGAAAGCTGCCTGCAGAAGGGTGTACAGCAAGTAGGTTGTCGTCACTTCTGTGCATAATTTGTCCTTTCAATACCACAGTTTACCCACACGTGTAAACATACTAAAAACTACAATTACCAAGTGCTACGAACAGGGCCCTGATTGTGTGGTGGCCTGGATGAACAGCTGGGATTTTTGCACACAGCGTTGATATACGGTGTTCTTTTCTGGAAGACTTTGCTGTTTTTTCCTGGATTTTTCTGTTGTGCGTCATCACTTTAAGATGTTTTCTTTGTTCATGTTTTTGTTTGTTGCGGTTGCACCCGAGTCAAGAGCCGCATGGCTCACAGGGCTATACCTAATAAATGAAAACTGAAAACTCAAAAACAGCTATTCTTTCTGCTGATTGCGATGAATCATCTTGCAGTGTCTGGAACAACATTCGTGCCCTGCATTGCGGTGTATTTGTTTCACGACGTACACAAAACTATGCCACGAACACAGCACTGAAAAAAATATTCACAAGTAGATTATACTTTTCATTTAAACATATCTTCTTCTCGTGAAAATATATCACCCTACCAGAGGCGAGTTGCTATCACGGTGGCTAGGAGATGTTAACTACCTCACGTAGTACACAGGAGGTCGTGGGTTCGATCCCAAAACACCAGGGTGTGGTCCCTGTCTCCCTGAGACACCAGGGTGTGTGTCCCTGTCTCCCCGAGACACCAGGGTGTGTGTCCCCCTGTCTCCCTGAGACACCAGGGTGTGTGTCTCTGTCTCCCTGAGACACCAGGGTGTGTGTCCTTGTCTCCCCTGAGACACCACGGTGTGTGTCCCTGTCTCCCTGAGACACCAGGGTGTGTGTCTCTGTCTCCCTGAGACACCAGGGTGTGTGTCTCTGTCTCCCTGAGACACCAGGGTGTGTGTCCCTGTCTCCCCGAGACACCAGGGTGTGTGTCCCCCTGTCTCCCTGAGACACCAGGGTGTGTGTCTCTGTCTCCCTGAGACACCAGGGGGTGTGTCCTTGTCTCCCCTGAGACACCACGGTGTGTGTCCCTGTCTCCCTGAGACACCAGGGTGTGTGTCTCTGTCTCCCTGAGACACCAGGGTGTGTGTCTCTGTCTCCGCTGAGACACCAGGGTGTGTGTCCCTGTCTCCCTGAGACACCAGGGTGTGTCTCCCTGTCTCCCCTGAGACACCAGGGTGTGTGTCTCCCTGTCTCCCCGAGGCACCAGGGTGTGTGTCCCTGTCTCCCTGAGACACCAGGGTGTGTGTCCCTGTCTCCCCTGAGACACCAGGGTGTGTCCCCCTGTCTCCCCTGAGACACCAGGGTGTGTGTCTCTGTCTCCCTGAGACACCAGTGTGTGTGTCTCTGTCTCCCCTGAGACACCAGGGTGTGTGTCCCTGTCTCCCTGAGACACCAGGGTGTGTGTCCTTGTCTCCCCTGAGACACCAGGGTATGTGTCTTTGTCTCCCTGAGACACCAGGGTGTGTGTCTCTGTCTCCCTGAGACACCAGGGTGTGTGTCCCTGTCTCCCCTGAGACACCAGGGTGTGTGTCCCTGTCTCCCCTGAGACACCAGGGTGTGTGTCCCTGTCTCCCCTGAGACACCAGGGTGTGTCCCCCTGTCTCTCTGAGACACCAGGGTGTGTGTCTTTGTCTCCCTGAGACACCAGGGTGTGTGTCCTTGTCTCCCTGAGACACCAGGGTGTGTGTCCCTGTCTCCCCTGAGACACCAGGGTGTGTGTCCCTGTCTCCCTGAGACACCAGGGTATGTGTCCCTGTCTCCCTGAGACACCAGGGTGTGTGTCCCTGTCTCCCTGAGACAACAGGGTGTGTCTCCCTGTCTCCCCTGAGACACCAGGGTGTGTGTCTCTGTCTCCCTGAGACACCAGGGTGTGTGTCTCTGTCTCCCGTGACACCAGGGTGTGTGTCCCTGTCTCCCTGAGACACCAGGGTGTGTGTCCCTGTCTCCCCTGAGACACCAGGGTGTGTCCCCCTGTCTCCCTGAGACACCAGGGTGTGTGTCCCTGTCTCCCGTGACACCAGGGTGTGTGTCTCTGTCTCCCCTGAGACATCAGGGTGTGTGTCCCTGTCTCCCTGAGACACCAGGGTGTGTGTTCCTGTCTCCCTGAGACACCAGGGTGTGTGTCCTTGTCTCCCTGTGACACCAGTCTTTTTAAAATAGATCTCTTCAGAGTTGCTTTCAATGTTTAAGTTCTAACTATATTGCTGGAAGTGAAGTGTGCAACGTTGGCTGACCTGGGGGTGGGAACATAACTTATCTTATTAAAGTATTTCTCTTATTTGGACTGGTGTTTGTAGATATTTTACAAAGTGTGTGGTTTGAAAGACCGTGAGAAGAACTCATGTTGTTGCGCATTCGATTTCTTCATTAGAAGCGCCAGATTTGAACCCCAGACATGTTTTGAGCCTTCGCCTGTGTTTCCGCACGTCCAGAAAGATCGGGAACCACTGCTCCAAGAGGCCATCATCTTGTGGATCTCGTAAAACTGCTCGACAATGAGGTGGCGAACAGATTAGGCTGTGTCACTCCCACTCCGCTCGAATGGCGCAAGTAGAGTGCGTGAAGGTAGACGTGAGCTTTGCCCCCCCCCCAAACTGGACACCTTTTAAAATGTATTTTCAGCAGTTTACAATTAAGATACAGATAAATATATTATATTTACCCGCGATTCCAAATGTGAGGGACAAAGCGAACTCCTGCCCCCCAAAAACTAGAAGTCAAACTCTGCCTATGCTCCTACACGATGTGGATTTCGTCGTCGGCGGTGTTAGCACGGCGCCTGAAACCCTCCGTGTGCATCCACGTAGAACGTGCGGGAGCGATGGTCACCCGCTCCCCGCAGATCATGGGACCTGCGTGAATGTACGTATTTATGTATGTTGAACTTCCTTCGCACTGTACATGGGACACAGCACATGAGTATTTTTGTCTGTAAAATATGAGAGCCAACAATTCGATAATTAAATTTCAGCATACGTGGCCTATCAATAAATAAATAAAACCTGCCATACAAGCATTTTTTTACAATCGGCTACGTAACGACCACGGTGTCATGTGACTTTTACCGTTTTGTAATCAGTGCTGGCATAGAGAGAAGCACATCTGTTGCAACCAATAAAGCAATTCAAAAACGATGTTTTCAGCAAAAAAAAATGTTTTTATGATTACCTCATTCCCAGACGCTCAAAAATTGGCAAATGTAAGAGTTACATTACCCAAGAAATGTCCTATTGGGAGCTACACGCACACATTGCTCGTTATGCACGTGTCACTCTGCTGGCGCTAAGCTACCCGCCGCTGTGTAACGCCCTGGAGATACGGAGACATCTGAATGGCTCCTTCACACTTATTATTAATCACACACTAAACTTCCATTGTCAAGGTCCAGTTCGTCCGAGACCATCTCTCTCCCGGCCAAACTGGCGTCGCGCCCGCCTCTCACCCTTTGTCCTGCGGATGGTGGGCCCACAAGACCGTGCCACGTAGCCATTTCAGGCTTGGCCCGACCGGGTTACGTGGGTCACCCGGCCACCAGGAGCTTGCCGGCGAACACCACCCCCAGGCCTGGCTCCAGGGGAATGTCCCGGTATACCTTGTCCGGTTAAGATTCTCTGATATTTATCATTTAGAACCGTTCATAATGGGATTTTTTTTTAACCGTTATCTGTCTGGAACCTCCCCCCAGACCTCTTCGTCAAGGGAGACCCTACCAGGAGTATAGGACTCCAGGCGACATAGCTCTGAGGGTCATTGGAACACACAAACCCACACCACCATGGTAAGGTTACGATCCTAAAATCCTTCAGGGTTGCGGGGCTCGCTCTCCGTGATCGGGTGAGGAGGTCGGTAATCCGGGAGAGCCTCAGAGTCGAGCCGCTGCTCCTCTGGATTGAGAGGATTCAGTTGAGGTGGTTCGGGCACCTGGTAAGGATGCCCCCCGGTAGGCTTCCCCTGGAATTCTATTGGGCACGTCCCACTGGGTGAAGGCCCCGGGGCAGGCCCAGGAGACGCTGGCAGGACTATGTCACTCAGCTGGCCTGGGAACGCGTGGGAATTCCCCAGGAACAGCTAGAGTCTGTCACTAGAGCAGGGGAGGTCTGGACCACCCGACTCAACAATCTGCTGCCGCGACCCTCACCAGAACAAGCGGATTCAGAAACGAACGAACACTACACTTTGTCAGAGGGTGCCATGGCCTGTCTCCCTGAGACACCAGGGTGTGTGTCCCTGTCTCCCTGAGACACCAGGGTGTGTGTCCCTGTCCCCCTGAGACACCAGGGTGTGTGTCCCTGTCCCCCTGAGACACCAGGGTGTGTGTCCCTGTCTCCCTGAGACACCAGGGTGTGTGTCCCTGTCTCCCTGAGACACCAGGGTGTGTGTCCCTGTCTCCCTGAGACACCAGGGTGTGTGTCCCTGTCTCCCTGAGACACCAGGGTGTGTGTCCCTGTCTCCCTGAGACACCAGGGTGTGTGTCCCTGTCTCCCTGAGACACCAGGGTGTGTGTCCCTGTCCCCCTGAGACACCAGGGTGTGTGTCCCTGTCTCCCTGAGACACCAGGGTGTGTGTCCCTGTCTCCCTGAGACACCAGGGTGTGTGTCCCTGTCCCCCTGAGACACCAGGGTGTGTCCCCCTGTCTCCCTGAGACACCAGGGTGTGTGTCTCTGTCTCCCTGAGACACCAGGGTGTGTGTCCCTGTCTCCCTGAGACACCAGCGTGTGTGTCCTTGGTTGCCCTGTGCCACATGTTGTGCTCCTTGCACTCGGGAGTTATTTCCAAGAATATATTTACATACCAGTACCGTAAACATGCTGTGTGTTAATCTGACCCTTGTAAAATGCAAGTCAAAGTTCATTTCGCCGAATGACCTGTGACTGATGCTGATTACGATGAACGCGAGGTTGGGCGGGGTGATCCTAGAGGCCCAATCGCGGAGCGATGCCGACGGCTGGCGTGCAGAGAAGGCGCCTTACCTTCGACGAGCATCATGCCACTGATGGCGTTGTAGCTCATGATCCCGGCGTGGGGCTTCTCCGGAGCTCTGTTGTGGCCCGAGGCAAAGGTCGGCCAGCAGATGCCACTCCTCCCGTCTGTGGTTAGAACAACGCTTGTGAGCAATGCCTCTAGCACGGCGACCAGGTCGAATGTGCGGTGCGGGGTTTCATAATGATCAGTCCAGGGTGCCTGAATACCATCTGCATGTATCACCTTCCTGTCTAACTTTGGGTGAGACGGTTCCCCTTTTGCCTCCGTCGCTGGCAGCGGTAACGAGATGTGTCTCAGCCGTTCCGTCGTCTTTCTCGTCGCAAGGTGAACGCCGCAGATTGCAGTCGGTTTCACGTTGTCACTCGTGCTTTTACTCAACCGTGACAATATTCCCGTTCACACACGCAATGCTTGCAACAGCACAATACAGCGTGTATGCCGCATTGACGCGACTAGCAGATTATGTTATCTGTCAATCTTACTGGTATCTGTAACCTGGCTCTTATTGCATTGTTTTGGTTGAAGGTTACCCGTGACATCAGTGATAACGAAATTGTCCTGCACGTGACAACACTTTGTTGCCCACGACATGATGGAAAGTGAGAACTCGAGATACAAGGATGATTCTCAATTGCAAAAATGACCTGGGGCAATAGCCTGCCAGTAGGGTAGCGATGATTGCTGCTGTGTGGTAATTTTCGAATTTCGCAAATGTGCACCCTGATGCGGACACGCGATGGCATTACTCTTCCAAATGACGTCAGGGGGATCATGTCCATTTTGAAAGGGACGGCGCGTAGTGTCATCATCATCATAATCAACATGATTAATACAGCCACGGTAATACCCAGGGTGGCCGTCATATTTGAACCGCGAACCTCTGCGTAAAACAACGGCGAACGCGCCACCACTAGACCAGGCCAGCGCCCCCCGAGACCGAAGTCGGCAGCTTCATTGTTCATGGGTCGCTTGTTCTGTGCCTAAGGCGCTCTCTTGTGAGTGGGCGGTGGAGGGATGGACCCAACCATGCACACTCCCCACTCTGCATGGAGAGCGCCGTGTGAGTGGTAAGCAGTGCGTGGTGAGTGCCGTGTGAGTGGTGAGCAGTGCGTGGTGAGTGCCGTGTGAGTATTTAGCAGTGCGTGGTAAGTAGTGAGCGCCGTGTGAGTGGTGAACAGTGTATGGTGTGTGGTGAGCGCCGTATGAGTGGCGAGCGGTATTTACTGGTGGCAGGGCGGGGGCTACGATGCTCCATGGTCAACTGCACGTTGGGGTTGGTGTTCGTCAGCCGATCCGAGCAACTGAAGGACGGGCTGGTGCCCACCACCAGAGAATTCTAAAGGGGCACACGTGCAAAGACAAAGATTTCCCCCCCCCCCCCATTAGGGCAAGTGCTGTTTACAAGCACCTATGACAGCCGGCACGGCACACAAGGGGGTGGATGGCCAGGACCACGCCCGGTCGCCTTCGTTACCCCAGTGGCGATGTTTTACACACCGCACCAAGTTCTCATTTGAGGCTGAATCGACCAAGGTTGAGGCTCAGGACCAGTTCGGATAATTGTCATTGATGTTGGCCATGAGCAGCAACCGAACTCGGCTCTCAGGACAGACCCAGCAGCCATGAGTTGAACGACTGAGGTGACTGGCAGATGCACCACCTGTGCCCCCTACTGTACCAACTTGCTGTGCTTTAGCCACCCTGCGCTCCGCTCGTTGTTGTGAGCGTCGCTCCTCTACCCTCCGTTGTTGTTAGGGTACGACTGCCTTCCAACTGCCCAGTAGCGTCCTTCACGCGCCTCCTCCATAGCGGCCAATCATGACACCGCTGGTACCAGTCTTCGGCAAGTCCACTCAGCTCCACATCCTCCCGTACCGCATTAGTCCATCTCTTTTCCAGCCCATATTATATCTGTTTAGCCCCCTCTCTCTGGCCAAACAGAAACTGCTTGGGAATATGGCATGTGGGCTACATGACCCAACCAACTCAGCCTTGCTTGCCGGAGGAGCGAACTGATGGGAATGTGTCCAGATCCCGACCCTGACAACTGTATATTTGGAGTTTGCATGCCTCTCTCCCCATGGTTGCGTGGATTTTTTTCCAGGTCCTCCGGTATTTCCCTACACATTTAATGACATGCGTTTAGAGTATTTGGCTGCTGCTATAAATCTCCACACGATGATTGGCCACTTCGTTGAGCTATCATTTGTGGCCAGGTCGCGTCTGAAAAAGAGCTAAATATCTTTATGGGCCTAAATGCTTTATAGAATAAATATATATTTTTTATAGTTTATAGTACCTGCACGAGCACGGTCTTTTGGGAGTACTTGTGGCTGGTGGCCAGAGGGGAGTAGATGATGGACATGAGCCCCATGCCGTTGTCCACCAGTGAGACGTTGGATACCCGCACGCTCTCCGTCACCTGCACAAGGCGGTGGGGGGGGGGGCAGGATTGCGCAACGCGCGTGTGCACGTGAGGCGCCGAGTTTATCCTCATTTCAGCAAGGCCTCTCCGAATCTTGTTGATTTTGTTATCGTTATAAGCTGGGACTAAAGAAGTGTATTTTCCAGGGTCAGAATCAGGCTTGTGTACTCTACAACTTAGTATTTGAATTTGCACTGTTGTCTCTGGATTTGAATATGAAATCATTGCGCTTTTTATTTTCCATAAATATATGACCAGAGAGATTAGACTGCAATATCCCTGTGTTGTCACACATGTGCACATTGTTGTGGTGTGTACAGCTATGATATGTTTAATATCAATAGTAGAATAATATTTTTAAACAATTAATACTTTACATACACGTTTCCAACATGTACCATTTTCTCTCGCGAATGAGCTGAAGGAATGACATTTGTATCACCATGTACTGCAATGTTTAAAGATGATTGTAACCACGGGAATCCTCAACAATTCACACTGATGCCGAGTCCTTCCATGTAAAATACTAGGAAAGCGGTGACTGACATCTGAACCGGTAATTAGGACCCACTCCCCATTCACCAAGCCGCACTGACTAGGGTGGCGAAGTATGGTCAAACGAGCCCCATGACCGTCATGGCGTGGGAGAGGCCACCGTTTGGTAGCAGGCTAAAAAAACCACAATCCACCAGGGAGAAATGTGATCAGCGTTGTGTGCAAGGCAGTCGTCCTGTGCTAAGGAAGCGACGTAGTGTCTGTGGAAGGCTCTTGCCTGAAACGTCGGGCAACCCAAAGGCATTTGTTTCACATGCCGCTGTCTGCCGATGAGACTGCAGAAAGCCAAGCGTTTGCCTGGTTTGCTCCACAAGGCCACGGGGTAGATGCATTTTAATTAATTTTCCGGTGGTGAATCAAGACCCTTGTCTCTTTTACACGTTTATGTCAAGTAGCAGATAGGTGGCATTGTGTGTATAGCCATAGTGTAACGGTTAGCGCGTTGCACTACTAACTCGGCGACCCGAGTTGGATCCCCGCTCATGGCCAACACCAGTGACGATTATCTGAACTGGTCCTCGGCCTCCCCTAGGTCGACTCAGCCCCAAATGAGTACCTGGTGCAATGTGTCAAATCATCACCACTGGGGAGAGACAAAGACGGCCAGGCGGGATGCTGGCTAACCACCCCCTCGTGTGCAATGCCTGCCTTCATAGGTGCTACTCGCTAACAGCAGTTGTCCCAACAGTCTGTTAAGGCTATACGGGGGATCTTTGTCTTTATATGTCTATAGATCCTTTGCTTTATGTTCGAGCCCTGTGCAGCGGAGGTGACTCTGTGTGTGAGTTGGTGCGGGTGACCTGGAAGTAGATGCCGTAGTCCCAGCAGCTCCAGATGAGGAAGCCCTGGATGTGGGAGCAGCCAGGGTAGCCGTCTTTGTTCATGTAGACCCCGAAGAGGCCCCCGTGCACCTCGTTGTCGCTCCACGCCGCCACGGCACTCGACACACCTGTGAGCACAGCACGCCCTTCTCCTCAATATCTCCAACACCTCCTCAACTCCTCCCCAACACCTCCTCAACACCTCCCCAACACCTCAACGCTTTCACAATCCCAACTCAAGCAATTTATCCAAAGTAACAGCCGAGCAAATGTCGTTCCAGCCCGTCGCTCTGCCACCACACCTCAAATCGGGGGCTCGTCAAGGCCACAGCACCCCCCCCTGCTGTCGCTCTCCCCTCGCTGTGTGCAGCTGATACGGAGGCTAGCGTCAATCGGCAACAACTATGGCGTCGTACCTGGTTGGTGGCCCCAACCCGTGGGCCTTATCTGGTAAAATAAAAAATAGTTGAGTAAATTTTGATTTAAAGCTTTCGTGACTGCAGTAATTCATATTCTTAGTTTTTTCGGTAAAGTCACGTTGAAGAGAAACAACAAAATAACAAAATATATATAAAACAATAAAAAATTCTCACGACGTTTCGACCATAACTCAAACGGTCATCATCAGGTGTGTCGGTTTGCATAAATTTATTTTTAAAACTGGCCGTTTAAAAAATAAATTTATGCAAACCGACACACCTGATGATGACCGTTTGAGTTATGGTCGAAACGTCGTGAGAATTTTTTATTGTTTTATATATATTTTGTTATTTTGTTGTTTCTCTTCAACGTGACTTTACCGAAAAAACTAAGAATATGAATAGTTGAGTAGTTTTAGTATAATATCAAGACTGTTCTTCACTTACTGATTCCTCTACCTAAGTTGAGGAATCGGTCTCCTAGACTATTTCATCTCATTCATTCATCTCATTCATCTCATTCTACATATAGTTTTGGTGATCTGTGCCGAACGCCTGACACTCGGTATGCTGTGTGTAACGCTGCTGGGTAGGCTACGTTCATTTCCATGCAATTTTATATATATATATTTTTGTTGTTTTTCATGCAAGGCTTATTATTAAAATTGTAACTAATTAATTATTAGTTTGTTACAAGAATAATACATTTTCTCCAAAATATACCATTGATAAAAGCCAAGTGCGCTCCTGTTTTTGTATCTTATCTTTGTGTTTATGCACGCCATTACAGAATAATAATAATTCATTCAGTTCATTTGTGTGTGACAATGTTTTTTTTGACATCGAATAGAAATTGAAATAAAGAAGAATCGCTTTTAATTTGAACTCAGCGCAGTTTCACTTTGATGACTCTTTACTCGCACTTAGAGTGAAAATTAAAATCCAACCAACACTAAAGTGCTGATTCAACAAAATTCATCTCAACGAAAACTTTTGGGAGATGATCGTCAATTTAGACCAAATGTGCTATATATTGAGACATTTTCGATTAAATTAATTCAATCCAATCGTCACATGTGAGTCTTTTTCATTACATTACACTATTTCATTCAGGTTGAGGACTCGGTCTCTGACTGTTTAATCTCATTCATACTGTGTTCAACCACCACAGGTCACAATAACACATTCACTCACTCAACCATTCACTCACCACTTCACTCACCCACTCAATCAACCACCGCACTGCAGGTCAGAAGAACACACTCACTCTCGTAACCACTCACTTACCAATTCACTCACTCACCCACTCAATCAACCACCGCACTGCAGTTCACACTTCTCTTCCTGCTTCTACACTCTCACTGCTCTGCTTAGGAATTCCCTCCCAGTGTCTCCTTCCCCAGGCTCACGTAATAGCCTTGCTCAATTCAAGAAACGCATTAACTCTTATCGAGTACACAACTTTTTACAGGGCTGATTGCTGTTATATTTTTAGACCTGTGCTCAGCAACTGTGTAAAACAAGTAAAAACACAATAACCCCGTGGAAAGCTGTTCATTTAAAGCATCGTGGTAACCAATGTGGAGGCAACTGACCTGGACAGGGTTCACCATCGATCCGGAATCCTAACCTTTCAAATCCGGCCACCACGTTTCCCTGCAGCACCACATCGGTGGCTTCGTGCACCTGCGGTCCCACAAAAGTACAGCCAACACAACTCACCCATCAGCTGCTGCGAGGGCACTAAACATCACCAGGCGATATCAATGAAGGTGGAGAGTACCTGAAGAAGGACAAAGACAAATATCCCCCCTATAGCCTTAACAGATTGTTGGGGCAAGTGCTGTTAGCGGGTGGCCACCACAACGCCAAACCACCTTTGTCTCCCCAGAGGGGATGTTTACACCCCACATCAGGTACTCATTTGAGGCTGAGTCGACCTAGGGAAGACCCAGGACCAGTTCAGATCATTGTCACTGGTGTTGATTGTAAGCGGATGTTCAACTCAGGTCGCCGGGTTCAAAGCACAGAGCGCTCACCATTGCACCACCACTCCACATACACATACGAGTTGTTTAATTCTTGTTGAATTATTATTTAATTGCCAGTGCCGTTCATGAAGAGCATGTGGCTGTATCTGCTCCTCTCACAGGCCCTCCCAGCTGCTGTGTACAATTAACTGCAGGTGCATCGTGTTTTGTGTCACCTGTTGTCATAACGTACACACATACTCCCTCCCCCTGTGATCAACGGGGTGTGAAGAGCTGGCGAGATGTTAACTCCCTCGCCTGGTATGCAGGAAGTCGTGGGTTCGACCCTGACCCTGATGCCTGTATACTTGGCGTTTGCGTGTCTCTCTGCCCACTGTCGTTTCACCCCCACATTTCGAATAAACATACGTTTAGAGTATTTGGCTGCTATAAATTTGAACATAATAAGCCACTTCGGTGAGCTATCATGTGGGGCCAGGTTGCTTCTGAAAAAGAGTTACATATCTCAGTGGGCCTTACCTGGTAATAGAAAACAAAATTGCTAGAGTTTAGTTTGTATGTTGGAATGGAGCGAGGTATCGAGTTGTAAACCAGGATAATGAGCAGTGCTCATTTTAATAACCCCATGGGAGATGATGAGCTTAGCACTCGACTAAGCACTGGAATCACAACATTGAGCACCATCCATGAGGACATCATCATGATTACCATCATCCATGATCTATCTACTACTGGATGAATACCTCCCTATGACACTGCCATCCCTTATGATCCTGCTCCTCCACAGGAGATAGTTTCACCGTCTTCCCAGGCGTGCTCCCTTCTTTAGCACACATTCTATCGCCAGTCTCTTACAATGGCCGTGTACCCTTCAGTGCGTGCTTGGTCAATACCATCATCACAGTCAATACGGTGTCTCTGATTTGCGTTTTTTTGTTCTCTACCCCATGTGTCCCCGTGTTCTCTCTCTCAGTGGTAATTCCAGGCATGCATCTCCCCTCAGTTGAAACGTGTTCAAAGAAGTACGCATGGCGATCCTGGCCAGCATCACCATTAAAATGCACTCCCAATCCTTAGTGTCGGAATTAGTTCCCAACACGTGGTGTTCAGGCAACAAGGGCCTGTAGGGCCTAGGCAGCCTCGTGTAGGCCAGCCCAGGCACAGTGCTTGACCTTGCCTGGCCAACATGGAAAGATGAATTCTGGGAATTACACTGAAGAGAGAGGAATAGGAACACATGCATTAGAGAACACAGGTGTGGGAATCGTATTGACTGTAAGGGATGATGGCCGGCGGTTGAGATGTATCTACAGAGTCGCAGCCAAAGAAGAGGCCATGCCCAAGGGGTGGGGCCACTAAGGAGACAGAACAATATGATGAGCTCGTGTGCAGGACCAAGATGGATTGTTGCATCATGAGACTGTGAAAGATGGTAATTTCTTAGCAAGGCTCTCATCCATCAGCAGATAGATCATGGTTGAATTATGCTGACAAAAATGTCAAGCGTGTTGTTTTTTTGTCAGACTCTGCATGAGTGGCAGCCAAGGCTGTGAGACTTTTGCGCCGCGCTGTGATGGTTCCCCCTGTGCAAAATCCCTATGGCGTGGCCGCACAGGCAGCGCAACGCTGCGAGCGGAGGAACTCACGGACGGCTAAACGCACGTCGATGGCGACACCTCACTTGTACGTATGTGTATCGAACTTCCTTTGCGCCGTACACAGCCAAACGTGCCAATCGGAGGTGCGGCACGCTTGCACGATTGTCCTCGGCGTATCGGCACTTGACGTGAGAATGGCGGAGCGGAGCTGCAGCGCAGGTGTGCCACCAAAGATACCTGTATGGCTGCAGGCCACAGCAGTAGGTTGTTTGTCTCTAGGCGGTCTTGGTAGGTCCCCGGCCACACGGAGAGGGTGACCAGGTTCCTGCGTATGCGCACGTGTCCCCCTTCCACACGGATGCCTGCAGACATTGGCACCGCCACATTAACACATCCGCCCCCTTCCACTTGAACAGCTGTTTTCACTCGTGACGAGCAGTTAACAGAAGTGCGGTCCTGAAATGAGCTTGCTCGTGCCACTGTTGGTGGAAGGACCTCGATTAAGGGCAAACCCTTCCACGGTGACCAGATGTGTCGGAAGAGGTGGGCGCACCCCATACCCCACCAACACGCGACCCGCCGATCAACTATCTGTGGAGTACCCATTTATACCGCTGGCCCAACAGAGGCAAGAGGAGAGATCTTAAAAAAAAAAACCTCCATGAGCCATCGTTTTAACTGCCGCGCCAGCAGATGGAACCGGCGACATTCGGGCCCCAGGTGCAGTGATTCTAACCTTCGCATCACGGCAGCTCACCATGACGAGGGGTGTGACCGTTTAAATCACTTCAGAATCGGAATCTTTTTTTGTATTGGAGGAGTCCAATGAGCTATAAAGGTTTTTTTTCTACGCAGAAACCACAAACCCGCTCGTCTCTCACAGGCAGGCATGCCCAGAAGTCAAACCAAGGGACGTGCTTCATCCACCGCACGCTAATTCGATCGAACGTGCTGTAAGCCAGGAGCCCTGTGATGAGTTTCCTGTGCGTCACAAGACCGGAGTCTCAGAGTGGTACTCAACATCCAAGAATCAATTAAAAGTTAGTGATGATGAATTCCCACAAGTGTACTTTACACTTATATAATTATTGGGGACAAGAGACCAGCAATTTTTATTCGTAATTGTTTTTAACACTCGTAGTGTTAGTTAGGGGGAAACAAAAATGTGTTTCTTTGTGGAGTGACACTGTAGCTGAGGAGCTATGAGAAGGCCTGCTGCAGGCTTGATTCCAGGCTCGGGTCACAAAACGATCCTTTACTTGGCAAGTTGGGGCACGCCAACCTGGACTGAGACGCTCTGGCTACACCAAGGAGGCTGTGGTTTGAAATGTCACCATAATTACAGCAGGCGCGAGTAGGCACGCAACTCATCATGAGGAGGGCAAGAGCAAAACAGAACGGGCAGTTGTGTACATATATGTGTCATCATAATCAACCATGATCTATCCACTGCTGAAAGAGGTCGTCATTGTCTTGTGATGTAAAAATCATCAAGCACCTCCTGCACGTGACCTGATCTCATCTTTGTGAAGTTCATCTTCTCAGGCGAGTTTCCTCCTGTTGTTGTCATCCCACTGTCAGTCTCTACCATTTGCCATGATCCCTCCTCCTAGCGATGCGTTCCTGCCCACGCCCACTCAATTTTTCAGAGAAATAAATATTATGCCAATAATTAACATTTGTTCCCCAATTCATGTATTCCCACTTTCTGTGCAATTCCCAGCATGCACACCTCCATTCATCTTTGCGCAATGAGCATACATGCATCCGTCACTTCACCTTGTAATTGCTCATTGCACATTCATTTAATTCCTAATTAGTTGAATATTTACGACGAAAAAAGAATAGGTTTTGGTGATGCTAGATGAGAAAACAGTTTCCCCAGCTGGAAACCATGCACTTCATTTGCAATGTCAAGTGAGGGCCTCTTGTGTCTAATCACTGAGCTGTGACAACAGCCTGTTGCTTTTAACCTCGAGTTTTGCTGAAAAACATTGTTGCCAGTAAATGCTAAGGAGATTGAAAGGGAACATAATCGCTTTTTTAAAATGTTCCTGCTGTGGTTTTCACACCTGATGATGATTGCTTGTGTTGCAGTCGAAACGTCGTGAGAATTTTATCGTTTTATATTATTATTATGTTATTGTTTCCCTTCGACGTGGTGACTTTACCGAAAGAACCAAGGAGTATAAGAATCAGCGTTGTTCTCCGCAGAACAACTTTGCACTCTTGGCCAGTGACCTGGCCTAGCGGTAGCACGTTCCCTCATTGGTGCAGAGGACCACAGTTCAAATCCGGCAGGCCGCCCTGGTTAGAAATGCAAACGTAATAACCATATTAATACTACTCGCCGTCCACTTCATGGTGGACGTTAAAGACCCCTTGACGTCATTCGCAAGAGTAGGCCATTGCACGCGGGCGTCTGTCCACATTTTCGAAAAATGACCTCTAATTATATATAGCAATCTTCGCCCCCGACTAATGCCTAATAGCAGGCCAGGTGCTGAGTCAATTTGTGCCGCACAGAGATGGCTGCCACTGGGGGTGCCCTTTAAAATCTGTTGAGATGAGATGAGAAGTGCATATGGGAGGGTGCTGTAATGCAATAAAATCTGACACCCGACGAAATCATCGATCAGCCTATATGTGGAACAAAGTAGGTGTGGCGTTGCCCGTAGGGGCGTGTCTCTGCCCACATGTGGTCTTGAGGATCGTGAACCGAGGTGTCTATTGCACCAATTCTGCTCACAGTTGACCCAAAAGCCACGTTAGAGTAATAGATTAATGGAATGTTAATCACCGAGTCGAATCACTGGCAAGCGATCCGTGGGTCGAATAATTCCATTGGTTAGTACAGCGTCACGAGAAACGCCCAACCCCCCGTTTTTGATTGGCCAACGTTCGCAAACGATGATTCGGTGATTCGCTTGCTGTCTGTTTTTTTAATCGAGCATTCCCAGTCAAAGGCACCTGCCCGCTGCCATCGCCGCGATTGCCGCGCCATCCCTCACCCTCTCCGACGGTGAAGTGCACAACGTTGTCGTCGATGTCAACGCCGTCTGTGCTGAACACGCCGATGGCCGGAGCGAATCCGTGGTGGAAAGAGCAGCCCCGCACGTAGGACGGGGTCTCACTGTTTGCCTTGAGACAGGGACGAGGAGGAACGGTGGCGAGACATTAACTACCTCGCCTGGTATGCAGGAGGTCGCGAATTCGATTCCGACCCTGACGCCTGTTTTGTATTTGGAGTTTGCGTGTCTCTCTCCACGTAGTCGCGTGGATTTTTCTCCGGGTCCTCCAGTTTTTCCCTCCACATTTAGAATCAACGTCCGCGTTTAAAGTATTTGTCTGCTAAAAAAGAAATAGTGGTAAATAGTAGTTTTTTTTTATTTTACCAGGTAAGGCCCATTGAGCTATATAGTTATTTTTAGAAGCGACTTAGCCACAGACTATAAGCTCCACGAAATGGCTTATCACGTGGACATTTATATCAGCAGCCAAATACTCTTAAACGCACGTTTCTAAATGTGGAGGGAAAAATCGGAGGACCCGGAGAAAAATCTACGCGACCACGGGGAGAACATGCAAACTCCAAATGTACAGCCGACATGGTCGGGATTTAACCCACAATCTCCTGCATACCAGGGGAGAGAGCTAACATCTCGCCATGGGAGGAACACAGAAAGAGGAGCTGCAAACGGATGGTATTTGACAGAAAAAAGGTTGAAGGAAGCAGGTTGAGAAGTAAAAACCCTAAACGTAGGAGTTCCGATTGCCATGCTGTTACCCCCAAAAGTTTGTATGTGTGCGTGAGTGCGCGTGGGGAGCGGTGGCGCAGTGGTTAGAACTTGGAGAACCGAGTTTGCTTCCCTTTCACAGGCAAAATGAGTGACCAATATCTAAACCGGTTCAGGACCTCCCCTACGTTGACTCAGCCTTCAACGAGTACCTAATGCAGTGTGTGAATATCAGCATTGGGAACACAAAGGCGGCTGGGCATGGTGCTGGCCACACACCCCCCCCCCCCAACCCCTCGTGTGCCATTCTGGCCTTCATAGGGGTGCCCGCAAACAGCACTCGCCCTAAAGGTCTGTTAAAGGGGGAATCTTTGTCTTTGTGGTCGCAAGGCACGGACCTGGCCCAGCCCCAGGAAGGCGACGGAGTAGCGTGGGTCTGTCGGCTCGCGGTATCCCTCCTGGCCGCTGTGGTAGAACTCCACGTTGCTGATGCGTGCGAACCCTGCGGAAGCACATCGCAGGTTGGTGGAAGCAGCAGCTCACATAGCTGCCAGGGCGCGCCGCGTCCAAATTAATTCCCATTTAGTGACGTACATTTAAATTGACCCAAAAAAATACGTACATCCAACGCTCTCAAATACAACTTTCGCCAAAACACGCTGCTCGTTATGTGATCCAGCTGCATTACATTAATACATTTTATATGAGCGCCTTAATTATATATTTAATACTTCACACCAAGCAATGTGATATCTGCATCACAAGGAATGTCATGGAGATATCTTTATAAGTTTTGTAGAACTGCCTCTGCCTTTCTCTCTGCCTGAATCTTTCTACCTCTGTATTTCTTCCAGGCAAATTATCTCTGCTTCTGTAACTTCCAGTGAACGTTTTGTTTTCATAAGCCCACATCTCTCCATAGCTGTGTTCCCTGGCTCAAACACTTTGTTTTATACGTGGCTAACTCTGTTACTGTGGCTTCTTGTATTTTCCCAATTTGTAATACTCACGGTTCCTAATTTTCTCCACCGGATCTGTAATCCTACCCTCGTATTTCTATATTTGCAGAGTGCAGAAGAACAGTGGATTTTTATTAATTGCTCTCTACTGCCAACAACGCCTTCAGAAAATGGTGGTTGCCCATTATAAGCACTATTCAGGTTCAACCCTGGACATTTGACAAGACCTGGTGCATTGTGGGTGACTTAGTCTCAGGATGAAAAATTCAGTTGCTCTCGCAAAGCTGCTGCGGCTGTATCTTTGCCGTAAGCGTTGCGGCGACGTGTGGCCATGCATGAGCATGCGGTGGGGGCGAGGTACCGGACGTACCTCGGTACTCCGTTTCCCCGGAGGCATAGGCGCTGACCAGCACGCGTGCCCCGAACGACTCGGAGTACCAGGCGGGCTGGTCATGGCCCAGCACCCGCACGTTGCGCGTGAGGAGGCCCACGTCGGTCGCCAGCGTGTAGCGCGCGTCCTGCATGGTGTGCGTCTCTCCTGGCACAGACGGACGCAGCCACGTTGAGGGAGGGGGATGCACGCGATGACGACGACCACGATGACGACGCTCAACTACAAAATGCACGGCGGGCGACGGAACGATTCGTCGCTCGGTGACAAGCTGCTAGGCTAGCCGGACCCGCTCAAGAGACACCTCGACACGTGGACTCTCTCGGCGAATGTTTACGGTGTTGATCTTGTGCGTGTTTGCGGAAGGACTGTGACGTGAGGCTTTAGGAGTAGTCTAAGAGCTAAAACACCGGTGCATTGGCACCAGACTACGACATAAAGGAGACGATGCCGCACGTACCCTTATGCGAGTGCTGCAGGGTGGCGTTGAGGGACAACGTGCGCCCATCGGCGGATATGGCCGTGACGCGCCGAGTCTCCGTCTGCCAGCTGTCATAGCTGCTGGTGCTGATCACGACGTCACTGCCCACCTACGCTCGTGCACGTGGCGCATCGTCATCAGAAGCTGGCATCATTGACAATGCTTTGTAAAGCTGCCATGGCTGAAATTTTATATAAAACAAGCTTGTGATAATACCATGAGATCCATAAAAACGTGACAGAAACTTCATAAGAGAAAAGCTACGGGTAGAATGATGATGATGATGATGATGGATGGTAATGTGTAATGACCACCTATGTGAAAGTTCATTACTTATTCATGATCAGCCCTTTAATGGACGACCAATACAGATGGGTTAATCTACTTCTCACCACATATTGCTTGGTCTCAGTACTCCATTAAGACCATGCTATAATAAATGCTGACATGTGAATATAAAGCGTAAATTAAGCCACACACACAAAAAAATCACAGTCTGGTTACAGCCGATACATTTGCCGTAAGTTGTCATCTAATCCTTTAGCAAACATAAAGACAAATACCCCCAGGTAGCCTTCACAGACTTTTGGGGCAAGTGCTGTTAGCGAGCACCTATGAAGACCGGGATGGCACACAAGGGGGTGGGTGGTCAGCACCACGCCCGACCACCTTTGTCTTCCCAGTGGTGATGTTTACACACTGCACCAGGCACTTGTTTCAGGCTGAGTAGATCTAGAGGAGGCCCAGGAACAGTTCAAATAATTGTCACTGGTGTTGGCCATGAGCGGGAATTGAACTCGGGTCGCCGCGTTCAAAATGCAGCACACTAACTGCTACACGCCGCTCAGTGAACACGCGCACACACACTAGATCCCACCTTCCAGTCAACAGGGCTGGCGAGCGTGATGCTGCCGCTCCCGGCTGCAGCCGTTTGGCCCAGTTTTGTTTTGTACACGGAGTGGTTCGTGCCGTGCAGGTCCAAGCCCCCGAATACGCCTGGTCAGCAGCGGCACAGGAGAGAGAGAGAGATGAGAAGCGAAACGCACGGGGATCCTCGCAGCGCCACGTCCAACGCCACACGGGGACGGCCCGATGGCTCAAAACTTTTGATAGTTTTCGATTTCAAATTGTGGAATAGTTCTAAATGGTATTCTTAGCTCTTTCGGTAAAGTCACGTTGAAGGGAAACAATAAAATAATAATATATATAAAACAATAAAAATTCTCACGACGTTTCGACCATAACACAAACGGTCGTCATCAGGTATGAAAAAACCAACGGCAAGAAACATTTGAAAGAAGTGTCGGTTTGCATTAAGTTATTTATTTTTAAACGTTTTTTATTTATTTATAAAAAACGTCAGCGCCACGGGCAGCGATTTGGCAGTTTATTTAGAAGGACTAGTCCATCTATGTTCTGAAAAGAGGAGGGGGGAGACGAAAAATTAATGTATGCTGTCTAAAAGCCACCGTAAGCGTGAACAATCAATTAAGACCTGAAATGGTTTTATCAAATCCTTCCAATGATTGCTAAGCCAGAATCCATCTTCTCGGTTGAAATTGTCTCTGTGCTTGTATATGTGGATAGCCTCATGAACGAATCTCTCATGGTAGCCAGATGTTTCCCTTCAACGTGACTTACCGAAAGAGCTAAGAATATGAATTACTGCAGTCACGAAAGCTTTAAATCAAAGTTCTAAATGGCTTTGCAAAGAGAATCTCAGCACTATTGTGAATAGTATTGTCTCTGTACTCTGCTGGCTCAGCGGTCGAGTGAGTGGCTCGCGATCGTGCTGACTATGGCCACTTGGGCGGACCCTCCCAAAGAAGTCTTGAGACTCGGTGAGGCCTTCCTGGCTAAAGAAGCATCATAATAATAATGATACAACTGTTATCTATATATCGGTTTCATTTATGATTTGCAGCCATAGAAGTGGACGGGTGTACATCTAACCAACCAATGGCGGTAAACATTTGTTCTACAGTATTTGACAAATTGTGCATAATGCCCTGCCCTTGTGAACATTACTGGGTTTCACTAATTGTACAGCTTACACCACACTTTTATAATAGAGTAATCAAGGATTACTTAGATTTCTTTAAATAAAGAATATTCCACACGATTGAGGCATCATTCTAAAAATCACCGCCGGAGGGCTCATCACACTTCTTTGCTCATGTGATCCTTGCACTTCCGGATCTCATCACCCACGCTGATGCTCATCACCCACGCTGGAAAGCGTGGGTGGAAAGCGTGGGTGATGAGCATCTTTTAAAAAAAAAGACACGCACGTTGTTTTTTTTTTACCGATCATTTCCTAACTTTACGTTTCCATCGGTAGCCACGGTCACGGTGGCGATCAGCGAGATCACGGCAGGTGGATGGAGGACGCACCGATCACTTTGGAGCCCTGGTTGGGTCCGTTGGGAAGGGGCCAGTCCGGGGTGAGATGGTCACCGCGCAGCACCACAGAGAAGTCCCCCTCCAGCGGACTATCCTCCCGGCCCGCGATGAAACGCCCGCCCTGCCAGACGCGCGCAGAGACAGAGATTCGCCGTATATAGCTCTAACGGACCGTTGGGGCAAGTGCAGTTCGCGAGCACATATGAAGGCCGGCGGAATGCACGTACAGTAGGGGTCGGTGGCCAGCACCATACACGTCCACCCATGTGTCCTTAGTGGCGATGTTTAGACATCATACCCAACTACTCATCTGAGGCTCAGTCGACCTAGGGGAGGCCCAGGACCGATTCAGATATTCGCCACCAGTATTGGCCGTGAGCAGGAATCGAACTTGGGTCACCGAGCTCGGAGCGCAGCACGCTAACACTATACTAGCGCTCTCCACACATATACATGCAAGCACGTGTGAACAGAACCGCGCACCAACACATTTCAAATAGATAACCACACGCAATTACTTGCGCGCATGCATTGCAGCAGATATGCTGATCTTTAAACATACGCACCAAACTGCAGGCTGGACAGGAGAATACAAATTAATCTAGAAGCGTTTCGGCCTGCGTCAAGTCGTATTAGAACCACAGTGCTGCAACTTTCTTCACATGCCAAAATGTTACAGCATTGATAACAAAATAACTCAATATATTAGTCAATAACGCCGTAGCCTTCAAAAGAAAAAGCATATAATAGGCGGCGTTGTGGGCAACAGTCATTCTTCACAGCACATAGGCCAGAGGGATAGGTGTGCACACCACTCACATCAAATCCCCACCACTAACATCCCGTGTGAAATCGAGACATCGATTTTGGACACAGGCCTTAACTCCATAAAATAGTTTTTTTGGGGTTAGATCGCATGAATATAAATGTGTCGCTAAACCCACCACCACCCGACACAGCCAATCAGTAAGTTGTCACTAAACAAAACATGCCAATTCGTCACTTGTTCAGCACACCGGTGTGTGGGAGAGTAAAACCCACAACATTAACCATTGGAGTACGACGTTTTGGCGATAATTACAACCAGCCCCATTAGGCGACTGGCTGTCGCCAGCGAATTGGCATGTTTTGTTTACGTGATAAGCTTTACTACATTTGCTGTGTCGAATTGCAGGTTTAACGACACATTATATTTACGCGATCTAACAAAAAACCCCTCTAATATGGATAATATTGGCCGCAAAAGCCTACGTGTTAAACAGGCCTTGACTCCTCTGTGAGCTGAAAACGACCCTCGGTGCCATCCAATGTCTGAGACTTGGGGGAAAACTTATTCTCAAACTATTCAGGCTAAAACTAAGGGAACCTTACTGAGAATGAATATCAGTCGTAATATTCCACAGAAACACGCACACTCACCACAAACAAGTACAATTGTGTGTCCTGCCAGATTCATGTTACTCACCTGACAGCAACCTCTGTTGTTCTGCAAAAAAATATATGCGTGGAAGCTTCCTTTTTCCGAAAACACAGCTCAGGCCTACAAGGTTATTGTCAGTTTATTTGAATGTAGTGGAATAAATCTCCTCTGTAAGTGAATGACAGTGCTGGCATGTACTATGTGCATGACACGGTGGTGCAGTACACTCCCACTTATGAGGGTTCTCTGCAGGGAGAGTGTCACAAGCTCACGACGCTTGCCTCCCGAGACCCGCCAGTCTGCGTGAAACACAACTCGCCTCACAGCGACAAGCGGGCGGAAGTGTGAGATGGGAGACGCAAGTGGCACGAAATGAGCTACATTTTTAATTTTGGCTGCCCAATCTCTCCATCGTACGAACCGTACGTTTAACGTAACACCCAACGCGAGAGCAAACGCGTGGTTTGTGCGTCTGTGTGTCGACCGGCACCTCAAGCACACTGTACATGGTGTGCTTGAGGTGCTGGTGTACAGGAGGTCGTGGGTTCGATCCTGACCCTGACACCTGTATATATGGAGTATGCATGTTCTCCCTGTGATTGTGTGGATTTTTCTCCAGGTCCTCCGGTTTTTCCCTACACATTTAGAATGACCAATCATTTGTGGGCAGGTCGCTGCTGAAAAAAAAAAGCTATATATATAAATATATATTAATATTTTAGTTTCTACTTTTAGTTTAGGAGTTCAACGGGCGGTGCACTCACCTGGATGGATAGATAGGTGACGTTCAGCACCAGCGGTGGGGCACTGCGGTTCCACACGTCGACCGGCACCTCAAGCACCCCGTACACGGTGAGCCGGTGCAGCACGGGCGGGGCCACGTCCAGGACCAGCCAGGAACCTGTTTCAGGCCCAGGGTGCCACAATCAGCGCAGAGAAGGCACTTGTTGAAATGCATTCACAGTTATGTTCAAAAAGAAAAATCAGCGAAAAAAAACACATGATGCAACTGGGATTGGCCAAACAATCCAAGGCTGAAAATTTACCTGCAAATTACTCAATTGGGATCACACAGCCGCCTCCTGTGAAAATTTGGCAGGATCCTCCTCAAAAAACAATCTCGAGACTCGGCGATAATTTTTCGTGATCACGCAAGCACAATAATTTCAAATGTATATTCATCACCACTTGCGACTAATGTTCGCCATGACAACTCAAGCAGCCAAGTTCACGGCACGGTGTGCGAACCACTGCACCACCACAACGGCCCTGCTATTTGAGTAGCCCTGGCACTGCAATGTGTACAAGCCCAAGGGAAGATTCAAGTCACCGGACCGCAAAATGCCAAACGCAATCACAACTCTTAATTACGCTGGTCTGCTTTGCTTTTTTTCCTTTTTTTTCACGCGAGGGGAGATTTTGCGCAACACATCGGCTCGGGGGTCAATATTCCGGTACACGTGGCAGCTTTAACGCTCGCAAAGCGACCCCAGCTGCGGCGGACGCGTGGTCGTCCAGGGGACGCTCTTGCGGGAGGCAGGCGACGGCAAGAAGAGGGACGTGGAGACGGGGCGCGTGTACCTGGCGGCACCGTGACGTTGCTGCCCTCGGCCGGCACGGAGTGGTCGTTCTCGGGCGACGCGAGCCAGAAGCTGCTGTTTGACCACAGGCTGCAGATACGGCGCAAGACGTTTCACGCCGAGCGTCAGTTCGTTCGTTCATTGTATCATTTTCTCAACGTGCACAAATTGCATTTTAAAAAGAAGACATTCAGAGTCACTCATTGTTTTTTTCGGTAAAGTCACGTATGTAGAAATACAATAAAATTATATTAAAACAAAAAACAATCACGACGTTTCGATCACAACGCAAGCGATCTTCATCAGGTGTCAAGAACAAATCACGGAGGTAAATACAACAAAAAGATGAGAGACGAGAATTCAACAAACCTGAAAAAACATTATGTGAAGCACATCCAGTCAGGCCAACAACACAGTTAGACACTTCCTGGCGGACCACGAATTTCAGAAGAGTGTTAAATTTCGTGTTCAACCTTTGGATTGCACATACCAGCATAGATAGAATGAAAAATACGAGGTACACGGTCAGTAGAAATACATATACAAGTCCACCAAGAGGTAAGGAGGGAGGAAAGATGGACAGGGAGGCAGAGAGAGAGGGGGGGGGGGGGGCATGAGGGATGAACAGAAGCTTAAATAGGAAATACGGTTGGAGGGGAGGAGGGGCCAGAGCGAGAGCGGCAGCTCAAACACGCACATCTTACACATACAAAACGGCAGCTCAAAAAAGGACCACCTCTTGTAAATACAAAACGGCAGCTCAAAAAATGACCACCTCTTGTAAATACAAAACGTGGTCCGCCAGGAAGTGTCTAACTGTGTTGTTGGCCTGACTGGATGTGCTTCACATAATGTTTTTTCAGGTTTGTTGAATTCTCGTCTCTCATCTTTTTGTTGTATTTACCTCCATGATTTGTTCTTGACACCTGATGAAGATCGCTTGCGTTGTGATCGAAACGTCGTGATTGTTTTTTGTTTTAATATAATTTTATTGTATTTGTACATACGTGACTTTACCGAAACAACCAATGAGTAATTTTATGCAGTCACGAAAGCTTTAATACTTTATTACATTCAGAATCGTCGGAGAATAAAAAAGAAATTCTTCAGATCCTGACAGAAGGACGACACCGTCAGCGATGCGCGCAGTCAAAGAGGGCCTCACTTTGTTACCAAGTGCACGCTGTCACGCCACAGCCTGGCACGTGCACGCTACTATCACACCACACCCTGGCACGTGCACGCTACTGTCACACCACACCCTGGTACGTACACGCTACTGTTACACCACAGCCTGGCACAGGCACGCTACTGTCACGCCAGAGATTGGCACACGCACGCTTCTGTTACACAAGTGAAATCAGCAATTCAAATGCTACGGACCTGCTTAATTTCTGTGGACATATGGTTTCGAAATATGCGTTTAATAATGGGACAAGTACTTGATAGGATGACCTGAATTTATGTTTTAATGTTCCCCTAGAAATCTTACTCTTTAAAAAAATGTCTGTTCAGAGGGAACAACCTTCTCTTGTCACGCGTTACAAAAACGTCTCTTGTCACACACTGAAACCCCCTCTATCGCCACTACAACATGTAACATCTTTGCAGGTAATGAGATCCCACAATTTGATAGCTGCTCCATTCTCTATTACCTAAAGCCATTCCTCAAAACGCACCCCTTTCCGTGGGAGTTGCAATAGTATCATTCTTACAAGTGCCCTGAAGGTGTTCACCCCCTCCCCCTGTCTTCTTGAGTTGTCATTATTTGACGATTTTTGTACTTTTTTTTTGACCAGGTAAGGCCCACTGAGCTATATAGCTCTGCTTGAGAAGTCACAAATTACAACTCAACGAAGTGGCTTATCACATGGAAATGTATAGCAACCGAATACTCTAAACACGTTTTTAAATGTGGAGGGAAAAACCGGAGGACCTGGAAAGAAATTCAAGTGACCACGGGGAGAGCACGCAATCTCCAAATATACAGCAGCAGGCATCAGGGTCAGGATCGAACCCACGCCTCCTGTATACCAGGCGTGGTAGTTAACATCTCCACCCGCGGCGTCCAATTATAAACGTGATGTTGTTCTCTGGACAACTCTACTTTACATTCCTGCTCTCCACTGCTTCATACGGCTTCACTGTTCCGTGCCAAAGCAATCTTCCCCGCCGCCTGCTAATAATCGCTGTGCTGAAACCCACGTGTGTTCTCTCATGTGGGATTTCCCAAGGTGGCTGCGTAGCTCCGAGGTAAGAGTGCTGAGCCAGCTTTGATGAGGTTACGGGGTAAAGTCTGGGTTTCATCGGCCCGTCGTTAAAGAGGCTTCTCAAGTGGAGTGAGTTGATAGCCTCGGCTGGCTCACCAATGATTGCACACCAAAAAAAAAATATAACATTATTCATTTGGATAAAATACAGCTCTTATCAGTGTACTGTTATGCAACGATCTCATTGTGCTAAGAAGAATAGCCATAACGTCGCCTGATTGTATGTTGTTCAAGTTTAGCTTTCATCACAGAGTTTATTGGGGGAGCGAAATGCCCCCTGTATAAATGGATAAAAAGGCCACATTATGTATTTTTTGGGGAGAATTCTTGCAAAACACTCTTCCTCAACAAAATGATTGCACAAGGCACACTGCTGGGTGACATTCATGAATGGACCCTTCGTCGCGTGACATTGTGCAAGAGCACGACTGGAACATATAAGGATATAAAAAGTTACAATTACTATGGCATTTCTCAAGCGACGGGATGAAACCCCATGGTGAGTTGTTCAACCTCACAATGCAACCGAGAGACTCGTGAAAGGCCAGGTATTGAGAGAGTGAACTCTGCTTGTGCTGGTGGATTTTTCTGAGGCAGCGGCGTGGCGGCAGCCTCCACCACCACCACCACCGAAAAAACTGACTGCAAATGCGACTCCAAATAATATCTCCCTCTCCTTGCCTGTTACAGCTATTATTTCTCAAGGTTTCACTTTACACAGCTTCGTTGCTGCGAGTGATCTTATTGCTGAATCAATAGTTCTCAACGATCGAATATTTCCACAATTTCCACGATAAAAAAATATATGTATTACCCACTAATTAGTTTTTCTTTAATAATAGGGGTTTTCCCCTTTTTTCTGGCAACAACCCTATTATTACATTTTGGTACTGGCAAAGGAGGTCTAATGATGTAGATGCTCACCCCGAGCCCTCATTACTTTGATAGTGCATTGTCTTTGAGCTGTACGCCTTCTGGGGTCATCTGGTCGAGCACCAATTGGGTCGAGGCTCAAAAGAAAGCCGTCCCTTGGTGTGGACCAATCAGTTTCAAGGACAATGCATATATTATCATAGTATGTTTTTTGTTTGCATTTTGACTGCAGGTATTGTGGTTAATGCAGACATGAATCCTTGTAAAAAGGTTTCAGTTTTGTAGCCAGGAAAAAGGGGAACACCCTATTATTAGTTTTTCTTTATGAACATCCTGCACAAAACTGAAGTCCTATTGCGATTGTTGATCCAAGGCGCCAAAATGATCAGACTTAAACGCCTCTTTCTCTGGGCTTTACAGTTTTAAGTGTTCAGTGCGCCACGCTGAATGAACGCACGTCACGAACGCTCGCAGTGCGGGAGGAGGCTTACTCGTATTTCACGGCATTGGGAGGAACGGGCTTGACTTTCGGAACGATGCATCCCTCGTAGAAGCAGCGCAGCACCTGAAGCATCACGTTCTGGTTCCGCAAGCTCGCGTCCAGCGAGGAGGACGAGGGCCGTCCCGTGGGCCCCGACTCGTTCCCCGACACTGCGACAAAGTGACGCACGCTCAGCGCCGAATAAACGGCCACAACCTCACAATGCAACCCAGACAGTCGTTTGTGCTGTTTGTTACTGGCCGCATGATGCTTTTGGGGACGTTGGGTTTTGTGCTCGGCAACTGTCTTTAAATAGAAATAAGTGTATAAAATAAAAAATACATCCACAGATTTCCCCCTCCCAGAAAATACTGAACGCTCCTGCAGCGGTACAAAAGTACCTGCAGCGATCGACGTTACGCCTTTCTGGGACTGTAAGGAGGTAGTGGATACAGACAAATACTACGTGTCACATATGTATACTACACTGTAAGTATGTCGATATACACATGTGGTATACACACGTGCGGATCAACTCATGCGCTGACACAGGCTGAACACACTCACTATACAGGATTCATTTGGGCTGCCTCACCCATCACCCCCTGCATCATACCTCAAATATTACACAGGAAAAGTGGCACCCCCACAGCCAAGGACGATCGCAGATACATTTTGCTATCTGATGATCCACAGCTATTCTTCACGTGTTCTTATCACGATAAATGCAACCGTTTTAAACTGGCGTACAATACATCCCCGCCACAGTTTATTTTCAAAATTGGTATAGTGGAGAGGTGTCTGGAACACGCCGCCATGACTTGGGATGTGTATTTCTTATCCCGTGCGGAGGAAGCGTGGGAGCGGAGGTCTGCACACTCATTACCCATGTAATAGAGGTCCCGGCTCGTCGCGTTGAAGAACCAGTCCCCGGTGCGGCTGCTGGTTGCGCTGAGCCCCGTCACGGAGTTATTTCTGTCCAGCCCATTGGTGAAAAACTTGTCAGGCGCCTGCATCAGGTTGTGGTTTATGATGACGTAGTCATCCTCCTGTGAGAGCAACGGCATCATTGGCACCACGCAAGGCAACAGCATCGCCACGACAGAGCCTAGAGCGGGAACCGTTACACAACCCCCGCGTGAGTGGGGTTCTCTCTACTTGAGACGGGGGCAGAATCCCCTTAAACGCACACACACACAGAAACTGATAAAGAGAGTGAAAATAAAATAACATGGGATGGAGCTGTGGTGCAGTGGTTACTGCTGAGTTGAATTCCTGGCTATAGCTAACATTTATGTTGAGTGATGTCTAAACCGGTCCTGGGCTCCTCCCGGCACATACCCACACAGACCACAAAGTTCCGTGTCATGAAAAAAATCCTCATTCAGAAGGAAATTGAGAATGAGCTGCAAATCGTTATGAATAAAATAACTAAATGACAACTTTTAATATATACCATCTACACAGGCAAGCATTTCACCTCAAAATAACTGGGTTGGCCCAGTACTCTTGGCAAAAATTACCAATAGCTGGCAAAATCCCCAAAGAGAAGTGTTTTGTCTTTAAGTAACAAGTCTTGCATTTTGGCCACGAGTTCATATTCTGGGGTAATTCTGTTCCAACATTACTATTGAAGCCAACTCGGCTTTATCTAAAGCGTGTTTCGACTCTACACGCTTTACCTCGTGAAATCTGTTTTCCGGAACATGGGGGTGATGTTTCGGCTATACGCGGCTTGAAGCTACTAAAATTCTCATCTCCATGTCTCAAAGTAATGCCATGAGAGCGTTGCATCCATTAGAAGGTGTCAATGAATCGACTGTGAGAACGATTTATATACCGTGTATGTTTTTAGTGTGTGTATGTTTTTGCGTGATAATGTAGCACACTCAACATGCACAATGCACATGCATCTAGCCAGTTTAACAAGTAGGTTTTCACGACCAATATCATCCATAATAGAGGTTATTTTGTACTAACTATGGGTCTTAATGGGACATCAGGTTTGTGAATTTTTGGTAGCCCATAAAGTCTTGGTAGCCCATAAAGTCTTGGTGCCCTTGGTTTGATTAGGTATTGCTCTTCCTGGGGAATTGATGACTTGGAAATGATTGCCGTTGTTCTACGTCCCAAGGTGCCGGTTGGATCTCGTTTAATTTTAAGGTAGGTACCTTCATCGAGTAACTCTTTGATTTTATTATCGTCGTCCTCATGGAGCAGCACAACAGTTGATCAGCCTTTATCAGCAGCAAGAATTTGGATATCTTTATTTGCTGTCAATTCTCTTAAGGCTATTGCTTCACTGAAGTTAATATTTGTTTTTGGCATACAGCTAAATTTTTACAGTAATTTTTGCTGTGCTAGTTACACCTGATGACGGAAGCTTGTGTTGCCTCCGAAACATCGTGATTTGATTAATTGTATTTTTTTTACCTACGTGACTTTACCGAAAGAACCAAAGAGTATGGATCATTGTAGTCACGAAAACTTCAAATCTAGAATTGTTTTTGGCAATTTGCTGTTCTCAATAATGTTGGCAACCTCGTGCCTAGTCATCTCAGCTATTTTAATACACACAATGGACAGCAAGGACAATATCAAAGGGCTCGCATAATGCGCATGCATAATGTACGATGACTCATTAATCACCCCCCCACTTTGCACAAGAGGGCAGAAGTGTGGTCACCACATCTACGCCTCTATATAAGAAACGGGTAGACTTCTCCACAAATCTGGCTGTCACCTGATGAAGCTAGTTGTAATTACTGGCGAAACGTCGTACAGTGTTAGGGGCTAGCGTTAGGCATGAGTACAGTGGTGCGGGAAGAGTAATGGAGCCGGGGGTTTTGTGTTGAGGTTAAATTGAAAAATGAAGAGTATACAATATTCCCTCGTTATTGACAAACGTGCTAAGCCGCGAATCGCATCTGGAACTCGACATGACAGTATCGAGAACGAGAAAGAAATTGACGAGAGAGAAAGTTATGTTAGAGAAAGTGATGAGTTAAAGAGATGAGAGAAGCTTTAGAAGCATCGCAGATGTTTTGCGCGATTTATATTCGTGGACTAAAATCATTATCTGCAAAATGTTCTATTCACAAGCATCTCCGGAACGTATCCCTCGCGAATAACGAGGGAATAATGTGCAACGGGGAGTGACTCGGCATACAATCACAAGGGCATAAATCAAGCAGAATTAGTTCAACAAAGAGGGAGAGGATACAAATTTGAGGCCCAGGAATGCAACCCCATTTTCCCCATGAGGTCTATTATTATTATTATTTGTCGAATGTGGTTTTGTCCAACGCGACATTTTCTGGGAACGTAAACTCCGCGTTCGGCGAGGCCTGCCGGTACTTCGTTCTCCGCAATAAGACGGTAATAGGACGTCCACCTCCGGCTCGTGACCCCCTCCACCTGGAGTTGCACGGGATTGCAGTCTGACTTTCGACGACTTTCCACGACAATTATTTCGTGCATAATGCTGCACTTCAATTGCCGACGAGGACCTCTCCGGGATTAGCACGGTTGGCTACGTATGGTGCGAAAGAAGTTCAACATACATACGTGAAAATGATTGCTACAGCTGATGAAGGAGGGCTTGGGAATGTGGTAGCCAACTGACATTCCTCCAGCTCGCACAGATTAGGGGGCCGTCTTAAATGACGTCACGCGATTTTGGACGATTTTTGACCCCTCCCCGCTCGTCACACGGCGGCACAAAAAGTCAGACCCCCCCCCCAAATATGACGTCACAAATAAAACATGCTTCAAATCGCTTTACACTATTGTTTTATATATATTTTATTATTTATCGTTTCCCTTCAACGTGGCTTTACCGAAAGAACCAAGAATACGAGTCACTGCAGTCACGAAAGCTTTAAATCAAAATTTATTGTCATTGTAGTGCGTATTTAATGTGACGCTGCACTCTGATGTTGTAGGAGAAAACATTTATTAAAAGGTCTATTTAATTAAGTAGAACGTGTTGTCTATATTTATTTAAAGTTGCGCATTTTGATTTGACGTCACATTTCTCAAACCGCCTCCCCCCTCGTCACACATCGTCACAAATGTCTGACCCCCCCCCCCCCACGAGGTGTTCTACGTCATTTATGGACGGCCCCTTATGTGGACGGACAAATTATTTAAGAATATGAACTGTTGGCGAGAGATGATCAGATGTGCAAAGAATGGCGTATTTTTTTTCCTATTCGGTAAAGTCACGTAGGTAAAAAATAAAACAACAAAAATCACGACGTTTCGGCCACAACACAAGTGGCCTTCTTCAGGTGAAGGAACAGAACTGTCGGGACGACAGCACTTCAATGACCGCTGCTAAGATTCGCAGCGTCTTTCAATCTCGGTGGGAGGAGCAGGACGCCTTGACAAAGGAGTTTACATATAAAAAATAGCTGTGTTAAAGTGTTGAAGCAGAACTGTCGTCCCGACAGTTCTGTTCCTTTCACCTGAAGAAGGCCACTTGTGTTGTGGCCGAAACGTCGTGATTTTTGTTGTTTTATTTTTTACCTACGTGACTTTACCGAATAGAACCAAAGAGTATGGATCCTTGCAGTCACGAAAGGTTCAAATCTAGAAATGTCGTATTTCTTTTGATCGATGTAAACATCCCTGCAAGCTGCCTAACTGAGAGAGAGTGCTAAGAGGAAAGAGAAATGTACCCACCGCGAGGCCATAAAAGGTGGCCGTGTAGGAGATGTTGGTGATGTGTTCGGCGTCCTGGAAGGCCCAGCGGTAAGTTTGGCGGCTGGGCAGCAGAGCCATCCAGCCCCGCTGGTGGGTGAGGCGCTTCTTAAGGAAAGGGACCTCACTAGTACCTGCAAATGGGACACACGGGACACCACGTTACGTGACATTGCGGGGCGAAATACACAAAGGTATATCGGAGGCGTTACACGACAGTTTTTTTTTAAATCCTAATGGTTCGTAAGTGATGCGCACCGATGGGGAAAATGGGAATTCAGCAAAAATGGGTTTTTTCACGGTAATTTTTTTTGTATACATTCATTCCTAAACATCTCATTCAAACGACCACGCAAGGAGCTACCGTAAAAAGGGGCCGTCCATAAATGGCGTCACGCACTTAAGAGGGGGGTCAGATATTTGTGACGATGTGTGACGAGGGAGGGGGGGTGTTGAGAAATGTGTCGTCACATCAAATGCACAACTTTAAATAAATATAGAATAGTTATAACAACACTAATTGTTATAACAACACTCCTACAACATCAAACTGCAGCGCCACATTAAATACGCACTACAATGACAATAGTTTAAAGCGATTTGAAGCATGTTTTATTTTCAAAATAGAAATATGGTTTTGGTGGGGGGGGGGGGGCAGAGCTTTGTGACGTCATATTTGAGGGGTTGTCTGATTTTTTGTGACGCCGTGTGACGAGGGGGGTCAAAAATCGCCCAAAATCTCGTGACGTCATTTATGGACGGTCTCAAAGACGCTGCGCGCGGTGCAGAGCAGCGCCGCTTTAACTCAGCGGTGTTGGTGGCTCCCACCCAGCATCACGCGCTCCGGATCGCGCCCCCTCGTGGCCACCACGCGGTGCGGGCCCTGTAGCGTCCACCTTGCTGCTCGTGCTGCTGCAAGTGCTTCAGCTGCAGTGTTACACTGCTGCATGTTGATCTTCTTCCGCACCGTACGGAGCACACACGTGCTATTTTAACTGCCCACCCCAACTCTGTCGCCAATGCGCACACTGTGATGAGAGCGAATCTGTCTCAGCCGTAACACCCGTCGCACGCGGTGTCTCTAACGCACATGAACTCGACAACGCTTACAACATGATTTACATTTGTACACAACTCTCGATGCGAAGCTAAATCATTATTAATTGCATTGAACGCGTTTATTATTATTCGAATATATGATTTGTAAGTTTTGTGTAAAAAAATTATTTAAAAAAATACTAAAACATGCGTTGGCCGGGAATCGAACCCGGGTCAACTGCTTGGAAGGCAGCTATGCTCACCACTATACCACCAACGCGGCTGAGTATGCACGGCTGTCGGGGCTCAGTTAAAGTCGTGCCGGATGCCCCGTGTAGTCTCTTACAACCCATGATCTTAGGGGGATTTTGATCGCGTAAATGTGTCGCTAAAACCCGCCACCACCAGACACAGACACTTAATAAGGTTTGTCACGTAAAAGAACATGGTCAATAACAGCACACCGGTGTGTTGGGAGACCAAATCCACAACATTTACAATCTTGAGTACGACGTTTCGCAAAGAAATGACAACTAGCACCGTCATAGGTGCTCGCTAACAGAACTTTTCCCCCCCAACAGTCTGTTAAGGCTACACGGGAGGTCTTTGTCTTTGTGGAGACGTTTCCCAATCCCGTGGCGGACAGGGCCGCAAGCCCCGCTCTCGCCTAGTTCCCTCCCCGAGAAGCGACGCCTCCTGCCGGTACCGCCCGCGCCACCCCACCGCCTAGGAACTGCCGAGCGGCGCCCTCTAACAATCGCATCGTTACAATGCGAACTAGAAGGAGCGTGCGTAACTTGTAAATAGTTCATAGTTCAATTTATTTTGGTATAGCCCTGTGAGACATTCGGCCCTTGAATCGGGTGCAACCGCAACAAACAAACTAAAAAAAACACGAACAAGAAAAACATCTTAAAGTGACTCTGTGTTGACTGTGCAAAACAGAAAATCCATGGGAAAAAAAAACAGGAAAAATATTCCTGAAAAAAGCACCGTCCACCACCAACACTGTGCAAAAACTCCCAGTGGGATGCAAGTCAAACAACAACAACCACAAGAAACTTAGATTAAGGCCATCAGTCTAACTCCGTACTACAACAAAACAAACATTGTCCAAAACCAAAAAACGTGTTCGAAATTACCAAAAAATAAAGCCATAATTGCAACGTAACAGTGATCATAGGGACCGTGACCGAAGTTTTAACAATAAACTACATAAATAATAACATGTAACACCAAATCCTAGAGCCATAGCTGGCTGCATGAGTCACACTCCACAACAACAGGAGCATCAGTATCACATTTACGCAGCACTTTGCTGCCGCCGTTTTATAATGTGAAGATCGAGTTGTATATGATAGCTCAATGGGTGTTTTTTTCCCTCCCGTCCCCCACTTATGAACTTTCTCAATCCTACACCGCTGTGGTTTGGCGTTGTTTGGCCATACTTCACCACGCTGGTCAAGTGCGGGTTGGTAAAAATGGTTTGCCGGTGTCCCGGTTTTCATCTTTCCCCGGCCACTGATCTTATACGAGCCGTGCAGCAGCCAACTCACTGATCCCATACCTGTCAACCCCTTATCAGAACCTACCTTCTAACACACCAAATTCAGACATTATTGGTCACCCCGTGCCACTTGTTAATCGTCGACGTTCATCCGGCAAAGTCCCATCACAAGGGAGGGAGAAACACAAACAAAGAGACCATCTCTGTTGTTGCCCGTATTGAAACGGGGTAAACCGTATGGGTTGACAGCTATGGTGAGCAATCCACTGCTGGATGGTGGCCTCCTTGAGCTGCCCCAGCTACTGTCATCACTGTTCAGTGCCGTGACATTCAAGGGTAGGCGCGGAGCAAGAGCTGCTTCGGCGTGCTGGTGACAACAGCAGAAGTCTGTATCTTCGTCTGTAATGTCAACACAATTGTCAAATCCCTTCGGCTTTGGTGTGGATGGGTTGGCAGGTCGCCACGGATAAAATAATGTATTAGGTCATAGCAGCTTCGCCCAATTCCTGTTACAATACATTTGTGTTTCTTGCTGTGGGTGGCCATGAACAGCAGTAGCGAGGTCTGGGTGTCCTGCTCTTGACGACTGTTGTAACTTCCAACAAGGATCATAAAACAATGATTATTTTAATCGCCTGGTAATGGATGGGCGACACAGAATCCGAATATTTAGACTGCAGAAAGGAATCTGATGCGCTATGAAGCTCTTTTTTTCACAGACGTCCAATTGTGGTGGGTAAGCAAGTAACAACAAACGATACAACGAATCCACTGGTGGTGCAACAACAAGAGATTTGATGTGGATCTCAGGACAAACGTAAAAATGACAAAAGCGAACAATTTTAGTTTAGGGCGTATGGCAAAAAAATATAATCGCCGACTAAAAATGTATACTCTGCGAGTCTACGACATTAAAAACATTAACTTCTACCACTAGATGGCGATGGTACTTTATTACAGGGATTTGGATTACATCCATGCGGGGTAATTCACTACAGGTGAGCGACATCACATCTATCCCTCTATTTAATAACGAGGCAAGAGTATTTCTCCACAAATCTGGCTGTCGCCTGATGATGCTGGTTGTAATTACAGGCGAAACTTTGTAAATGTTGTGGATTTACTCTCAAACACATTCGGTGTGCTGTACTAGTAACGAATTGGAATGTTCTGTTTACGTGACAAACCTTACATATTTGCTGCCGGGTGGTGGCGGGTCTAGCGGCACATTTCTATTTACACGATCTAACCCAAAAAAAACATGTATAATGGGGTAATTCGTTGTTGGCCACTAGCTCCCTGTTGAATCATTGAGGAGCCCAACAAAGCTCATCGCAGTGCTTGGTGTACTGGTCACAGCCGGAGTACGATATACACCGGACATGAAGTACTGTGTATACAGTCTGACCACGAATATCACATGCATGCATACATATACAGTAAACCCTTGTTAATTCGACACATATGGGGCTCTGGCCTTGCCGAATTATCCAATATTCCCCAGTGTCTCCTGCACCAATACATTTTTTTCCCCACATTTGTTTTCCAAACTCTTCACACACCATACGCATTGACACCCCCCCCCCCCCTGCATCAATTATATCCGAAAGTTTGGATTTGTCTCGCAGACTTTGGGATTTATACTTCAGTCCCTTTCTGTGACTTCTTGATGTAGGTGTAGACGACATTTCTGAGAGGGTTGTCTTGCACAGGGTGCATAAGCAAGGTAACGTCCAAGGCAACGGGAAGCTCTGCGCTAACGCTCACCACGTGCGCCGCCACCAGACCGAGAGTCGTCGTTTTGGTCGTGGCGCTCCGGCGTCGCTCCACCTGCTATGCCGAAATTGGACCATTCGGCTCGTGGCGAATTACTAATACACCGTATAGGTGCCGAAAGCGCGGCCGTGCCTAATTATATTCCCAGTTACGAATGATCAACAACTGAAATAACAAGGTTTTACTATATATAATAGTTTCAGACAGTATGCATACATTGCACACTGTGCTCCATATAGTATTTACCATAACTCTCTATATGTAGTGTACCATATAATGCACGACCACAGTAACGTCTATGAATGCTCCATACTATACAGGACTACATGCAGGCCGTGTGTACCATATTGTAAACATAAGTATGCACGTGACGTACATACATGTATACATCATACACGCACACCTATGTTTGTGTGCAGTAAATGTTGAAAACCAGTCCCAGACGCGTGCGTAGAGTGGACATGGCTTCAACCTGTAGCATTCCAACAATAGCAACCAGATACATTTAGGAATCGTTTTTCCACTGCTGGAACTTTCTGCTGCAGCAATGTCTTCAAGCCGGTCGATGAATCGAGCCCAATTATTTTAGCTGGAAATTACTAAAACAGACCAAAGTGTGAGGACACTGAACGTCCAAGAACAGCAACAAATATTTTCCAGTCTCAGTTTGCAGCTGGGCAACACGGGTTTGAATCCATGAAGGGTATGCCTTAGTTATTATGGAGCTCCCGGAGCTATGCACTTTAAAACCAATATTGAAAATTAATTTCTTTAAAACTGCTTTTAGTGTTTAGTTTGTTGTACTTCCCCGCGCCTCCGTTTAGCACGGTTGGCTACGTAAAATGTAAATGAAGTTCAACATTCACACATAGCTTCAGGATGAACACTTTCAGCCTATTTATTGATTTCATATCAGTGGCGATGTGAAACGACACACGAGAGAGGTATGATGGCTCACCGTGTGCGTTGGTGAGCAGTACATTCTTGCCCTCCAGGGAACTGGGGCTAGGCCTGTTGAAGGCGAGTCGGTGGAAGCGCACCGAGGCATCGCACACCATGGCCGGGTAGTTCCCATGATTCCACTCGGGGCCCGGCTTGCAGTGAGCTGGGTCTAGCAGGTCACTCCGGGCAACTACTTTGCTGCCAACATTACCTACATCCGACGTGGACACAGAGACAAGCATGCCACAAAAGGACACAACACTTATTAGTGAGAATTCCGTTTTTCACACAATAGCATGCGCAAATTATTTTCTTTTGCATGTAACAAAGACAAAGATCCCCCGTATAGCCTGATCAGACTGTTGGGGAAAGTGCTGTTAGCGAGCACCTATGAAGGCCCCCATGGCACATGGAGGGGTGGGTGGCTAACACCGCGCCTGGCCGCCTTTGTCTCCCCAGTGGCGATGTTTACCCACCTGCACCAGGTACTCATTTGAGGCTAAGTCGACTTAGGGGAGGCCCATGACTGGTTCAGATAATCGTCACCGATGTTGGCCGTGAGCGGGAATCCGACTCGAGTCGCTGGGTTCGTAGTGCAGCGCGCTATCCACGCTGCACTACTGTTGCATATAACACGCACGCACACACGCACATGCGTGCGCGATTCAAGAATAATTTTAATTCAAGAAGCAGTTTTTATTAACTTAAAGGTAAATCTTCAAAATTAGTCTTGTGTGAATATATATAATAACCAAAGTGGGAAGGGGGAGACAGGTTGTATAGAGAGACGGTTTTTGGATATGATTTTTTTATCGAGCGTCATCCATGCACGATGCATATCACAGCACTGCACATATCCGTAACACACAGAGATGCATATATATTAAGATGTTTTCAGCCAATTAAGGAGTGTTTGTACATGTGAGAGGAAACCGGAGCATTAGGAGAAACCCCATCCCACCACGATGGAACAGATGGAGATTATTCCACACTGCTAGACTGCCGTCTCCTGGCCAGCCAGGAGATGGTACCTTGACAGCTACGGGAAAGGGAGTTTCACAACATTTGTGTGATCCACCAACCCTTGCCTCCACAGTGCTGGATTAAAGGTGTGCCACCAAGCTGAAGTGAGCACAGATGAAGTGGCGGACATAGAACGTTGAGAGAGGGTTCATGAGCGAGAAACATTTTTTGGGACTAATGCGGTGTAGAGATAGATACAGAGTGAGTCAAGAAGAGCAGAGCCAATGTGAGATGAGGGTGTACGGAGTCAGATCAAACTGGAGTTTAGGGTGAGATTGATGTATAAAAATGCACTGCCCTACAATTAAATGCTTAGCGTCCTCCACATGCACTCAAAGGCCAGAGGTTGGCTTCAAATCATCTGAGTCACAGAAGGTTTCCATTATTGCACACATTGAAAAATAAAACTTTTAAATTAGCGAGTGTTATGGAAAATAACAGTACGGGTGCTGCGCAGGACAGCGTTGGGAATGGTATTTATTTAGAAAGTATTCAATTGCTGAGGACTACTAAAAGTTTTAGAAGTAATCTAACAATTCCATATTATAGTAATAGGTTTTACCCTTTTAACTGGCACAAAAACTGACACCATTATTCAAGGCATCATGTTTGCAATAACCACAACACAAGCAGTCAAAATGCAAACAAAAGAGACAACTCTGATAATAATATGCCCTGTCCTTGTGGTTATTGCAAACATGATGCCTTGAATAATGGTGTCAGTTTTTGTGCCAGTTAAAAGGGTAAAACCTATTCCTATATCTTGTTACTGGCAAAGGAGGTCTCATCATGTAAATGCTCACCCCGAGCCCTCAATACTCTGATAGTGTGCTGTTTTTGAGTTGTACGCCTTTTGATGTCATCTGGTCCAACAACAGTGGAGACTAGGTTCTAAGAAAAGCCGTCTCGGGTGTGGACCAATCAAATTCAAGGACAGTGCATATTATTATCAGAGTTGTCTCTTTTGTTTACATTTTGACTGCTTGTGTTGTGGTTATTGCAAACATGATGCCTTGAATAATGGTGTCAGTTTTGTGCCAGTTAAAAGGGTAAAACCTATTACTATATCTTGTTACTGGCAAAGGAGGTCTCATAATGTAAATTCAATTTATCGCTTTTGGTAATCACAGTCATGTGCTATTTTCCATTTGTAAAGAGTTTATTCTCAAACACTGCTCTCCCACATCACTTAGAGTGCAGGGCTGGTTGTGGAATAGTGCCTTCCCACTTCAACGCCAGAAATCTTGCGTACCTTTCATATCAACATGGGTTGTGTGACTCACTTTTAAAAACACATCCCAATGTAAACCTATACTACCTCCTGTACATTCCGCAGCTTTGAGCTCGAATTTTTGGATGAGTTTATGCAGAGTTTTCAGTAACGTTCGTTACATTTCATTTCAATTATGAGTTTGTAAGTTAATTATTCAGCTATCAGATAATTGTTTTAACTTGATTGAAATATTTATAATTAAACCCTGATTTTGTGTGTTATACAAGTGTGATGTAATGGTCTTGGAAGTAGGTCCTCTTGTCATCTCACCTGTAAGTGAGCCATCCATATCGTGAAGGATGACCTCATGCTCCCAACGGAATTTGGCCTTGTTAGGGCTGTTGATGAATTTCACACGCTCGAACCGCTCACTCCAGCCTCCACACCGATCGATGCACACTCCCTGGATGGAAGTCACTCCAAAGACCGCACAGCTTCGACGGTCAAAGTTCACAAACTGTGCCCCCGATACTGTCAGCCCTTCGTTGAATGGCAGAATTAACCCATGTACCGTGCAGTGATTTGGACCCAGGCCCAGCTCATCCAGATGTCCGACCACCACCACATCCTTCAGAAGCGCACCGGCATTCTCGCCCCAACCGCCCACGAATTCTGAAATCACGCGTTTACTTTCAACGCCGGCGTTCTCGTTGTTGGCGAGGAGGAAATTGTGGAACTGCAGCGCCCCGCCGTTGACCCACTCTGCGCCCTTTTCACAGTTCCACACGGTGAGCGAGTCGAAGCGCGCCGGCTCCGGCTCCACCGAGCTGCAACCCCCACCGCGCATCGGGAAGTACGCCTCAAAGATCCAGAGGCCAAACCAGCCCTGCGAGTGAACGGTGTTGTTGAAGAACTCCCCCAGCGGCATGCGCTTCTGGCAGACGTTGCGGTCGAAGGAGGGCCCGTCGGGGTGCTCGTGCATGCGGTACCAGAAGCCAAAGTGGGTGCCCCCAGCGGCCGCGTTGTGACGCACCGTGTTGTTGGGGTTGGTGATCCAGTAGCCCGCCGGCGTGACATCATCGTTCAGCAGGCTTGTGCTCTGGCGCACAAACACGGCGAGGTTGTGCTGCAGCACGTTCCCTTGCTCGATGCCGTCCTCGATGAAGTAGGCGCCACCCATCACGTTGTACGCCACGTTGCGCTCCACGAGCAGCTGGTGCGTGTTGTGGATGGTGATCGCTCGGTTGAAGGTGTGGTGCAGGGCGCAGCCTCGGACGTACGAGCGGAACGCCACGTCGCCCATAAGATGCCAGTGGATGGGGTAGCGGCCGAGGCGGAACGCCTGCCCCGCGTGGTAAATCTGCCGGGCGTCACAGAATCGCCAACCGCAGCCACCGTCACAAGACAGCTCCTTTAAATCCCGTTGCTAAACAGATGTCAACGTTAAGCACTGATGATTGCAGCAATGTTAAAGAGATAACATTGCTTATAGTATTTACATAATTTTCAGACTATATTGGAAGATCCTATTCAGGTAAATTAGGTCACTTTCGATGTGTGGAGGAAATACAATTATTTTGAATCCTTCAATTAGGAAAGAAACACCTATCAGTAAAGTGAAAGAATTTCAGACATTAAGCAATATACGCCGAACATTTACGTAAAACAATTCAGATATTCAAAACCATAAATGTAACAATGTTAAACACAGGTGTGCAGTTTTTGCCCATGAAAGGGACTGTGGAAACGGTGTGAACCGGCCTCTCACCTCTACGTGTTCAATACGGCCAAGGGCCAATCCCTGGCCGGGCCGCGGGGCGTGGAACATAATGCAGCCTCCAAACTGGTCGCTCCCTATCTCCTCTCCGAAGCGGCCCTGGAAGCACGTCTGCGTGGCAAACTCCCCTGTGGCACACACAAGCGCATCCTTTCTCGGCAAACCGCGGCGACACGTTGGAATAATTTGGGCGCGATTCATTCTTTTTTGGCAATGTCCTGCCGCGGAAAGTTCCGATGCGTGGAGGATAATCTGCCGCAACGTCGTTGCCAGTGGCGTGATCACGTGTGTGTGTGTGTGTGCCACTTCGCGGGGCGAAGCGAGCCGAGCGCGCGTTCGTTGCACACACAGCAGCCACGTACAGCCTGTTGTCCTATAACGCGGCGGTAGTAGCGTTCCTGAAGAACACCGCGTCATGCAAACAGCGCGTTATAATAAATGAATAATATAGGGTAATGCAGTCCGCGATAACGCGTGAGATGCGTACGCAGGCTGAACAAAGACCGAGGCGCGTGGGTAGCATCTAGAAGCATCCAGCAGCATCCCAATGCCTCGTGTGTGATGCTACGCCGAGGCAGTCGCACAACCTCATGCGACGTTGTTCCGTTTACTCGATCGCGTTATATCCAATTCGCATCCGTGTTATGAAAAATGTGTTCCCTAATACATTAATCGTCACGTTATATCCAATTCGCGTCATGTATGCCTGATTTCTTTTACAGGTAGACAAAGTTCTTCAAGTCAGAAATTTTCTTCTTCCTTCCAGATCCGGTGAACCTCTACTTCACGGTGATGAAAAGTAACACAGTGTAAACTGTACATTAGTGATTTGTGAAGTGTTACTAAGCTGTCAATATTGTACTAATTGTAATTGTAAATATTTAGTTACCGATTGTTAAGTTTATTATTATGTGCATGGATTATATTAAATTTACGAAATACAACTGCCATATTTAAATAGTGGTACGGGGCAGCTGTTGGAGCAAAATGCGTTGCATATTGTCAAAGCATTTTGTTCTATGATCTGCGTCCCCAGGTTTTGGGCGCCTCTTTGGTCAATTTGATCACTTTTTGGCAGGGTAAGTCCCTACGGCAACGCAACTTTATACTATACAGCTTAGTTCAAATTGGATCATCTCTACACGAGTTGTGACTCCCATTAATAATATTTTTTTAAAAGTTAAAAACTGGATAAATGCATAATCGTTTTGCAGAATCAGTTGCAAAGTGTCTAAAAAAGTGCTCCCAACGGCTGTGATATACAGAGGCTGGGCATGTTCTAAATAAATGTAAAATTCTATTTTACCAAACTAACAACCTCTATACCTATCAATCGTTGACTGGATATACATCACAAAACGTGATTAAAAACTCAAAGATGACAGATTGAATGAGATGAGCATCCTTTGGTCTGGTCTGATGAAATTAAAAAAAAAGCATGAAGATGAGCACTAACCAGGGCAAATATTTCCCTTAGAAGACAATGCATCGGAAAAGGTCGACCTGTGTGACTCGTGTTCACTGCGAGGAAAACAGGAAATGTTGTGAGTTGGGACGTTCAGCCTCTCCCACATCTGCCGCTTGCATTGATTATGAACTAGTGATTATGAACTCTCTGGATCGCAGGACTCACGATTCTGCCGTGTGGGACCCTCCTCACACAAACTCGAGGTGGCCGTCCTTAGTGGCGAATGTCCCGTCGGAGCTATTGTTGGGTGGCATGGCAACAATGAAGATGTCACTATTTACTTTCTACTTTTCTAATGTTTGTGTGCTGTGGACACTTTAGCATTGTTGCCTCCCAAGACATCGACGATTTACCATAGCTGTCAACTCATACAGTTTACCCGTATTCTTGTACAGGGAAATAGAGTTTTCGGCGTACAGCTGTTTCAATACGGGAATCATTGTTTTTGTCTATTTGTTTGTGTTTCTCCCTTGTGATGGGACTTTGTAGAATGAACGTTGAGATTTATAAGGGCACGGGGTGACCAATAAAGTCTGAATTGGTCTGTATTAAGGTAGGCACTGATAAGGGGTTGACTTACACAAATGTTTTCTTTGCAGACGAAATAAATGATGTTGCTCTGTTTATCTTATAAATAGAGGAATTGTCTGTAAAACCAGTTTATTACTGCACACTTTACATGAATGTGCACCGTATTTTTTGTATTTAAATTAAAACAACCACACATTATTTAATTTATTTTCTTTCTACGTGACTTTACCGAAAGAACCAAAGAGTAATTCCTGCAGTCACGAAAGCTTCAAATCAAGTTTGAACCACACCTACTTCCTCTCTTTGAAAAATAAAGGCACTGAAAACAGTGACAAAAATAGAAAGTGATGGGGACAGGATGATGGGGAATAATTTTCTTCCCCATGAGCCCTCTGCTGACACACTGAGGAAGGAAATGTCCGATACTAGTCACAATGACCGTGGCCCCCTCATAAGGAGGGCGCAGCATGGAATCATTCCAACCCCGAGCTCCATGGAGCAGTATTGATATTATGTGGCGAGGCAGTCCCCATAAACTCGGCCTCTTCCCCCAGCAGTCTTTTGGAAAGGTTATCTCTCCTTGGCCTATGGGTAGCCTTATAGAAATTCGCATCGACACTCTTGAGAACAATAGGCTCCATCTCAAGGGGCTTTCCAAGTGAAGTACTTTAATGAATAAATATGTTAAACATAAATAAAGGCTGGATAGTCCCCACACGGCGTTATTAAATAACTGCAGAGCCTTCGCACCACCAGCTGCTATTCCAGTGCTTCTCTCACATCGGCCGTTGCCACTGATCCATTCACGGATCACCGTTCAAGTGGCGGCTGGCCCAGAAATGAACACCTCACGTACCGGTGTTGAAGCCTTCCGGACAGGCCTGGATGTGCTCACTCCAGGCCACCTGCTCGGAGCCACGAACCACGACGTTGCGGGTCAGCAGGCCGACCTCGGCCCGGGCCTGCAGCTTCCTCCCGCCCGGCAGCCCCACCGACACCCCCAGGTGCCGGAACGCGAGTGGCTCGCGCAGAGTCACGGTCCGCCCGTCGGCTGACACCACCGCGATGGTGCGCTGCTCGTTCTCCCGCTGGCTGTGCCTGAGGAGACCACCACAGTTCAACAGGCGGTGTGCTCCGCACAGCTATCTGCGTATAGCCGTTTAACTACGGGGATCAGTATCCTTCGTTTAACCAGGAGATGAACTCATTGAGACGCATGGCAACATTGCCTCTTTTTTAAACACAAAGAATATTTGAAAAACATTTACATTCACCGAATCTATATTACAATCCTCAATCCATGCAATTGTGAATAAGGCTAAGAAGGTGAACTGCGTTTTAACAATTTAAACATGCAAGAAATGTAAGAAGGGAAGGAAAGTGACTAGATTAGACAAATTGGCTTGAAGCGGCTAGAAAACATTAAAACTGACACAGACTAACCCAACACATTTACATAGGTGTTCGTCAGAGCCTCATCATTAATTGTTCTTCAAACTCAGCTGTGGTTGGAATTAAATTCTACATGCAGTTGAGAGGCTCAGTGACTCCAGTATTGTACTCTCTTCATGTGCTTCTACTGAATTTATATCCCCATGCCTGGAATTATTTCTGTTGTGACCATTGTGTTATAATGACCGTTTTCAAACCACATCGTTTACATGTATTTACGCGAGACATCGCTGTCAAGGCACGCTGAGCAGCCTCCTGGAGTTAGCAAATGAGAGCACAGAGGGGATGGCAAGCGGAGATACGATTTGACATGGTTCATTTGCATGAGCTCATAGTGTCTCTCATGGGCATCTCCTGTGGTAATTACACAAGGCGAGTGCCACGTATGTTCTAAAGCTTTGAATAGACCAGATGGAAAGGAGTTCCTGCTTAGAAGTGTAATTCTCACACGGCGTCAAACATGGAGAAACTCATGCAAGCAGCATCCCACGACACTTTACAATTTGTAACGCGTGTAAGTTTTCTAACGGAGGCGCGGAAAATGACAGACAAGGTGAAAGGCTGCATCGCTGCAACATGCTTTCAGATGCATCACGGTGTCGCGCACTTTCAGATTCGCTTTCCACGGCCGTCTCTAAAACTCTTCTTTCCAATGTTAGGAAACCACCGGAGACATGCACTTTTAAAACTACCGTAGATTGCAAACCCATTTTTGTTAAACTGCTTTTTGTGTGTTTAGTTTGTTGTCCTTCCCCTGCAGCTTCGACTAGCACGGTTGGCTACGTACGGTGCAAAGGAAGTTCAAACACACGGTACATACAAGGCAACCAGAACCGGCACCAAGAATTGCCAAACTCTTTTTTTACTGTGAAGAAAAGTACGCGGGGCCTGGACAGGACATGTCGCTGGTGGGGTCGAGAGTCACGCCAGAGTGGCAGCCGAGCGAAGGGGAACGTGCTCGTTGCGGGTTCATCGCTCCATCGCGAGACCGTGTAAGCTATATTCTTGGTTCTTTCGGTAAAGTCACGTAGAAGGGAAACAATAAAATAATAAAAAAATATATTCATAATAAAGGTTTTTGGGTTAGATCGCGTTTATTTATAAATGTGTCGTAACCCTCCACCACCCGACATGGCCAATCAGCAAAAAAAAGTGTCACGTTGACAAAAAGACAAAAAATTCACTACTTTAGCCCACCGGTGTGTTGAAGAGTGAATCCACATTTACAGTTTGAGTAGGACGTTTCGCTGGTAAATACATCCAGCATCATCGGGCAATTCGCCAGAATGGTAAAGCCCTCGCTTGCTCCCGGTTTTATATAGAGCAGCAGGGTGACGTCATCACTTAACTCATATCAGGTGCAGTGATTAGAGGCGGAGGGGGGGGTATTGTAATTATATAATCGATTTGTAATCAGTCATTGGTTATGATTAGTAATGAGTTGTAGATTAGTAATTCTTTAAATCAAAATGTAATGTGTATTATTTAATAATACGCTTCCAGGCCGCACTAAGCCTGTAGCTGTCAGAGCGAATAAAGTTATTCTTGTTCCTCTCAATTTCAATGGATTCTCTAATTAGTCTTTGCCAGTAATAATTAGTTTTACACACCACTGCAACATTGTCAAAATCAATTGAGTGTCCTTGTTGACAAGCATGTTCTGCCACTGCCGACAGTTGTGTTTGAGATAATTTAATATTTCTCTGATGTTCTTTTAGTCTTACGCTGATGTTACGTCCCGTCTGTCCAATGTAGCAGCTGCCACATAAACAATTAATCCGATATACACCTTCTTTTGATAATTTAGGTAATGCGTCTTTAGTGCAAGATACTAGTTTTTGAATTTTGTGTACTGTACCAAATCTTACTGTAATGTTTTGCTTTTGCAAAACACGGGCTAATTTGTCAGTTACTCCTGAGATATATGGATTTTTTATTGTTTTAACAATCTGGTCGCTTTCAGCAGTATTGCTTTGCGATCGTGATTTGGCATTCAGTGCTCTGTTAATTTGAGCATTATTGTAGCCATTCTGTTGTAGTGCGTCTTTAACGTGTTTGATCTCTCTCCCTAGACTCTCACCATCTGACACTGTTTTTGGTGAGAGTCTAGTGAGAGAGATTAAACACGTTAAAGACGCACTACGACAGAATGGCTACAATAATGCTCAAATTAACAGAGCACTGAATGCCAAATCACGATCGCAAAGCAATACTGCTGAAAGCGACCAGATTGTTAAAACAATAAAAAATCCATATATCTCAGGAGTAACTGACAAATTAGCCCGTGTTTTGCAAAAGCAAAACATTACAGTAAGATTTGGTACAGTACACAAAATTCAAAATTAGTATCTTGCACTAAAGACACATTACCTAAATTATCAACAGAAGGTGTATATCGGATTAATTGTTTATGTGACAGCTGCTACATTGGACAGACGGGACGTAACATCAGCGTAAGACTAAAAGAACATCAGAGAAATATTAAAATATCTCAAACACATCTGTCGGCAGTGGCAGAACATGCTTGTCAACAAGGACACTCAATTGATTTTGACAATGTTGCAGTGGTGTGTAAAACTAATTATTACTGGCAAAGACTAATTAGAGAATCCATTGAAATTGAGAGGAACAAGAATAACTTTATTCGCTCTGACAGCTACAGGCTTAGTGCGGCCTGGAAGCGTATTATTAAATAATACACATTACATTTTGAATTAAAGAATTACTAATCTACAACTCATTACTAATCATAACCAATGACTTATTACTAATCGATTATATAATTACAATACCCCCCCCTCCGCCTCTAATCACTGCACCTGATATGAGTTAAATGATGACGTCACCCTGCTGCTCTATATAAAACCGGGAGCAAGCGAGGGCTTTACCATTCTGGCGAATTGCCCGATGATGTTGGATGTATTTACCAGCGAAACGTCGTACTCAAACTGTAAATGTTGTGGATTCACTCTTCAACACACCGGTGGGCTAAAGTAGTGAATTATTTGTCTTTTTGTCAACGTGACACTTTTTTTTGCTGATTGGCCGTGTCGGGTGGTGGAGGGTTACGACACATTTATAAATAAACGCGATCTAACCCAAAAACCTTTATTATGAATAATATTGGTCGCGAAAGCCTACATGTTAAACTGAATAAAAATATAAACAATAAAATAATAAAAATAAGTGTAAGCTGGCGACGGCCTGCAGAGGCCTTCCACCAGCAGTGCATTGATCACGGCTAATGATGAGGGTGATAATATTGGCAACAATATTTTGTCGTGTGACGTTAATAGAAGAGATGCAAATGTACATTTTAAATCACTTATGGGGTACATGCTGGTTTTATAGACATCCATATTGCATATATTGGGCAGGATGATCAACGTTAATATCCTGACATTTCCAGTCAAGAGACAATATTTACAACAAATCCATAAATAATTTCCAAAAGGGCATTTCATTTCACATTACCGCTGCTATTTGACTCAAACTTCATGTTTAAACTACATCCAGACACCTTTTTCACATTCAATTGTATTATACATTGAAATGTAAAAGCCAACGTCGTGGCTTAATTTGGTTCCCCAAAGCAGCTTTGCTCTAAATATTTCCACTTTACACGATCTTTTCCTATCACAGTCTGAGCCAGTGGTGGTGCTGTCAAAAAGCAAACCCAAAGGTAAGTACGAGACATCTCTTTCATACGAAAAATGGGATACACTCTCCATTATTCGTCTGCATTAGAATTCCCCTGTGTAGGAGAAACCCTCTGTTGTAGTGACCTGCCGCCGGTCGTTGCTATGACGATGGAGTCTCCGGGCGCCCACGTGACCGCCACCTGCAGACGCAGCGTCGTGCTCCCTGCCTCCGCCGTCTCGGCCAGGCGCGTCCACGGCACCGGCACAGGACGACCTGCACTCCCCAACAAAGACAAAGATCCCCTGTATTGCCTTAACATACTGTTGGGGCGAGTGCTGTTAGCGAGCACCTGCGATGGCCGGCACGGTACACGAGGGAGTGGGTGGCCAACACCATGCCTGACTGCCTTTGTCTCCCCAGAGGGGATGTTTACACCCCACATCAGGTACTCATTTGAGGCTGAATCCACCTAAGGAAGGCCCAGGACGAATTCAGATAATTGTCACTGGTGTTGGCTGCAAGCGGGAATCGAACACGCTAACTGCTCCACTACCCCTTCGTGGGCCTTACCTGGTAAAATAAAAAAACAGTTTAGTTTACGAGCTGTCGTGGCAAGCGTCATTAGCGAGTGCCTTTTACGAGGGCCGGCCTACGCAAGTGGGGCTCCGGGGGATCGACACGGCTGTGCGTGTGCCCACCGTGCAGGTCGAGGACGCCGTGGCGCACCCCGAGGGTTTTCGCCCCGTACATGGGCAGCTCGGGCGAGCGGATGTGTCCGTGCAGGGTTATGATGGCCTTGTGCTGGAACGGGGCCTCCTCGGTGCCCACCTGTAAGGGCGGAGAAACCGACACAGGGCTGCTTCGCCGACCCGCACGTTCGCGAGCTTCTCAATTCATCTGATTCCTCCACTCTTGATCAAGATTCTGTTCGTTTGTCTTTTCTGTCTGACCGAGTACTGCAGTGCTCCGCTTCCTATGTTTTTAAAATATACCGTATCATGGTGTGTAATTTAACATTACTCAGCAATTTAGTCTGTGAGAACTCATTACTCTAACTTATGAATGACAGTCCCTTGTATGTGAAAAGCAAAACCGATGTGATACATTTGAGGAAAATAAACCTTAAAATAAATAATCCGTAAATATGACTCCTTCACATAGTTGTCGTACTACACAGAAAATAACAAATACACTTTTTACACATCCCATCGGTCATATTGCCTTTGTGGGAGTGCATTCATTGAACAAACAATCCATCTTTATTTTACGTGCGAATACCGCCCTCAGTACAGTGGACCTCAGTGCACATTACAGCGGAACGGGAACGGTACAGGAGGCTATGAGCAGCAAAAGGAACGGAAAAATAAACCCGTCACGACCTCAACGGCCGACACCGAGTAAAATGCAACCAAGCTCGTGGAACGGTTTAGAAATGCAGTGTTTCATCAGCAGAGTCAAGCTTGTTTCAACCAGTGCTGGTGAACTGCCACCTTGTTGGCAATGAGCTAGAAACGAGAGTGCATTTTGTGAACCTGTAAGGCCCCTCCATCTGTGATGAGAATGTTCTCAGCTTGCAGCTCCAGGTCCTTCTCCTCAAACACGAGACGCCCTCCTGCCATCAGAACCACACGCGTGGGGTACACAGCGTCATGGGCAGGGCATCGGTGTGTAATAGATACACAAACTGCACACATCAAATGTATACGTGCACAATGCATACTACGGTGGCATTTAGTCGATGTCTCCATGCTCAACTGAAAATGGGCAAGTATTCATCTCCACTGGCGCCGTGGTGGCGAGATGTTAACCCTCGCCTGGTATACAGGAGTACGTGGGTTCGATCCTGACCCTGACGCCTGTTCTATATTTGGAGTTTGCATCTTCTCCACGTGGTCACGTGGATTTTTTCTCTGGGTCCTCCGGTTTTTCCCTCCACATTTTGAAACATACGTTTAGAGTATTTGGCTGCTATAAATATCCACGTGATAAGCCACCTCGTTGAGCTATAATTTGTGGCCATGTCACTTTTGAAAAAGAGCTATGTAGCTCAGTGTGCTTTGTCTGGTAAAATAAAAAAATGTTTATAGTTTAGTTTTTGGTTGTAAACTTTGATGAAAATTCCACCTCGCTGTGGCAGGGGTCTGGATAATATATACACGTTGCTGTGGTGGGAATTCATATCTCATATGCATGTGACCAATTCACCGAGAATGCGCCCGATCTTGTCAAATGTCAGAAGCTAAGCAGGGTTGAGGTGCTTGGGTAGGTAACCAGGACACGCAAAAGACAAGCGTTGTGGGCACTAGTAGGCAGCGCCAACGAGATCCATTGTTCTTCGGCACCACCCCCCCACCTTCACTGACCAGCTCGGTGAGGTATGGTCAAACGTCAATCTCGTTAATGAAACTAAGAGCGAGTGGGAGATCACCGACAAGCTACATCGCTGTACAAGAAAGAATATGGGCTCAGACGCCGCCACCGCCACCCCCTCGTGAACACCTTGTACGTTGAACTTCTTTCGCACCATACGTAGCCAACCATGCGAATCGGAGGTGCGGGGGGAAGGAAAACAAACTAAACACAAAAAGCAGTTCTAAAGAAATAGGTGCTCAATCTAGATGATGTAAAAGTGCATAGCTCCAGTGGCTTCCTAATATCGGAAGGAAGAGCGTTCCAGATGGCCGCAGAAGCGCATCTGAAAGCGCGCGATGAAGTGACCGTCTTTGTTTGATGGCCAGCCAAAAGCCGCTGCTGTGAGGATGACCGGAGTTCACGTGATGGTTTACATCCTTTGACGAGATCAGCGAGGTGCCGTGGTTCATTTATGGCGAGCACTATTGCGTGTGTAATGAGCGCGACCTTATGCCGCTCACGCACCTTGTATGAGCAGCATCTTGAGCACGGGCGTACTCTGGTCGAGCAGCACCGTCTGGTTGGCCGTGATGACGGCGAAGGAGCCCTCCTCCGGCGGGGAGTCGCCGCCCCACGTGAACCGCGACGACCAAACGTCCACATAGAGGAACTCCGCCGGGCCCTCCTGCGCACGGCACGCGGACGTGGTCGGGGCGAGAACCCATCGGGGACTGCCGCTAAACCGGGGCGCGTTTTGCTGAGTCGGCCGAGGTCTGTTAAACAATGCTGCGCTGCAGACTATCGTCGTAAAAAGTATAACGCGGCAATACCGGTGCCGGATCTCTCGTCACCAATCAAATCCTGCCAACCAAACAACGGATGGACGTATTGGCGGTCCACCGGTGCAGTATAACACACCGGTCCTCGTAAAAAAGAGTCTAAAATCTCAATTTGAAGTGACATTCATCTTCCCACTGCTTCGACATCAAGGGAACTGATTTTGACGCACCACCACCACCACCTCGCAAGATTTTCTGCCCGGGAAAATAAACATAGCAAAAAATGTTGCCTATTTTTTATTATATACCACGCACCACTGGTGTACCGCCAATACGTTCAGATGCCAATTCCTGCCCGGGTCAAACCTGATCAGGTGGTGACCCTAGCCGCCACTCTTAAGGTTGTAATGCTATCTGGGCACGATAGCACATTGATATATTCGTTTAATGCAGATGCTCTAAACGGTTGCTTTGAAATACGTACAGGCTGCGCATTGGGAATAGCGAGTGTAAAGGCTCTGAATGTTGTCAATACTGCACACCACCGGACACTCACAACCCAGTGCCGTTTTTCATTCAAGATTGAATGGGATGATGTTATAATCTGGTAGAGGTCACCCCACAACCAGCGTTTATTCACTCGTGAAATTTCTTAATGAGTCCATTTCAACTATAATTCAATTTTTTCAAAAGAGACCCGGGATAGAAAAAAAACATTTGAACAAAATAACGTAAAGAATGAAATATTTTTCCAGAAGGGTTCACAAGTGCAGGGCAGGAGAACGGTGTAAAGCAATACACACACATACTAAGAAGCGGTGCTTATTTCAAAATGGTATGGGTTACAACCGACAATGTGGTATATCAGAATATTTATTCATACTGGAGGAATCCGATGAGCTAAAAAAGCTCTTTTTCACAGATGTCCAGTAGGGGTGGGTATATTGTAGCCTAATAGGCAAATACCAAAGCGCTAAAGCAGCACATTATCCACAATGAAACATACAAAACTTTCTGCATCGAGCGCACCCTGCCTCATTAACGTGATGTTCACCTCCATACCCTTGATGGTGTTCGCGTTGTGTTCACCGAATGCGGCTCGCGGCATTTGGCGTTTTGAGATTCGAACGCGTGTGAACGACGCCACGTGTCGCAACGCCGTCGCCATTGTCACCTCGAACATTCACAGTACTCACAGGCAGGGCATCTCCGGAGCTGCTGTGCACGCGCACGGTCGCCAGCTGGGAGGGCGAGTGTGCCTCTGTCATGCACACGACCTCCGAGTCGGAGACGGACCGCACGATGCACGCGGTGCCACCGACACTCACGCCGATCTCTCCGCCCGCACTGTGTGACACAAAAGACAAACGTCGCCAATATTTCCTGAACAGACCGTCGGGGACAGCAGATGTGCCGGTAGCTTGGGGGGCCCTTTATCTCTCTCGGTGAATTGATCATAGATGGTGATGATATTATGAGGCCTCTGAGTTCTCAACGGAACAATGTGTTGGATTCGTTACGTACGCGCGTTTTAAAGCGTGTTCATTGTTAGCAGTGCAGAGGTTAACGCGCTGCACTGATGAACCCAGCGACGTGAATTCCCAGCCCCGACGAACGTCAGTGGCGAGCGATATCTGAAGAGATCCTCCTGCGTGCCCCCCTCACTAACCCACCACTCACCAGCACGGTGAACTATGGTCAAACGACCTCTACGATTGACTTGGATGCGGTGCGGGAGAGGGGGGCGCTATCATCCAGCAGTGGATTGATAAAGGCCTGAATTCAATTATGATTATTTAAAAAACACACACGGCACATTCGGCGATAACTCTGCAGAATTCGAAGGGAACATTTAAAATCGGTGATTTGTTGGGCAATGTCCTTCTTCTTTGTAGTACAGAGAGAGAGAGGCTACAGAGACAGTGGAGAGCACTCGGGGACTTCACTTCACACCATGGTGGTGGGGCAGGGGGGGCGCCTGATGAGGATAATATAAAAAAATATAGTTTATCATGAGCAGTTACTAAATAGGCATAACAATAGTTACCTAACAGTAGCGTTTGAGTAGCAGACACATTCTAAAAGACGTAAGATTTAATAATAATAATTGTTATTACGACATTGTGATGAAACGAGTACTGTACTGTGGCCACATGCCACGTTCAGTTGGTGTGTTTTTTAAGGGACTAAGCACCATTCACGCTGGCATGGTGTGTGGCTCTCCATGGATCTGTCTTTGTATCTCGTTGCATCTGTTCGTGTGTCTCTGTGTTTCTATTTGTGTCTATCTGCATTTTTCTTTCTCCAGGTTTCTTTGCATATGTCTCTGGGTGTGTGACTCCTTCCATGTCTCCCTCTATATCCTGTCTGCCTACACCTTCACTCCTCTCCAACAGATACAATATGCCTTAGCCCGGATAATTTTTTCACATTCCCCACAATTTTGATTTGAAGCTTTAGTGACTGCAGGAATCCGTACTCTTTGGTTCTTTCGGTAAAGTCACGTAGGCAGAAATAATTTGATGGATGGGTGTATGGAATTGATGTGGTTGAGAAATTGGTTCAATGCTGGCAGGCCATGTGGCCAAATGACTACGTATCTCTTCCACAAGGAAGGACGTAGGGTGGATGTCGGGATGGCATCTGTTTCAAATTTCTCCATGAAAACATTCGCATCACTGGTGATAAGGGGGAACCCATGGGGTACCTTCATTTTGTTTGTAGAATATACCATTCCAGGTGAAGTAAGTGTTGGTAAGGCAGTGCCTAACCAAAGTTGGTAACAAATGTGTGTAAACCCTCCCCGTAGAGGTGGTTCAATCTTGATTTGAAGCTTTCGTGACTGCAGGAATCAATTCCCCACAATTCCCACACTTGCTCTACTGTCCCAACTCCACTGGCACTATCGCTGTCTGTTTAAACATCTCACTCTAGTCTATAAAGCCCTCCATGGTCTTGCCCCATCCCATCCTCTACACTCCCAGTCTCTACTGTCCCTCTCCGTGCCTCGTCCCGTCATGCTCTCGGTCCTCTTCCCTCCTTGCTCCCCTTCACTGCCGCAAACTCCCACATAAAGCAATCATCTTCACTCTAACCAGATTCCGTTCCTCCCATAAAACAACCTCCATCTCTTCTCATTTAACCCATCATGCTACTGCTACTCCCTGTCTCCGCACCCTAGGTATGACCAGGCCGACCCCAACCCTTGTCACTACCCCTACACCTATCACTACCCCTACCCCTATCACTAGACCTTTCCCTACCACTACCCCAACCCATATCACTACCCTTACCCCAACCCCTTCTTAACCACTCCTACTTATCCTCCTAACTACCACCATAACTACGCCACCACTTTTAATGACCCCGCTCCTTATTGCAACCACCATAATCTAATGCACAATTTCATGATCATTGTAAAGCGCCTTGGACAGAAGGCGCTATATATATCAGTATAAGATCAGACATCCGTCTCTGTTTGTCGTCGTCCAGCAGCTGCCCAGGCAGTAGCAAACGGCGTTCGAGGGGTGAGAGCAAGGGCAGCAGGGGGCTACCTGAAGCGGGCGCCCGCAATGGTGAGCCTCGTGCCGCCTGCAGTGCCACCCCGTGCCGGGCTCACCCCCGATATCACGGGGGTCAATCGGCGCCGGTAGCTGAAGGCGCCCGGCAGCTCGACTCCATCGGCTCCGGTCTCCACGCGTACGGCGCACGACTCCTCCGCGTCTGTGCCTGGCCAACAACAACAACAACCGCTGTTCGCCAACAAGTGGCGGTGACGTCACAACGGTGCTTGTGCCATGCTAGGTGCAACTTTGAGATCGCGTCAAGTGTCGAAGGCCCGCTGGCAGGAGATCACGGAATAGAGACCCGAGTACCATGGGTGGACTGACTGAGATGCACCAGCCAGCCACATGAGAGGGACTCCATTTATTTTATTTTCTATCTGGGCAGTGGTGGCTGTGCATGCTGTAATCGAGCACTGTGGAGGCAGTGAGGGTTGGTGGTCATCAAGGAGCCGTACCCTGACTCCCCAGGAGAATATGGCGCAGCAAAAAATGTGGCCTCCACCTGTTCTGTTTGCACGGAATAGATATTGTTTTCCCCTCACGCGCGTGTGTTTTCTCTAGGAGCTCCAGTTTCCTCCCACATGTAAACACTCATGAATTGGCCAATAACACCTGAATATAACATGACAGTTGCATTTAACGCAAGGGGCTATTCCGTCGCTCGAGTGAACACGAGACACCTCCGCGGTTCCAGCTATGTGCGGTGGTGGGTGCACCCTGCGTGGCGGTGGCGGTGGCGGTGGTGCCTACGGGTTCTGGTCACTGCGTGTGCGGCGGTGGGTGCACCCTGCGTGGGCGGTGGCGGTGGGTGGGTTCTGGTCACTGCGTGCGCGGTGACCGTCGCCATCCGGCCCTCTCCGCGCGCCCGCTACCGTTGTTGGGCGGGACGAGACAGTAGAGGCTGGTGCTGGTGCTGACGTCACGCTGCACCGGGCACTCCCGGCCGCACACCAGCACGCGCGACTTCGCCGGGTCATAGCCCGAGCCACTCACGTTCATCTTCTGCTGTCCCCCGAAGCTGCCTGGCACAGTTGAGTGGATTGCGGTGGGAGAGCACGGGAGCACACCGAGACACCACTCAGCCTCACGTAGACGTGAAATGAAAAACCGACCTGGCCCATGGGAGGCAGTTCCATCCCTCCCCCCAATATCATCAGCAGACAATAGCTGCGTCTCGTGTATTTCCCGCCATGGTGGTGAGATGTGAATTACCTTGCCTGGTGTACAGGATGTCGTGGGTTCGATCCCGACCCCGATGCCTGTTGTATATTTGGAGTTTGTATGTTCTCCCCATAGTCACGTGGATTTTTCTCCAGGTTCTACGACCCATTTAGAATCAACGTGTGTTTAGAGTATTTGGTTGCTGCTATAAGTTTCCACATGATAAACCACTTCGCTGGGCTATAATTTGTGGCCAGGTTGCTTCTGAAAAAAAAGCTACATAGCTCAGTGAGCCTTGTCTGGTAAAATAAAAATAAAAGTTTTGTTTAATAGTTAAATAGTGTGACAGCTTCACATGAACTCTCATCGTATCCCTGCAACCAGCAATTCACTTAGTTGAGTCAGCTACTTCAGTTAAGGCTCATCTTGAACATCTCAAAGTGGGATAATCACCCAGCACTGATCATCTACGTAAAAAAATAAAACATTCTACAATTGAACTTCATATATGTGGGTTTTCTCTCCAACACACCGGTGTGCTAAACTAGCCACTAATTGGCACGTTTTGTTTACCTGATAAACCAGCTGTGGTGGGTGGTGGCGGGTTTAACGACACATTTATATTTACGTGATCTCACCTAAAAAACTTCTACTACGGCTGAGTGGTGTTTGCACCTGACAATTGGCATATTGCTAGTTAAGTTCCTGTGTAGGGGTTGACCAACCCATCGTCACTCCAGGATTGATACGTTTGGTACCACTTTGTTTGAGGTCAACAGTTGTTCCGAGATATGAAAATACTGGTCTCTCCCATAGACATTTGTAAATGTCACCACTGCATTATAGGTGGCAACTCCCCGTGTAACTTGAGCAGAGAGATACTTGGGACTTGTTGAGATAGCTAGGGTGAGACGTGACGGAGACCGGACGAGTAATTTCAGCAGAGCAAAAGTCAGAAAGGTGGCATTAGATCATTCTGTAACAAATCAGAATTAAATTTAATTGCCGTCATTATTATTATTATTTCTACAGCAACGAAATAACAACGCGGGCCCCCGCATATTTGGCGGCGCAAGGAACACGCGCGGCGTGCGGGGGTGGGTGGGTGGTGGTGTGCCTCTTGGCGGCCCGGCGTACCTTCGCTTGGCGACACATCCGTCAGGAATTGCTGGTAGTGGAAGGTGGCGCTGCTGCTCGCCACGCCGTTGGGCGAGCGCTGCAGGAAGACGCCGTAGGTCCCGCCGGGGTGCTCGCCCGCTCGGCACGTCACCCGGGACGGGGCGACAGTCTCCAGCGCGCAGGCGGCGCTGCCGATTAGCACAGTTACGGTCCCCGCGTCCGAGCCGAACCCAGCGCCGGCGATGGTCACCAGCCGGCCGGCCGTTCCTTGTTGAGAAAAATGCAGTCAAGCTCCGAGCCAGATCCACGCCAGCATTGCCAACATCGTCAATTGGAGCGAGCCGACGCCGTGCGCGATCGGTCGCCATTGAGTTAAGGTGGCTGAATAACCTAGCGGCGACCACCCTTGTCATCGAGTCCGTCACACGGTGTACAAGGTCAAATGCCTGTAACTGTCCGGGAGTGGCAAAGAGCATTAATCTTCTACACCGACTGCTGCTGCTAGGTCGGCATGATTACGGAGTATTATCATAGTAAACAAGTCAGTGCTGCTACAGGTACAGGCCGTTTGTCAATCCACTGCTGGACGAGGGCCTCCCCATGCCGTGTAGGCCCTGGGGGTTATTCGACCATACTTCACAACTTAAGGGAAGTCAGGTGGAATCTGTGCTTCCTTTAATAAAACCAAATGGTCCCTATCCACTGTCCGCTGTAACTTCCTGCGCTCTCTCTCGAAAAGCACATTGCAATCATCCTTTATGACAATTACTGAGTGCTTCAGAGCAATTATTTACTGCCTCATGAGATGAATTAGCATCTCACGACTGCTTAACAGTATCCTTAGTACAGATTCACCCCTGTCATAGGAATGTGTTATTTCCACCAAAGGCTCAGGGCTGTAAATGGGAGATGGGCATCAACGCCTCAATGCTCATTTGAGCAGGAAACAACTCTGACAACGGCGAGCCAGCGTGACGAACACACCGGTGGCTGGGGCGATGGACGTGATGACAGGCGTGTTGGCAGCCGAGTAGTTGAACTTCAGCATGGGGAAGGGAACTCCCGCAGCCCGCACCACCACACGGGCCAGGCCGGCCGCCCGTGCTGGCGTTCGGCACGTGACGCGCTCGGGGGTCGATGTCAGAATCTCACAGGGGGCGCCACCTATGGACACCGTGGTGTTCCCCGGAGCGAACCCGTTCCCCACGAGGTTCAGCGCGGTGCCCCCGTTCACGCTGCCCGACGTGGGAGACAGGGCGGCCGCAGGCAAGCTGTGGACCGTCACCGTGCTCCGTGCCCTGCCGCGGCTCCACACCTGCACGTCCACGGGGTGGGATCCGGCCCGCACGGAGCCCGACTGGCACACGATCTGCGTGTCCGTGACATTCACGGGAACGCAGTCGCCGCCGCCGTCGCCGCCGCCGCCGCCGCCGCCGATAAAGACGCGGATGGCGCTCGGGTCGGCGCCGAACCGACTTCCGTCGAGCGTCAGGAGCGTGCGCGCGGCCGTCACCTCCGCGGGAGACACGGCGCTCAGCGTGGGGGTGGCCTCGGCCGAGTAGCTGAAGTTGCATCTTCCTCTGCAGGCGGCCGGCCACCCGCGCACCGTCAGGCCGACCTCGACCGCGAGCTCGACGGACGAGGGTGCCGTGTCGCACTCCACGCGGGTGTAGTTGACGGACACCACCGCGCAGGGCCGCCCACCCACCAGCACCAGTGCGTCGCCCGGCGTCGCGCCGAAGCCGGAGCCCTCGAGGGTGAGGCGCGTGCGGCCCGCCAGCGAGCCGGCGCCGGGACTCACGGAGAGCAGCAGGGGCAGCAGCGCGAAGCGGCGGCTCATCTCGGTGCGCGTCTTGACGACGGCGGCGCCCAGGTTGTTTACGATGAGGGAGAGCGGTAGGGCGGTCCCCACATTCATGGTGTCGCGAGGGTTCAATCGACACAGGATTTCGTTGTCGGAGCTCTTGTCCACCTCGCACGGGAACCCACCCACCGTGACCTGTGTGGCAGAAAGTAACGCCGGCGGCTCACGCTCATGCCACACCGATGGCCACGCAAAACATTTTTTTTTTACTTGATTTGAAGCTTTCGTGACTGCAGGAATTACTCTTTGGTTCTTTCGGTAAAGTCACGTAGAAAGAAAATAAATTAAATAATAGAATACGACGTTTTGATTGCAACACAAACAATCGTCATCAGGTAGAACTAAATTTGAGAGAGAAACAAAACACAACACAGAGACACACAACATAGACACGTGTGTCTCTGTCTCTGTGTCTCTGTGTTGTCTCTCTCTGCTTGTGTGTCTGTCTGTTTGTCTCCGTGTCTGTGTTTTGTCTCTCTCTCAAATGTAGTTCTACCTGATGATGGTTGCTTGTGTTGCAATCGAAACGTGGTATTCTATTATTTAATTTACTTTCTTTTGACGTGACTTTACCGAAAGAACCAAAGAGAAACTAATTTTATTTTACCAGGTAAGGCCCACTGACCTATACTGTATAGCTCCTTTTCAGAAGCGACCTGGCCACAAATGATAGCCCAATGAAGTGGCTTATCACATTGGAATTTATCGCAGCCATATTTTCTAAACGCATGTTTCTAAATGTGGAAGGAAACACCGGAGGACCCAGAAAAAATCCACGTGACCACGGGGTGTGAGACATGCAAACTCCAAATATACAGTCGTCAGGGTCAGTATTTAACCTACGATCGCACGTACTGTATACTAGGCGAGGTAGTTAACATATTGCCACCGGAGCACCCCTACAGCGTGGCCCACATCGCCATGGGTTTGCAGCAATAACGGATCGCTCAAATCCAAAACAACCGGGCGGAGTTGTGTCAGACAAAAATTTAAACAGAGCAGAGATAGTCACTGGTTGAGGCAGTGGCTATCTCTAAACCGCCGGCCCTGCACACACCTGTCGTTGACTTCACTGGCCAGGGACCACCTCCAACAAAGAAAGTTTGGTGTCGTTGATGTAGATAGGAATTTAATTGCATTTAATATAAAACAAAAAATACACTCACACTTCAAATTTCATTAGAACTGGCCGAGGATTCCAGAGATACGTTTCATCAGTGGGTGCGGGTATTGAGGCGCTTAAAAATTCCCGCACTGGAGTGAATTCAGTTAATCATCCCTCCAGGGCCGGCAAAAAATTTATACCACTTGAGGGGTAGTCAAAATTGGTTATGAAATGGAGAGACTGGCCCCTCTGCCATGGGAACGGGTATTTTCCAGCGCCGGCTTATGGCCACCACCGGAGGAGACGAACATGATGACGGAGCTCGCTCGCGACACGGATACGCTTTGCCTCGACTTTATCGTCGACGCTTCTCGACGCGGGGGAGCGGATTACCTCATTGGCACAGGGCACGGCTGCAAATCCGGTGCCCACGATGCGGAGCTGCGTGTCGATGGTCCCCGACTGGGGGGAAATGTCGGTGACGCTCGGGGAAAAGCACTCGTCGTAGCTGAAGGAGAAGCCGGCGAGGGACGAGTCGGGCTCCAGGGAATTGGCGCCGCAGTCACCGCCGGCTTTGCTCGTGACCGCGCAGGGGGACGGCGCCTCTCTCCGGGACACACGGGAGGCCGACGCTGAGGACAAAATGCACGCCCGCACGCTTGCACGACAACGAGCGAGCCTACAGCTTTTCACAGCACCACAGTGGTTCCGACGAATCTACCCGAACATAAATACGCTCGCAGATGACAAGCGTGTCGTGGAACTGTCATTTGTAATGCGCAGCCATGCCAAAGTCTCCTCACCTCCACCATGAAGCTGGAGCTCGGCGATCCCACAATCCCATGATCCCGCAATCTCAAGCATCCAGTTCTAACTCCATTCCGTACAACCAGTGTGAAAACCCAACTGAGCACAGGTCGTGCAGCGCGGCTAAGACAGCATGTGGTCCTCATGTGGTGACACAGTTTGACTGTCATGCAGCAGAGGGCATATGCCGGACTTGTCTAGGTCACGTCCCTGTGTCACCGCCGGCCACGCAGGGGGTGACCGGAATCATTGAGGACCGTCTTCTTAGTCACGGCTTAGTCCTGGTTCAAGTGAGCCAGCACACAGCCACAGTTAACTTCACCCCCCCCCGGCTCTGAGCCACTGTCCGAGCCACACTCCGGATCTCCACGAGCTGAGCCGGAGCCAAACTGCGAGCGAGAGAACGTGCCCCCCCCCCCCCCCCAAGCGCGCGCGACGACGAGCCGAGCCACGCGAGGCCAAGCGGGCGCTGACCTGGCCGGCTCTGGGCGGGGATCCCGGCCAGCGAGAGGGCCAGCACCCCGGTGCGGGCAGGCGCGCGCCGCACGCTCACCGCCCCGCGCAGCTCCAGCTGCTTGGAATTCACGGCGCCGCTCGTGTAGAAGTAGCGGCCCTCGCGCGAGAACGTGTACGAGAAGGAGCCTGCGTGCCGGCAATGCACGTGCACACACACACACACGCGCTCAGGCAAAGATCCCCCATATAGGCTTAATAGACTGTTGGGGCAAGTGCTGTTCGAGAGCACCTATGAAGGCCGGCAAGGCACGCGAGGGGTTGGGTGGCCAACACTCCCCAGTTGTAATGTTTATACACCACGCCAGGTACTCATTTGAGGTTGAGTCGACCTCGGGGAGGCCCAGGACCGATTCAGATAATCGTCAATGGTGTTAGCCATGAGCGGGAATTGAACTCGGGCCGTTGGGTTCAAAGCGCAGCGTGCTAACCGCACACACACGCACGCACGCACACACACATGCACACACCCTCACGCCATTCCATACACCACCACTACCACATCCAGAACAAAACCTCAATGCCATAACGCTCTCCGACTGCTCATGTAAGCGATAAGCTGTGTTGAGAAAAAACGGGTGCATGTAATTGATTCTTGATTCAGTGACTGGAGATTTTACAAAAATATCGACACGCGGTACAGTGATGGAAACTGCATCACTTATTGAAATACGCTTAGTCATGCTTAAGCTGTATTTTAAATTAATTATATTCCTATAAAAAATATATTTTTGTGTAATGTGTCCTACTTTTGCTTTGTACCACGACTCAGCATGGAACATTCCACCCCACTCAATTAACGCAATGATGTCAAATCGGCCAACATGTCAAGCTACGTATTCAAATTACATGCAGCCGAGAAACTAACGTGACATCCACAATCACAGCTGATCACGGATTCCCATTCATCAGCACGAACATTTTTTCTGATTCAGCGCCCTTCTATGTTAGCATCTCAGAGCATATACATTGCATCTTATCTCAAATATTTCAAAGGGCACACCCAGTAGCAGCTGCATCCGTGGGCACAAGGCGACTGAAAACGGGCATTTAGTCTGCCAGTAGGGGGTAATGCGCGCTGTGTGTAAACCCAATAATAGTAATTCATGCCCAACAAGTGTGGGTCTAGATCTGCTCACGAGGAACAGTGCATCAGGTGGCAGGAAACTCTGGGCCAATTTAAGAGGTGTATTATCAAAAAAGCCTAGAGCGTTATAATAGAGGACCCAGCATTATTTGATTTGATATTTTCATGCACTACGGATGTGCATTACTCATTGAGGCATGCCTTTTACCACATTTATAATTTTGATTGTGTGAAATCTACAAAGTCGTTGCTTGACGTGTGTGCATTCAGACTCAGAGTGCAATATGAAATCAATTTTGATTTTAAATGGAAAGAATCTAACTCGTGCACACGGTGCGGAGGATCTCTTTGCCGAATGTTTTTGGGCGGCCACGTGAACAGCAGGGAAGCGTCATCGTCGAGTTTCCGCCGGGATGATATTTTAAGGCGGCATCACAATGGCAGGAAAGCGGGAGGGGCGGTGGGAGCGGCGGGTTACCCGCCGGGGACGCCGCGACGGGGCTCGCGAAGGTCCCATCGGGCTGCGAGGTCGAGGCGTTGGCCACGCTGTAGACGCGGTAGCCGGCGGCCTGCAGGAACGGCGGCGAGGACCATCGCCACACCACCGTGTCCCCCACAAACACGTCCAGCACGGGGGCGCTCCACTCGTAGCCCTCGCCCAGGCCTGGGGCCCACATGGCAACAACACACAGCATGCGTGCGCAACTCAAAGTCCACTCGACAAAGACAGCCGTGCGCAGCTGAGTGAGCTATGGACAGCTCAGTGAGCTATGAACAACTTAGTGAGCTATGGACAGCTGAGTGAGCTATGAACAACTTAGTGAGATATGCACAGCTCAGTGAGCCGCGGTGGAATGCCGCTGCCTACTTCAATCGCTCGCAGGCAACGTTGCACATATTTACCACGAGGCTGCTCATGCAGCCGTCCACTTGTCACCAACCTCGATGAGACAACACGGTCACTGCTGATCGACTCCCCACCCATCGTAGAAAAGAATAAGAGGGCGACGCAGCCCCATGAGCATCATTCCTGCTCATCCCCTTGCATGGACCACTGGCTCAAGGCTGTAAACAGATGAGCACGACCTCAATGCTCTCTCAATTGAGCAGGAATCTAATCTGATTCATCGACTATGCTCGGCTTCCGTGTCACCTAGTTGGAATTTGTGTTGGTGGTGGTGGTGGTGGTAATGGCAATGGGGCATCTCTCTTCTCAGTGTACTGGGAAAGGTTCTGGCAAGGATTATTCAACATCACCTTGTCAGGTATGCTGAGGAGTGCCTTGTGGAGACCTAATGTGGTTTCAGAACAGGGCGGTCCTGCGTGGATGCCATATTCTCTGTCTGCTACAGCAGAAGTGTATGGAGTTCTAGCAAGACCTACATCTCTGCTTTATTTACCTGGTCAAGGTCTATGATACCATCAACAGGCCAGGGCTGTGGGCATTTCTTCATACTTTCAGAGTCCCTGACTCTCTGCCAACAATCATTAAGGACCTTCACGATGGTGGGCAGCCACGGGTAAAGCTACGTGGTCAATAGTATAGTCAGAGCCATTCCCTGTTCACCTTGGGGCGTGGTAGGGATGTTCTCTGGCTCCCACATTATTTAGATCATCTTTGACCACGTAGTTTGAGAAGCTTTCCATGGCTGTATCGGAGAAATTTCCATATGGTACAGATACAATGGGAGACTGATCGATGTCTGGGTGCGGTCAAGGGATGGCTCCCTATTGGTCAACCATGTTTTGTATGCTGATGAACTGGTGATTGCTGCTCACTCAGAGGAGGAGTTGGAGGCGATGCTGCTGAACCTGGAGTGTGCCACTAAGAGGTGGGGCCTTACCATCAGTCCCACCGAAACGAAGCACCTGCCTGGGTATTTTGTGCCATCAAACACTCCACCCCCTCAGATCCCCATTGGTGATGGAGCAGTTGTGGAGAGAGTTTCCCATACCTGGGCAGTGTGCTTATGACCAGCTCCAGTTTGACAGCAGAGGTTTTACTCCAAATACATCGGGCGGCAATATCTTTTCATCGGCTGCATAATTCTGCGTGGAAGCTACTCGGTCTGTCGCTCCGCACGAAGCTTAGGGTCTTCTCGGCCACAGTCATGCCCTCCCTTCTCTACGCTTGTGAAACGTGGACCCCTTTCGTGGAACATCTGCACTGGTTAGAAACACTTAGGCTGGCCTACCTATTATCCATCCTGGGTTTAACCAGGCTGTATTGTGTGAGGAGCTCACAAATCCTTGAAAGATCTGTACACATTCCCATCAGTGAGCTCCTTTTGGCAGGCAAGGCTGCGTTGGCTGGGTCATGTAGCCCGTATGCCAAGCCACTGCATGCCCGAGCAGCTTCTGTTTGGCCGCATAGAGGGGGCTAAATAGGCACGACATGTGCTGGAGAAGAGACAGACTGATGCATTATGGGAGGATGTGGAGCTGAGTTAACTTTCAGAAGACTGGTTCCAGCGGTGTCAAGATCAGCCTTTGTGGAGGAGACTCGTGAAGGATGCTACTGAGCAGTTGGAGGCAGTCACCCTCCAAAAACAACTGAGGGCAGATAACCGACACTCGCAACAATGAGAGGAGTGCCGGGAGGCTAAGATGCAGCAAGTTGGCACAGTAGGGGGTAGAGCTGGTCCATCAGCCAGTCATCTCAGTCAGCCAACCCATGGCACCTGGGTCTGTCAAGTGACCTCCTGTCAGCGAGCCTTCGACACTTCACGTGGCCTCAAGGTACACCTGGCCTGGCACACGCGCCGTGGTGACGTCACCGTCACTTAGTGGCGAATGGCGGGTATTGGTATTGGGGGCAATGGTGATGGTGGTGGCGGTGGGGATGCTAGTGGTGCTATCCACTGTGGTGGCTGCCCTGGTTGGTCACGGTGTGGGTGGTGGTGGTGATGGTGATGGTGGTGTGGGTGGTGGCAGTGGTGGTGCAACGCACTACGGTGGATGCCCCGGTTGGTGACCGTGTGGGTGGTGGTGGTGGTGACAGTGTGGGTGGTGGTGCTGGTGGTGGTGGTGATGTGGGTGGTGGCAGTGGTGGTGCAACGCACTGCGGTGGATGCCCCGGTTGGTGACCGTGTGGGTGGTGGCGGTGCCCAGGGAGAGGCACTCGAGTCGACTCCACGACGAGCTGAGCACCACGCACGGCACGCCACCTGGCACAGCCGGGCCGGGCACGGAGGGGAGCACCGCCGATTGGTTAGTATCGGTGTCCTAGTCTGCATCTGTCTTAGAATCACCCACAGCATAATAAACATTACACCGCTGCGGTGAACTGTCAGATAAAAACGCTGCACGCTGTTCACGAATGCCATTTGTGATTAACATCGACGAAAAAACATGAACTAATCACCACTGCAAATTCAAAATAAAAGCACGTTTGGGAGTAACATGAACTAAACTAAAAACTAACCTATTTTTATTTTACCAAGTAAGCCCCACTGAGCTATATAGCTCTTTTTTAGAAGCGACCTGGCCACAAATGATAGTCCAATGAAGTGGCTCATCACGTGGAAATGGAAAGCAGCCAAATACTCTAAACGCGTGGTGATGTTGATTCTTAACGTGAAGGAAAGAACCGGAGGTCCCGGAGAAAAAATTAGCGCGACCACGGGGAGAGAGACACGCAAACTCGAAATATACGGCAGGCGTTGAGATCGAACCCACAACCTCCTGTATACCAGGCGAGGAAGTTAACATCTCACCACCATGGCACCATGGACAACAGCACAGAGTGTTTGACAGCACTGCATTGTGTTGAACTTTATTGTAATATTACTGCAAATAAAAGGGCATTTAATAAAGCCCAGAAACCCTTTTGCGACAATTCTCAATTGGAATTATACATCGTAACCATGACCCCCCGACTTCAGAGACTTGGCAGAACCCTCCTGAGAAAGAGTCATGAGGCATAGTCAGGCTCTCCTGATTAACCAGTGGAATAGCGATAAACAACAATAATAACATAAACTCACATGATAATTAAAACATTGCTTTCCCAATTGTAATTATATAAACGACATTGTTATACTCTTGGAAAATCGGTGCACTGTCACCAGCATGTGGCTCAAGAGAGAGGTTCCTGGCCTCTCATGTTTATCATTTGAACTCTTGTCGCCCAAAAAAAACAATTCAGGTTGCATTTGAGTGTTTAGCCAATCCTGCTCTCCTCACATTTTGCATGTGGGAAGAAGCACCTTTGAAGTTTATTTAGTTCAACCAGGTGAGAACCCGAGAGAGAGAGAGAGAGTCTTGTGCGCGCGGGAGTGTGCGGTCAGCTGAAGTGCCGTCCGTGCGTCTGCAGCGCCGCTGCCGAGAAGCAGGAGGCGCGCTTGCCGCGCGTTACCGATGGTCACGTTGTTGCTTGTCGCGTTGGAGCTGAAGCCGTCGCCCGTGATGGTCACGCGCGTGCCGCCGTAGAGTGAGCCACCCCGTGGCTGCACGTCCGTGACCCTCAGCACAAACTCCACGGTGGATTTCACGCCAGGGCTGAGGGGGGACAATGCCCAACCCCGTCGTCAAACGTTCAGCCCCGTCTCCGAACGCTCGGCCCCGTCACCGAACGTTCGGCCCCGTCATCAACACGTTTTTTTTTTACTGTTTATTTTTTTTACCAGATAATGCCCATTAAGCTATGTCGCTCTTTTTGCAGAAGCGACCTGGCCACAAATGATAGCTCAACGAAGTGGCTTATCACGTGGAAATTTACAGCAGCCAAATAATTGAAACGCGTGGTGATGTTGATTCTAAATGTGGAGGGAAGAACCGGAGGAGCCGGAGGAAAAAACCACGCGACCACGGGGAGAACACGGGGCATTCTGTCTACACGGGGCATTCTGTCTACAGGAAACCCACCCACACAGATTCCTACTTGAAACCTGATTCCCACCACCACCCAGCCCAAAAGAATTATCTCATCAAAACTTTATACCATAGGGCTCATTGCATTTCGGACCAACACCACCTGACCAGTGAATTAAAACATGTACACCTGGCCCTCAAAAGGAATGGTTACTCTGACCGTACCATCCGCCAAGCTGTCTCTCCATCCATACAGAAACAACCACTTGATACTCCGGTCAAAACCATCACAACTTCCATATATAGCAGGCGCTACTAAAATATTTCCAAAATTCTAAACAAACACAAGATCCAGGTCCGGTTCAATACAGTACACAAAATTCGTGATCTGATCCCATCCGTGAAGGATGCCATTCCTGATTTACAGTACCCCGGGGTTTACGAATTGAGTTGTACTTGCGGTGATTGCTACATCGGTGAGACGAAGCGACATGTCTCTGACCGAATTCGCGAGTACAAATCAGATTTGAAACACGGCAAAACGAATTCTTCTGCCGTGGCTGATCACTGTTACAACGCTGTGGGGGATCACGATATAATTTTCTCCGATACCAAGGTTCTTTGCAAACCCACGGGCTTTTATCAGAGATATGTTCATGAAGCAATTCAGATCTACAAACACAGACACAATTTCAACCGAGAGGATGGTTTCAAATTAAGCAACCATTGGAAAGATGTTCTAAATCGAACTAAACATTAAACTAATTTCAATGGTACAGTATATTTTTCAAGTAGTGGTACCCCAAACTTTCGCAGCTCTTATAAATTCCCCCTTTTCACACCATCAATAGGTAAACTCCCCCCTCCCCCCTTTCCCCCCCCCCCCGCGCCAAACTGCGAGTCCACCGGCACGTACACCACCTCTTTCCTAAAATCCGCCAATCAAATGCTAATTTTTATGCTAATTTTTTTGTCAGCACACCTTGTTTGCTCGCACACAGGTCCGATGTCTGAGCGTGGTTGTGTTTCGCTAAATTCTCCTGTTTGATGAGTACTAGGTGCCTCGGTGAATGTATATGCTCTAACTTTAACATAGCTATTTCTGTGACCAGTTACAAGCTAATCACTCAGCTATTTCAATGCTAAATTCGATGCTAATTCCATTGTCAAGGGGTACCTCTGCGGATGTGTATACTTTAACTTAGCTATTTCAATGAGCCATTTCAATGCTAAATTATATGCTAATTCCTTTGTCAAGGCACTTGGCCTTTTTCTTCTCACACAGCTTAAAGGTCGTGATCTAAGCATGGCTTCTTCCACTCCAGCGCTGTCCTCCAGACAGTCTCGTCCCTTCACCTGATGAAGGCCGCTTGTGTTGTGGCCGAAACGTCGTGATTTTTTGTTATTTTATTTTCACCTACGTGACTTTACCCAATAGAACCAAAGAGTATAAACTCCAAATATACAGCAGGCGCCAGGGTCGGAATTGAAACCACGACCTCCTGCATACATAGCGAGGGAGATAACATCTCACCACTGCATTACAATGGGTTTTTAAATGGAATGGGTTTTCTCTGGGCACTCCAGTTTCCTCCCAAGCAAAAAACACTCCTCACTAGACAATGGGCAAACATCCCAACGCAGGGCCCTCCTGCATAACGCACCGTCAGAATTGCCGAGGATTTCCCTGGAGAGACAAGTGCACGACGCGATCACATCCACGCGTGGGAAGCCACCCCTCACCTGAAGGGCACATATCCCCAGGCACCGAGCGACACGTGGATGGGGTACACGGCAGGGGGCAGGCTGGGCAGGAGGCAGTCGATGGCGGTCTCTGTCCAGCGCTGCACCAGGCACGCGGCCTCCCCCACGGTCACCGTGCCGCCCCGGTTGCCGGCGCCCAGCCCGACTCCGGTCAGGTTCAGCAGGGATCCTCCTGGGCAGCGCCGTACGGAGGCACGCGAGCACCCTCCCGTCGCGTTCCACTCGCACACAAACCGTCACGGCGCTGCGACACGCGCAGGTTCGACTCGATCTCACGGAGCGGCAGGTCGAAAAGATGAGGGTGGCGGGTTTTTCAAATCCACCCCACTACCTCTGTGCACCCAGCAGTATGCATGGGTTCAACCGCGGTTTAGACTATCGGCAGGTCACGTGCGGTGGGGTGAAGTGTGGGTATGCCCTCCTCTTCAAAACATCTGATTATAACGCGGAGGAGTAGACCAAATACCGTCTAGATCTCTCTCTAGTGGAGGCACCCACGCATACGCGCCACACACACACACACTCGACACGCACACACACTTGACATGCACGCACACACACACTCGACAAGCACACACAATCTGCACGCACACGCTCCACCCGCACCACAAGCGCACACGCTCCACACACACGCTCTGCACACGCGCTCCACACACACCTGGCACAGCACCAACCCTGCAATCATGCTCACGAACAGACAGATGCACGACCATAACCATACGAATACATTGCAATGTACTGTAGCAAACAATTTGTCACGTGTACAAGCTTTTAACGGCTTGCCAATTTGTTATTGTTTCAGCTCGATCACCGTTAAATTAAAATGCAATCCTTAAAAGCGACTGAAGCAATGAGAAATTAGCAAAATATCCTCCCCATAGCGGTTAGTTAACTTAACATGTAATTTTTTGCCGCCAATATAATTGCGTACATGGGTTGTAAGGATCGTTCTTCAACTAACCGGTGAGCTGAATCAATAACACTTGTGGCGCACTGTTATACACGCGACAATTTAACCTGATAGACTGCGCCGAGTGGTGGGGGCTTCTCAAGTTTTGGCCAGATCATTATGCGGCCCAACCCGAAATCAGCTGTGAATCGCAATTGTCAGCTGTTGAGAACCTCCGTGCCGGCACACAGGGCAACACTTCAGCTCTCTACTCGCTGACGTCCCGCGACCTACACCGATGTGACCGTACACAGTCGGCGGAGATCGGCAACAGTTCCGAAAATATTGCGACATCGCAGGAGGTTTCCGTGTGAATCGTTTTTTTGGTTTCTTGACATTTCCACTGTGTGCGTGGAGAGGAGGGGGTACGAAGGGGGTGGGGGGGGGGGTAAGGGGGGAGGTGGTTACACAAATGCCCCGTCGCCAGCACCCGAGTCCCGTGGTTGGCACGTGGGTGCCGTGGCAGCGCGGACGAACGGTGAGATTTACGGCACTGCGCGGCGACACCTTTGTTTTTGCTTCGAGGTGCGTTCACTGCGAGGCGATGAGCGGCGCTACAGTGCGTGCACCGCATCGCGGGCCATAAAAGAAAAAAAAAAACGCGTGGGGTCCCACGTTCGCTCCCGTGTGCGTTCATCGCGGACAGTTATCTGGGGCGCGATGCGATCTGCCGCTGCTGCCGGCCGCTCCGCACGCAAGCGCGGCAAGTAATCCCGGTCGTAGCGCAGCCGCACTGACCGGGTGTAGCCACCGTCACCGGGCAGACTGGCACTCGAGCGAACAGCCCCTTGGCTTCATCATTAGACCTCCTTTGCCAGTACCAAAATATAATAATAGGGGTTTTCCCCCTTTTTTTTGGTAACAAAACTGAAACCTTTTTTTTACAAGGAATCATATGTGCATTAATCACGATACTTGTGGTCGAAATGCAAACAAAAAACACACTCCGATAATATATGGCATTGTCCTTGAAACTGATTGGTCCACACCAGAGACGGCTTTCGTTTGAGCCTCATCTCAATTGGTGCTAGGCCAGAAGACGCCAAAATTCGTACAGCTCAAAGACAATGCACTATCACCCTCTCTGTCAATAAAACATCTGTTAAGATGTTTAAACACCAAATAGATTTCTTTGGAAAGGAATCAAGTCTATATTAACCACACGTACTTGTGGCAAACATGCCCGTGATACAGCTGCTCAACCCAAGCTGTAAATGCTCTGATACTTCCATTGCCTTTGTAGGTCTAAGACTGGTGGTGAGACAAGGCCATAGAGAAGGCTGTCTCTAGTGTAGGCCGAATCATCTTCAAAGACAATGCATACTTTATCGGAGCATGTGTGTTTGCATGCTTGCCACAAGACGCCTCTAGAGGCATTTGGCCTACTCTTCCACGCTGACCAGACGTCCTACCCACACACTTGTCAGTAAACTACGGGATGAAGGCCTCTCCCCACTGTCTCAGCCATGGGAGTTAAGTGCAAAGTCAGCGCATGGAGGCTCAGGAGCGATGTGGATATCACGTGCCACTCACGATACCCACGGCCGAGAATCTAGTTCGGGTTCACCGATTTCGGCGCGCAGTGCGCCAACCATTGCGTCCCCACTCCCCCCATACTCCAGGTATAAATCTCCTAGGCAATTATAACGGTTACTTTGAAATTAAATGAGAGAAGGAAAACGAGTGCCACGCATCGCCGTACCAATCAGATGACCAAACACTCCTCCCGACAGGCGAGTTCAACCTAGCGGGGTTCATTGACAGGCCTGCAGCATCGCACGCATTGCAAACGCATCGCACACACGCTCCAGGTAATGCCGGAACAACCTGACGTGGTCTCCGCTCCGGTACTGCACCACGATCCTCACGCACGACACTTCCCAAGAGCCCACAGTCAACCTGCACACAACGCCGTGGCCTGGCGCTGTGCGGCAAGGTGTTGCGCCGATGCCATGGACAGATTAACGACACGCGCCTACAACAGCACTCAGAAGCCTAACCCATACTGCCAGCTCTCTGGGATTCAAGCGCGTGACGAATTGTCACGCTCAGCCGATTCGCTATGGATCAACAAGAAATGAAGATGTAACAAAATTTACAAATTGCGCATCTGTGACATGCTTCACTACCTGACCTGCCAGGTATGCAGCAGCCTGATTCAGCGAGATTCCACCTGGCGTGTGAGAGAGAGGCTCTGCGCCCGCCCCCCTCCCCGTTAGATCTGTGACCTGTGTGTGTGTTACGTCACACCCCAATAAGTTCACCCTTAACACCTGGATCTATCTCACGACCTGCCAGTGAGCGTTTGACGCTACACGTGGCCTCAAGGTGCACCCAGCCTGACACAAACGCTGTGGTGACGTCACCGCCACTCAGTGGTGAACGGTGGCAGCTGCTGCTGCTGTTATTGTACATGCGCGTGTGCGCACGTGCGTCCGCACAAACCGCGCGTCACCGGCCCTTCCGCTGCGCGCATGCCCTCTGCTCCGGAGCATTCTTCTCCGCGCGTGCGGTCTGAAGCCATCCGCTCTGCGCTCACCTGTCGCGTGTCCCCGCGTTTTACGACGACGCGCACGTTCTAACCTGTACGTTCCACCCGCATAAATGCGCATGCGCTTGTGTGGATGTGTTTGCGAGTGTCGTACCGGCTACACCGCTGACGGAAGGGGAAACGGCCGTGATGGCGGCGCCGCTTGCCCCCACGTAAGTGAACGTCCCTGTCCACGCGGCCTCCACTCCACCGCTCCGTACCATCACGTTCACCTCGCCGGGCGAGCCCTGAGAGACGGCCGCATGGGGGGGGGGAGGTCATAAGCACGTACATATGTCGAACTTCGTTTGCACCTTACACAGCCAACCGTGATAATCGGAGGTGCGGGGGAAGGACAACAGACACGCAAAAAGCAGTTCTAAAGAAATTAAATTTTTAAACGAGATGATTTGAAGCGCATCACTCCAGTAGCGTCCTAATATCGGAAGGAAGAGCGTTCCAGATGGCCATTGAAGCTCAGCTGAAAGCGCGCGATGCAGTGAGCGTTTTTGTTCGATGGCCAGCCAAAAGCCGCTGCTCCTGCGAGCGGACAGTGCGGGCTGTGTGGTGTTCGCGCTGTGCTAGATGGCGCGAACACCACACGCACGCGTATGAGCGGGGAGGCGCACGTGCGTGTGGTGTTCACGCCACGGAGGGTGCCGCAGGGCACTTTGAGCGTCTGGTTTGTGTAGCCGTAGGGAACGTTCTGCCTTTCTGAGTCCAGTGCAGAACTGGCCAACGGTTGGTGACTAAATACATTTAGATCCTTTTAGCGCAAACGTTGGGCTCTCATTGTTTGTAATCTAGTACAGGTGCTTTATTCCCTTAAATAAATGCCAACGTAAAAAACACGTTTTGTATCATGAACACATGTACATCGCATAAAACTTGATTGTTAAGATGCTAGTAGTTTAATAACCAGTGTCAGTGCTGAGCAGTGTTTCCAGGATTTAAGCTGAGTTCTCTTGAGCCACTGGGCAGTGCCCCATGCGATAGCGTCTGCACGGGCATGGTGGGTGAGCATGATTGGTAGTGCTAGTGCTGTTGGCGGTGTGATAAGTGTTGGTGGTGCAAATGCTTGTGTTGGTGATACTGTTGGTGATGCTTGTGTAGCGGTTGTGTAGCGGTGAGCACGCTGCGCTACGCACCCAGCGAACCGAGTTCGATTTTCGCTCATGGCCAACACCAACAACGATGATCTGGATCGGTTCTGGGCCTCCCCTAGCTCAACTCAGCCTCAAATGGGTACTTTGTGCAGTGTGTAAACATCGCCACTGAAGACACAAAGGCGGCTGGACATGGTGCTGGCCACCCATCCCCTCGTGTGCCACGGTGCCGGCCTTCACCGGTGCTGCTCGCTAATAGCACTTGCCCCAACAGTTTGTTAAGGCGAAACGAGGGATCTTTGTATTTTGGTGATGCTGGTACTGGTGGTGCTTGTGGTACTGCTGGTGCTGGTACTGATGGCACTGGTGGTGCTCGTGGTACTGCTGGTGCTGGTACTGATGGCACTGGTGGTGCTCGTGGTACTGCTGGTGCTGGTACTGATGGCACTGGTGGTGCTCGTGGTACTGCCGGTGCTGGTACTGATGGCACTGGTGGTGCTCGTGGTACTGCTGGTGCTGGTACTGATGGCACTGGTGGTGCTCGTGGTACTGCTGGTGCTGGTACTGATGGCACTGGTGGTGCTCGTGGTACTGCTGGTGCTGGTACTGATGGCACTGGTGGTGCTCGTGGTACTGCTGGTACTGATGGCACTGGTGGTGCTCGTGGTACTGCTGGTGCTGGTACTGATGGCACTGGTGGTGCTCGTGGTACTGCTGGTGCTGGTACTGATGGCACTGGTGGTGCTCGTGGTACTGCTGGTGCTGGTACTGATGGCACTGGTGGTGCTCGTGGTGTGGCGGTACTGGAGGCGTCGCTCACCGGGGGGCTGAGGCAGGAGATGTGGTTTGGTGTCACGGTGACAACTTCGCAAGGGACGCCTCCCATGTCCACGCGCGCGTCCGTGCCGAAACCGGCGCCCGACACCGATACGCCGGTGCCCCCTTTCAGCCGGCGGCACACCAGACACGTTCACACGTTCACACGACGCCCGCGGCAGCCACGGCGAGCGGACGCCCCTGGCCAGCCTCCTTTGTCTTCCCAATGCGTTGCCGCAACACATCTCCGACCCCCAGCTTTCAGCCACCGCCAGCTACGACGAGGTCTACCGCAAACACCTCCTTAACCACTCCCGCATGTGCTACTGTCACCAAAACTACACCACCACTCTCTCAATAACCCCATTCTTTTTTTCTCAAACCACTGTCGTCTTGCGTACAATTTTTATAATTGCTGTAAAGTGCCTCCGAATAATTTGCTTTAGAAATCTAGATAAGACACCGTTGAGGCTGCCTTCGCCCAAGCACTGGTGGTGCTCATCTTCCGTTTACAGCCCTGGGCCAGTGGTGGAAACTCCACATTCCTATGGCAGGGACAAGTTTATCCACAGGACAAGAGCTGCTTACTTGCAATGTGCTAGTAACTGTTGCTATTTTTTACTATTGATACAAATATTTTTTTTCCTGCACGGATTCTGTTACTCGATATCTACTCATGGGTAACTGTTTTAACATGACGATTTAAGATGGTTCCTCTGGAAACGTTCATTAAAATGTTTTTTCAGCGCCACGTGGTATTATTCGTTGCACAGTGCAGTCTCCATCTCTCACTCACTCTGCCTCGCAGGCCTCTCTATGTGCTATGAAAAAGGGCCCTTGCCCAACACATCATCACCTGTGATAATGTGTAGTGACATTGAATGAGTCACTGTAGCGCGTGGCGCTGGGATTTTGGTAGACAATGGAATTAGGGGTAGCAGCTCGCTCTACCAGTTGGACACGTGGGCCAAGCCCGGAGCCTTCTGGGGGATCCAGAAGGGTGCGTGGCCGAGGGCGGGAGGGCGGAGCCTGGCCACGCTGGGGAGAATAAAAGGCGAGCTCCGACTCACAGTCGAGGCGGCTGCCATCGGGAATGGAACTCGTCATTCTGCTGTCATCGTGGTCTTTGCCTCTTCAAGCTGTGGGTCTGGAAGCATGTTGGCTGTCCCGACCCGGTATAGAGTTATCCCCTATGGCTGTGAGAGCCGGAATGAACGAGAGGGATAACGCCTCCTACTAGTGTTTTTGAATTAGTACACTACACATGTTTCCCTGCAAAGCCCATGGTGTTATTGCCACACGTGCGGAGTTAGTTTCATCAACAACCTCAAAGCCACACACGCACAGACATGCACTATAAAAACTATAAACTATTTTTTTTTATTTTACCAGGTAAGGCCCACCGAGCTACATAGCTCTTTTACAGAAGCGACCTGGCCACAAATGATAGCTCAACGAAGTGGCTTATCGTGTGGAAATTTATAGGAGCAGCCAGCCAAATAATCAAAACTCATGTTTCTAAATGTGGAGGGAAAAACCGGAGGACCTGGAGAAAAATCCATGCGACCACGGGAAGAACGTGCAAACTCCCAATATACAGCAGCAGGCGTCAGGCTCGGGATCGAACCCACGACCTCCTGTATACCAGGAAAGCGAAATACAATTTCGCCACTGTGGCACTTTGACGTGACTGAGTTCAAATCCCAGTCATATCAGCCCATCATCCATAGCGGTACATAAAGCATGTATCGCTATGTGGAAAGTCAATAGCTGTTGTCCTATGGAAGAGACTGGTCTCTGCCATAGCAATCTAGAATTTTTGCTACTAGTTCAGGACTGCCTGAACAAGGGGGACACATTTGCCCAGCGGAGCGGCGAGAGTTAACAACACCTATCATCCTTGGTTTTAGTCGTGTCTAATCCTGGGGGTCATTTGTCAGATTTGGAAGACAAGAAGCTTTAGACAGCCGTGTCAAGCGTACTTATTGGCTCTAGAGGCGGGCGGCTTTCAGTAGTCTTTTAGAGGATGTTTGCAACATTGCAACTTCTGCAAAACTGACACACGTCACGTTTACTATATCAGCATGGTTCTGGGCTTTTTTTTATTTCGCCTCAGAATTATCCACTTCCTTAAATACTGAGAAGTTTCCTATCAGCATCAGCCACTGACAGCAGTCTGCAACTTAAATTATGAATGAAAACATCTGCCAACAATTTTGTGGTTTTCTTGTTATTTGTTAAAGACTGAATAAATGTTACAAACAAAGAACTGAAATGCCCCACTTGTGCAGCACAGGTTACATTGAACTCTATGCGCCAGTCGCCACGGTTGCCTGATACTATGGAGCAACTTGAATAACCACCATCGTTGTGTTAGACTGGAGGCGTTGGGGGTACAGAGCGGTTGAAGCAGGTGAATCTGGTGGCGATAGCCGAGGCAGCGTGTGGCAAGTGTGACATCGAGCAGCAGTTCCAAATCGCCCTGTCAACCCCCGAATATTTTATTACAAGAATAAACTCGGTTTTCCATTTAAAAAATTCAATTTGCACAAGGCCTCAAAGCGAATTTACACAGAGGTTAAGTTGTGGAGATGTAAGTTTTTGCAGCAGAATATAGAACTTGAGCAGATACGGTGAGATATTTAGGAGCCAACTCATTCGAGGCCTTAAAACGCGAGAAGAATAAAACATCTTCAAGTCGATTCTGTACTTAACAGGAAGCCAGTGCAGGGAGGAGAGAATAGGAGTGATAAAGTCACACGATTTCATCATCATCATGATCCATAGGTGCCCACTGCACATTTCTTGATTTGTTTCCACCTTCATCTGTCTTTTGCCAAGATGCTCAAATCATGCAAAATCTTTCTATCACCAATATCTTATGTCATCGTGAAGCCACACGATTTAGCTCTGGTTAACCCCCCCTCCCCCGCGCAGTAAGAGACTCCAACGGGGCCTCGCGGAGCCCCAGCATGAGAAGCCGCCGGGGCTAGACAGAGGACGCGCGGCGTCGGCCCCCGTCGTACCGGCGGCGCTGCCGCTGGCAGGGTTCACGTGCAGAAGGTTGAGGGCGTAGCTGAACACGTGGGTCCCGCCGGCGTGTCGCGCCAGCCCGCGGCCGGCCACGTACACCGCCACGACGTGCCGGCCCGCCGTACCGTTGCGCACCCGGCATTCCAGCACTGACTCTACACACGCGCGCGCACAAAAGACGCACAAAAGACAAAGGTTCCCCGTCCTGACCTCTAACGGAATGTTGGGGCGAGTGCTGTCGGTGAGCGGCGATGAAGGCCGGTGTGGTGAACGAAGAGGGCGTTGTGACCTGCACCACGCTCGGGCGCCTTCTGTTTCCCCAGCTCTATCATGTTTTTTTTGTGACGTTCTTACCCGCCCCCACTGGACATCTGTGAAAAAGAGCTTGATATCTCATCGGATTCCTCCAGTATAAATAAATATTCTGATTCTGAAATGAACATTCTGATTCTGCTGATGTTTCCCACACCACATTAAGTACCCATTTGAGGCCGAGTCGACCTCGGGTAGGTTCAGAACCAGTTCAAATATTCGCCACTGTTATTGTTTGTGAATGGGAATCAAACTCGGGTGTGCAGAGCGGTGTGCTAACCACTGCGCCAGCGCTCCCCAAACAGAGGCATACACGGATGCACCAGGTTTTGCCGAGAGTTTTGCATCAAACTAGGGCCCATTTATTTCCAGGCAGAGACCGTGCTAATAAACATTGGGTAGTTTGCCAGCATTGGTTCCAGCAAGATAAAACATGCATTGAACCGACGCTGTTGATAAGGTACACTGCCAGAAGGCTGTGCCGCTGATGCGTTGTGTAAAAATAACTTGTATTCTTTATGCAGAGATACGGATAACAGAAGGAGACGTTAATACATTGTCTATAAGAAAAACATTTCCAGCAACGCCTCTTCAGGATTACCATAAAATGACATGTCAATTTGAGAGAGATTGACATGTCAATGTAAGAGATTGACATGTCAATGTAAGAGATTGACATGTTAATGTGAGAGATTGACATGCCAATGTAAGAGATATTGACATGTTAATGTGAGATGGTCCCAGACACCGGAGGTGGCGGGGATCCTCCCGTGGCTAAGCTGCCTCACAGATATTTCACCTGGTGATGTATTCAGAGAGTCGGAAATAACAGCTGACATAGGCAGGTAGGATGGAAACATGACAGTCAGTTAAGACTTTGCTTGGTTAATAACGTCCTTCCAATGATTGCTAAGTTTGTACCCATCTTCTCGGTTGTAGTTGTGTCTGTGTTTATATATCTAGATGGCTTCATGAACAAATCTCTGAAAGTAGCCAGTAGGTTTGCAAAGTACCTCCGTCTTGGAAAAATCAATTTCGTGTGAGCCCACAGCTTTAAAACAACAATCAGCAACTGCAGAGGTATTGGTCCTGCCATGTTTCACATCTGCCTTGTGTTCACGAACGCGGTCCGAGACATGCCGTTTCGTTTCCCCAATGTAACTGCTGCCGCAACCACAACTCAGTTTGTAGACACCGGGGTATTGCATGTCAGGAAACACATCCTTTACAGATGGGATTAAATCATGGATTTTGTGTACTGTGTTGAAACGAACCTGGATCTTGTGTTTGTTTAAGATTTTGGAAATCTTTTTGTTAACCCCTGCTATGTGCGGCAAAGTGATGGTATTGGTTGGATCCTCAGAAGGTTGTCTTCCCCTGGCTGGGGAGGCAGCTTTGCGGATTATACGGTCCGAGTATCCATTCATCCTGAGGGCTTGGTGTATGTGCTCCAGCTCACTGGCTAGGTGATGCTGGTTGGAGATTCAGCGGGCTCTATGGTGTGGTGTTTTGATGAGGGAATTCTTCTGGGCTGGATGTGGAAAAGGATGGAAAGCTACCATTCCTGGATGTTTTGATCGAGAAGAGACCTGATGGCTCGTTGGGACATTCGGTCTACAGGAAAGCCACCCACACGGATGCCTATCTAAAGCCTGACTCCCACCACATTGGCATGCTAATCTCTCTTACATCCACCCATGCTGAGGACTCGGGCTGGTAGACCGAGTCCTCAGCACGGGTGGATGTGTCTTGAACCTCTTTCGGACCATACGTAGCCAACCGTGATAATCGGAGGTGCGTGGGAAGGACAACAATCTAAAAAAAAGCAGTTCTAAAGAAATTAGTTTATCAATCTTGATTGAAAAGCGCGCAGCTCCAATGGCTTTTTAATGTCGGAAGGAAGAGCAGTCCAGATGGCTGCAGAAGTGCATCTGAAAGGCGCGCGATGCGGTGACCGTCTTTGTTCGATGGCCAGCCAAAGGCCACTGCGAGAATGAGTATTTTGCACGTGGTGATCAGACGATGACCAGGGCAGTAGTAGCGATAGAAGAGCTATGAGGAGGTGACTGACAGCCGGCAAGCGAGCGGATCGTACGCCTCTCAGTGCGATCACGCTCGGCGTGGGCCTTACTCCACAAGTGCTCTGGGGTACCCTCTGCCACCGCGCCCTCCTCCCTCTCTGCCCTGCCTGGTCCTGGGCGAGCTGGGCCTCGACACCCCCCCCCCTCCCCCGAGCTTCCCCGACCCGGTGGTCGCGTCCCCAGCCGTGCTGTCGCAGCTGACGAGCCCGCTCCGTGGTCGTGACGATGCCTGAAGGTTTCCTCTTCTGCCCATGTTATATTTATAGACAACATCCATTGTTTTGCCCATTTCCCCGTTTTTCCAGGCACGGGTTTGAGTGACTCTCCCGGGACAATATCTGTCCCCTCTTGCTTTTCCACTTCCTGAATGTTTTTATTACGATTTGGGCGTTGCCTTTTAGGGTTCGGTTTTCTGCTGATGGTTATGTAACAAAAGCGATAAGCACAAGATATGCCTTGTTTATTTAATCTGGCTCTCTGCAACTAAAACACGTGTCCTTTCACAGGCCACCAGCCGCACCACGGCATTCTGCGCATGCGTAATTTCAGCAGCATTGATTGAGTACAAGCAAACTCTGGACCTGTTTCGACATTCGGTGCTCCATCAGCTTCAAAGTTATATTAAACCAATATTTGCTGAATAAATTCACGCCCAGAATGCCGTGCGCCATGGCATGAGAAAAGTGAAGAGGTAAAAATATGAGAAGGAGGCGTATTGATTTTGTGACATATACACTGCACAATGACGGTGGTTATGCATTGCGGCGGAACTCAGGGGAATCCAGTCCTCCTCGACACGGCCGCAGAACGAGGCATTTGTGTACCCTCAAACTAAAGTGAAACTGAACTATTTTTTGATTTAAAGCTTTCGTGACTGCAGTAATTCATATTCTTAGTTTTTTCGGTAAAGTCACGTTGAAGAGAAACAACAAAATAACAAAATATATATAAAACAATAAAAAATTCTCTCGACGTTTAGACCATAACTCTGACTTTACCGAAAAAACTAAGAATATGAACTATTTTTGTTTATTTTACCGGGGTAAGGCCCCACTGAGCTGCATAACTCTTCTTGAGAAGCGACCTGGCAACAAATATTATCTCATCAAAGTGGCTCATCACGTGGAAATTTATAGCAGACAAATATTCTAATATTCTAAAATGTCAGGGTCGTGATCAAACCCACGAACTCCTGCATACAAAGCGAGGGAGATAACATCTCGCCACCGCGGCGCCCTTCCACTCCACTGACAGCAGCGCCGCCGTGCAACCGGCCGGTGCCACAGCCCCGGCAGCGAGAGGCCTCCCGCCCCTGCGCAGTGCCGTGACGGAGCGCCGCACTGCTCTTCGGGATGCTCTGCGGCCTGCTCCTCACGTGCCCTCACCCGACTGCGTCGGCCGCGGGTACTGCGTTGCACGCACGACGTCGGGGCCTGTGTTGTTGTGCTCAGGTCCTCTGTTGGCAGAGCCGAAGCCGCGTCACTCGTTCGTGGAACGTAACATTTTCTATAATGGGTCACGCTCTTTAAAGCGCCTTGAAATTGCATGAGAGGGAGCTATATAAGCTGTAATTATTATTATTGTTGTTTGGGTTATGTCCGCACTTGTGAGGACGATGTAGTTATCCCCCGTGAAGCCATGTTTTATTTCACCCAAGCCAGGGCTATGTGCCAGGTATGATGATGACGATGACGGGAATAACAAAGATGATGACGATGATATTGTTGATGATGATGATGATGACGACGATGCTCTGGTGCGTTTGACCCAATCGGTGCTCCCCACTGCGCGACGACGGCGGTGCGAGGTGCAGGCGGACGTGCAAGGGTCCTCGCTCGATACCGTTGAGGGAGAGGATGAGGCAGGAGCTGCCCCCGATCGACACCATGGTGCGGTCAGCATCCGTGTCGGCGGAGAAGCCCGAGCCCGAGACGGTCACCACGGTGCCAGCCTCGTGGGAGCCTGCCGGGACGGAGGGTAGCCCATCATACAGGGGGCACGCGCTGGCGTCGCTAGCTCGTGTTCACGAGCGTCGCAGATCGTTCACTCACCCTCTTAGCTCGCGTGTGCCGCATGCAGGCTGTACGCCAGGTTGTTAACAAGCCCTAGTGCACTTAGACAGATGTGGACCGGGCATTCACATCTCGTGTTATAATAATGTTTTACTTTTTATCTGCGTCAGCATCGTTAATTCATGTAAATGGCATTTATCACAGTCGGCAAGGACCCACAGACCAAGCTGGCAGCCAGCAGCAGCCAGGTGATGAACTGGCGCTACCAACAATTGTGGAAGCTCTGCGGGCCTCTATATATGAAAATATTTAAACCAATTAATGAACGTTTATACATGCCCATGGGTTTAGTTGCATCTGCCTGGCCTAAGTGACACTGTGCCGAGACCACTTGAAATGCAAGGGAAAGTTTGAAAGTCCAAGTCCTGCTCACACGTCAACTCAGCCCGTCACTCGCTTATTATCAAATACAACGAGCATGGCATGGGAGTGGAAGACGGCAGCCTTCACGCGGCCCACTCTGTTAAGTGAGAAAATCACGATGAATGCCATCAATGCGGCAACCCAACATCGATCATCGATCTCCTGCTCTTAAGGGCAACAACACAAGCCACGCCACTGAGCCTGTTCACATTGCCGCCTGGCTCCAAGTACCCAGTGTCACCTCCCCCACCCCCCACCCCTCCACGCTAGGGCGGGGAGGTGCGGTGACTCCACCGGAGGGAGTGGGCATCTATCCCGTGTCAGACAAACCAGAAGGGATGGAGGCCTCGGTCAACCTCCCAGTTGGGATTTTTTCTTACAGCCTTCCAATAAGGAAGCTGTGACCACCCGGGAGGCGTTTCAATTTACAAGGCAGAAGCAAAATTAGCACATTTTCAAGGTGACCCATAATTGTTTCCCGTTAGGGGATGCAGGGTTAATGATGATAATTTTTGGTGTAAAACCACCACGTGGCCAAACCAAGAGACAGATTCGGGTCATTCTATCGGCTATCAACACCCACGCTCTAAGTGAAATTGGCAGGGTGTTTTACTTTGCGTAACGAGCGCGAGAAGCTTGAGTTGACTTCCCACCAACAGCATTCCCGCAGTCAATGATGCGGCCGGCTCCTTTCGCTTGACGCCGTTCCCCCACGGTTATTCAGATTCCAACGCATTTTAATTCTAACATTGCTACACACGCCGAAGTTCACTCCTCTTACAGAGAGAGAGACCGGTAAACATTTGGCGTTTGCGCTCATAAACCCACAGTCTCCGTATTTAACTCGGCAGGAACCCTCTGGAAAAAGAAATCGCGTATAAAAAATAACAATAATGTGCACCGAGCAAGAACGTTGAATCACATTGCCTCCAACCGGACACAGCACCGACACGAGCGGACAAGTGCCGACAATGAGACAAAATGCTCCGCGTGCCACTCACTCTCTCGCTCACGCTCATCGCCACTGCTAATTTGATGCAATTGCTTCTACGGCTGGCAAGACGCCAGATCCCATCCACAGGTAAACGTCGAAGGTCCCGGCATGGCACGAGACCCCGGCGTGGCGGCAAATGCGGCCTGACCAAACTTGCTCACCCGCGTCCGGCTGGACGGCCGTGACAACCGGCGTGAGATCGGCCCTCCACGCGTAGCCGCATTCGCGCACGCACTTGGAGGGGACATTGTTCACGAAGACCTCCACCTGCAAAATGGCACGGGCAAATAAGTTCAGCATACATACATACCTGTGGAGTGCTGTGGATGGAGCACAGGCTGTAAGTGAATGGTAAGTAAGTGGTGAGTAAGTGAGTGGTGGAGTGAGTGGTGAGTAGTGAGTGGTGAGTGAGTGGTGAGTAGTGAGTGGTGAGTGTACCTGTGGAGTGCTGTGGATGGTGCGCAGGCTGTGAGTGGTGAGTAGTGAGTGGTGAGTGAGTGGTGAGTAGTGAGTGGTGAGTGAATGGTGAGTAATCAGTGGTGAGTGAATGGTGAGTAGTGAGTGGTGGAGTGAGTGGTGAGTGTACCTGTGGAGTGCTGTGGATGGTGCGCAGGCTGTGAGTGGTGAGTAGTGAGTGGTGGAGTGAGTGGTGAGTAGTGAGTGGTCAGTAGTGAGTGGTGAGTGAGTGGTGAGTAGTGAGTGGTGGAGTGAGTGGTGAGTGTACCTGTGGAGTGCTGTGGATGGTGCGCAGGCTGTGAGTGGTGAGTAGTGAGTGGTGAGTGAGTGGTGAGTAGTGAGTGGTGAGTGAGTGGTGAGTGTACCTGTGGAGTGTTGTGGATGGTGCGCAGGCTGTGAGTGGTGAGTAGTGAGTGGTGAGTGAGTGGTGAGTGAGTGGTGAGTAGTGAGTGGTGAGTGAGTGGTGAGTGTACCTGTGGAGTGCTGTGGATGGTGCGCAGGCTGTGAGTGGTGAGTAGTGAGTGGTGAGTGAGTGGTGAGTGAGTGGTGAGTAGTGAGTGGTGAGTGAGTGGTGAGTGTACCTGTGGAGTGTTGTGGATGGTGCGCAGGCTGTGAGTGGTGAGTAGTGAGTGGTGAGTGAGTGGTGAGTGAGTGGTGAGTAGTGAGTGGTGAGTGAGTGGTGAGTGTACCTGTGGAGTGCTGTGGATGGTGCGCAGGCTGTGAGTGGTGAGTAGTGAGTGGTGAGTGAGTGGTGAGTGAGTGGTGAGTAGTGAGTGGTGAGTGAGTGGTGAGTGTACCTGTGGAGTGTTGTGGATGGTGCGCAGGCTGTGAGTGGTGAGTAGTGAGTGGTGAGTGAGTGGTGAGTGAGTGGTGAGTAGTGAGTGGTGAGTGAGTGGTGAGTGTACCTGTGGAGTGCTGTGGATGGTGCGCAGGCTGTGAGTGGTGAGTAGTGAGTGGTGAGTGAGTGGTGAGTGTACCTGTGGAGTGCTGTGGATGGTGCGCAGGCTGTCCCCCTGGATGGGCTGCAGGAGTCCCCCGCGCTGCACCGTGGTCACGCTGACGCTGGCGTTGATGCCCCTCAGACCTGCACCGTCCACCTGCACAGAGCGCGCATGGCACCCACCGCTCACCCATCGCTCACCCACCAAACATCCACCACTCACCCACCAAACATCCACCACTCACCCACCAAACATCCACCGTGCGCCCACCGCTCACCCACCAAACATCCACCGTGCGCCCACCGCTCACCCATCGCTCACCCACCACTCACCCACTACTCACCCACCACCAAACCAAAGCTCAACCACCAAACCTCCACCTCCCCTCTCCCACTCATCCACCGTACATCCACCATTAATCCACTGCCTATCGGCTGTTAATCCACCACACACAAACTGCTCATCCAGCACTCCCATAGAGCCACACGGCAACACAAAGCATCGGCACACAGAGTCGCAGTGCCAGAGAAGGGGTAGGATTTGAAGGTAAATTAACCACGCGCTCGTGGATTACCCTGTACGTGTCCAACAGCCTCGTAACGTAGTGATGCCACGTTGACAAGTCAAGGCTCCGAGGGTCTGGGGGTGGGGGGGGGGTTTCTGCATCATCTACGTGGGGAATTACCCCACGAGCACAACGAGCAGGTAGGGCTTGTGCTACGGGTGAGGGCAGCCATTGCTGCCCCGAGACGGTCCAGTTTTGCCATGGGTGGTGGGGATGAGAACGAGGGGGGGTGGGTGAGTGCGGAGGGAACCTGCAGGAGCGGCTGGGCCCCTGGCGCCGTGAGCCACTTGATGGTCCAGCTGTGCCCGGAGCAGCTGCCGCTGGCGTCGCGCGTCACCGCCAGCTGCCCGGCCTCGCCGGCGGCGCTCTGCAGCGCGGCCTGCAACTCCTCGGCCGACACGTCATGCGGCAGTCCTGTGGGGGGGGGGGGGCGGCAGCCGCCGGTGCACCGCTCACTCCCCGGGCGCCACCGCCGCCATCCACGCAGCGGCCCGAGGTCAAAGCCACGGAAGGCATGACCCCCGCCACCGCCACCGCCACCGCACCTGGTTGCCAACCCCTCCTATGATGCTGCACAGTCGACACGTGGCGATAGCCGCGGCCTGCCCTGACAGTCTCCCACCATCTGCCTCCAGGGCTTTCTCTTCCCCTTGGTGGCCGGACTCGTGGACACCGCTCCAATCCCGGCAACCGGCCCTCCCCAGTCCCGCACGAGCGACCCACCTGGGGCAGCCGTCCTTGCCTTGTCGCATCCACGTTGACATGCCGCACCTTCTCATCTGGACTTTTGCAACGCTCAAAAGTCCTACCTGACCACTAAATTCCCAGAATCCGTCTCAGCTATCTGATCCGCAGAGTGACGAAGATGTAATTCCGGTCTACACGGTAACACCTAGGTTAGTGTTAAATATACAGCAACCAGTGAGTAACACCTAAGGATAGTGTTAAATATACAGCAACGAGTGAGCAACACCTAAGGTTCGTGTTAAATATACAGCAACGAGTGAGTAACACCTAAGGTTAGTGTTAAATATACAGCAACCAGTGAGTGACACCTAAGGTTAGTGTTAAATATACAGCAACGAGTAACACCTAAGGTTAGTGTTAAATATACAGCAACGAGTGAGCAACACCTAAGGTTAGTGTTAAATATACAGCAACGAGTGAGCAACACCTAAGGTTAGTGTTAAATATACAGCAACGAGTAACACCTAAGGTTAGTGTTAAATATACAGCAACCAGTGAGTAACACCTAAGGTTAGTGTTAAATATACAGCAACGAGTGAGAAGAGATGGCTTTAAGGTGTCTCACGAGAGACACCTCCAATCCTCCACAGACCACATGCGTCAATTCGCGGATGCATATCAGACTGATCGTTTGGAACACCCGTCTACCGATAGTGGCAGCGGAGCGTTGGTCCGTCACTAAAACAAAACACAACTCAATAACCCAGTAACCATCACTCAATAACCAGCAGCCCAAAACACAAAAACAAGAGTGCGGTAATTCACAAATCGATCCCCACCCACACTGACTCATGCTGCGATGTTTTTGAAGCTGCTGCCAATCTTAAATAAATGTTACATCGCAGATAGCGACCTCTTACCGAGAGTCGCAATTGTGCGTAACTAAAGCATGGGACGTTGGCTTCATGCCATTCGTGTTTGCCGCTTTGAGTTCTCACAGACGATGACAATTCCACACAATCATGTGCCCTGCTAATGGCGGCCGCAGTCCATTGCCTCTGAATTGGAACTGCAAACCATGGTGGTGCTGGTGAGGCACTGCTTGCATGCGTTCGTGTGTTAACCTAGCCAAGCCTCACCGAGTCTCAAGACTCGTTTTCAGGAGGGTCCTGCCTACCGAGTGTTAGCAGTTGTGGGGCTGACAATCGCAACGCGTCAATCACAATTCGGCAATTTCCGAGTCTTTATTTTATTTTTTTATTTAAACAAGTTTGAAAGACTCCCCACAAGAATTGTGCTTGAAAAGCGATTTTTGAACTTTCACAAGAGCCACACAGGGCGGCCGGACAGCAGCAGTAGGAGGAGCAGGCCCTGTGGCTGGCGGGAGTGGAAGTGTAGTGACATCACGGATGTCACTGTGTAATGCCGGGTCTACAGAGGCACGGCGTGCGATGCATTGACATCGCGGGCACCACGTGGGTGCACTACCGGCCCTAGAGGGGCTCGGTGAGTACTGACTGGCAGTGCTGGATGGCACCACGCTGTGCGTGCAGTGCCGACCCCTACAGGATAGGGTGTGAGAGTGCCCGCCATGGGAATGGGGTTACTAAGGGCTATGGCACTCTGGTTGACCCTGAAGGACACGTGACCGGTTAAGTCTACACAGGGCCCCCAGGCGGGGGCTAGGGGTGGTCACGTGTCAGGGTCGAGATCCTGCTAGAGGATTCTCGAAGGTAATTGTGGCCTAGGGTGGAGCTAGCCCCACCACGGAGGATATAAGCCGGGTCCCCGAGAGGGACCGGCTGCTGTGGTTATCCTGAAGAATCTACGTTCTACGTTCTACGTCCGAGAAGAGTCACCAACACTTGGACCTGGACCCAAGCTGGGGTCCTGTCCGTTGTAGCTACTCCCAGTGTAGTTAGCCTGGCGGTTACGTAGCTAGTTACGGTGTAACTAGTGTAGTTAGCATGGTGGTCACGTAGCTAGTTACGGTGTAATTAGTGTAGTTACCTGGTGGTCACGTAGCAAGTTACGGTGTAATTAGTGTAGTTAGCCTGGTGGTGACGTAGCTAGTTACGGTGTAATTAGTGTAGTTAGCCTGGTGGTTACGTAGCTAGTTACGGTGTAATTAGTGCAGTTAGCCTGGTGGTTATGTAGCTAGTTACGGTGTAATTAGTGTAGTTAGCCTGGTGGTCACGTAGCTAGTTACGGTGTAATTAGTGTAGTTAGCCTGATGGTCACGTAGCTAGTTACGGTGTAATTAGTGTAGTTAGCCTGGTGGTTACGTAGCTAGTTACGGTGTAATTAGTGTAGTTAGCCTGGTGTTCACGTAGCTAATTACGGTGTAATTAGTGTAGTTAGCCTGGTGGTCACGTAGCTAGTTACGGTGTATCTAGTGTAGTTAGGCTGGTGGTCACGTAGCTAGTTACGGTGTAATTAGTGTAGTTAGGCTGGTGGTCACGTAGCTAGTTACGGTGTAGTTAGTGTAGTTAGCCTGGTGGTTAGGTAGCTAGTTACGGTGTAATTAGTGTAGTCAGCCTGGTAGTGACGTAGCTAGTTACGGCGTATCTAGTGTAGTTAGGCTGATGGTCACGTAGCTAGTTGCGGTGTAATTAGTGTAGTTAGCCTGGTGGTCACATAGCTAGTTACGGTGTAATTAGTGTGGTCAGCCTGGTGGTGACGTAGCTAGTTACGGTGTAATAAGTGTTGTTAGCCTGGTGGTTATGTAGCTAGTTACGGTGTGATTAGTGTAGTTAGTCTGGTGGTTAAGTAGCTAGTTACGGTGTGATTAGTGCAGTTAGCCTGGTGGTCACGTAGCTAGTTAAGGTGTAATTAGTGTGGTCAGCCTGGTGGTGACGTAGCTAGTTACGGTGTAATAAGTGTTGTTAGCCTGGTGGTTACGTAGCTAGTTACGGTGTGATTAGTGTAGTTAGCCTGGTGGTTACGTAGCTAGTTACGATGTAATTAGTGTAGTTAGCCTGGTGGTCATGTAGCTAGTTACGGTGTAATTAGTGCAGTTAGCCTGGTGGTCACGTAGCTAGTTATGGTGTGATTAGTGTAGTTAGCCCGGTGGTCACGTATCTGGTTACGGTGTAATTAGTGTAGTTAGCCTGGTGGTCACGTAGCTAGTTACGGTGTAATTAGTGTAGTTAGCCTGGTGGTTACCTAGCTAGTTACGGTGTAATTAGTGTAGTTAGCCTGGTGGTCACGTAGCAAGTTACGATGTAATTAGTGTAGTTAGCCTGGTGGTCACGTAGCTAGTTACGGTGTAATTAGTGTAGTTAGCCTGGTGGTTACCTAGCTAGTTGCGGTGTAATTAGTGTAGTTAGCCTGGTGGTCACGTAGCAAGTTACGGTGTAACTAGTGTAGTTAGCCTGGTGGTCATGTAGCTAGTTACGGTGTAACTAGTGTAGTTAGCCTGGTGGTTACGTAGCTAGTTACAGTGTGATTAGTGTAGTTAGCCTGGTGGTGACGTAGCTAGTTACGGTGTAATTAGTGTAGCTAGCCTGGTGGTCACGTAGCAAGTTACGGTGTAATTAGTGTAGTTAGCCTGGTGGTCACATAGCTAGTTACGGTGTAACTAGTATAGTTAGCCTGGTGGTGACGTAGCTAGTTGCGGTGTAATTAGTGTAGTTAGCCTGGTGGTCACGTAGCTAGTTACGGTGTAATTAGTGTAGTTAGCCTGGTGGTCACGTGGCTAGTTACGATGTAATTAGTGTAGTTAGCCTGGTGGTCACGTAGCAAGTTACGGTGTAATTAGTGTAGTTAGCCTGGTGGTTACGTAGCAAGTTACGGTGTAATTAGTGTAGTTAGCCTGGTGGTCCACCACCATAGGTTGTTATCTGGTGAAAGGGCAGTTACCCCGTGTGGTGGTGTTAATAAATGTGTTGCCTCCAAGGAGTAGGTCTGCAACTCAGTTGAACTCACTACAGAAGGGTGGCATGAAGACCACACAACATCCTGGGCAAGCCCGTAGATGGATACCTCTTCCGCACGTCAAATGACGTTGTTACCTTACGCCTTATTTAAAATGTTTCTGATGGTGGAAGCTGTGTTGAGATGCTGTATACTTCTTACGCACGCATGCCTGGTGGTATTGCACGAGGGCACCACCGGCTGGTGACACATTTTTGTGAGTGGGTGAGTCAGTGAGTGGGTGAGTGTGTGAGTGGGTGAGTGAGTGGGTAAGTGAGTGAGCGAATGGGTGAATGAGCGGGTGAATGGGTGAGTAGGTGAGAGAGTGAGTGGGTGGGTGCAGCAAGAGCCAGTACTGCTCACTATGTGGAGGTGATATCACGCTGCTGCAGGGCTTGTGTTAGGCTTGACAAAGACAAAGATTCCCCGTATAGCCTTCCAGGACTGTTGGAGCAACTGCTGCTAGCCAGCATCGCACACGAGGGGGTGGGTGTCCAGCACCACGGCCGGCCACCTTTGTGAAAAAGTGTACTTATTGCACAAGGTACTCAAGGTCCAGTTCAGAGCATAACTCTGGTTACAAAGACACACACAGCAATTCACGCACGTTTGCAGTTGTGTCGGATGCTCGGGTACCGGGGAGCGTGGTGTTGTAGGCCGTGATGGAGAAGGAGCCGGAGATGGGCGGAGAGGCGGCCTGTACTCGCTCCACGCGCACCGCGGCCCCCGGCGGCCAGTCCTCGCCACGGAACTCCACCACGCCGGCTTCGACCTGCTCGCTCCTCTGCTCGCACAGCACAGCAGAGATCGCTCCGCAAGTCCACGCACGGCGCCGTGATGGTGAAATGTTGTTACCCTCGCCTGGTATGTAGGAGACCGCGGGTTCGAGCTTGACCCTGACGCCTGTATATTTGGAGTTTGCATGTTCTCCCCATGGTCTCGTTGATTTTTCTGTGGGTGCTCCCGTCTTTCCCCTCCACATTAAAAAAAAAACATGCATTTCGAGTATTTGGCTGCTTTATATTTGCGCGCAACAAGCCACTTCGTTGAGTTATCATTTGTGGCAGCCAGGTCGCTTCCGACAAACACCTAACAGTCTCAGTGGGCTTTACCTGGTAAAATAAAAAAGAAGTGAGTCGGCCTGCGAGCGGCCCTTGCGCGTGCCGCACGTACCGTGGCAAAGGCGGCCTCGAGCACCGGCAGGCCGTGCCCGCAGGGCAGGGGCGTGAAAGTCACGGTGAAGGTGCCCGGAGTCGCCGGCTCGGACTGCACGAGCACCGAGGAGAGGGGCGGGGCCGCTCCGCTCACCCGGCGAGCCAGCACGTCTACACAGAGCGGGCCGCTCGCAGGTTGAGCTCACGCAGGGGTGAGGATGCTCAGGGGTGAGGTTTACGAAGGGGTGAGGATGCACATGAGTGAGGGCAAGCAGGGGTGAGAATACGCAGGGGTGAGGATGCGCAGGGGTGAGGATGCGCAGGGGTGAGGTTGCACATGAGTGAGGATCCGCAGGGGTGAGGATGCGCAGGGGTGAGGATGCGCAGGGGTGAGGATGCGCAGGGGTGAGGATGCTCAGGGGTGAGGATGCTCAGGGGTGAGGATCCGCAGGGGTGAGGATGCGCAGGGGTGAGGATGCGCAGGGGTGAGGATGCGCAGGGGTGACGATGCGCAGGGGTGAGGATGTGCAGGGGTGAGGATGCGCAGGGGTGAGCTCGCATAGGGTGAGGGCACGCAGGGGTGAGGACGTGCAGGGGTGAGGAATCGCAGGAGTGAGGAAGCCCAGGTGTGAGGACGCGCAGGGGTAAGATAGCAGACAGCCTCACTCGCACAAAATTCCATGAACACGTGGAGTCCATGTGTATGGGGCCGCGCATATTGTGCCGCACCCACGGATCACATTGGGAATATAAAGTGATGTCACATCCGGTATCAATGCTGTCAGTGATGACAGATGAGAGTTGATATCCGTAAGCAACTACAAAAATAATATAATGTAATAAGCTGAGTTTTCTCTAATAGCGCAATTTGCACGGGCGCTCAAAGAGCTTTACGTGAAGATTAAGTTATGGAGAGAGCCTGCTGTAGAAACGGGTGAGTTTTAAGACGCGATTCAAAAAGTGTAACAGACACAGATTCCCTGACGGACTGAGAAGGAAGGAAATTCCACAATCACGGGACCTGGCAGCAAAAAGCTCTGTCTCCCACAGAACACAGTCCCGGTCTCTGGAATTATAATGAGTACGACACGGATATGGTGATGCTTGAAGGTTTTAAAAAATTGCCTACCGAGTGCTTCAGCGAAACTTTTGCAGCTAAACCTGCAAGCACAGCAGTCGTCTCTCGGTGTCAAAGAGTCCATGAGCCCAGAGCAAACATCTCGCTTTGTCGGTGCCAACTTGAAGTTGGCGTAACTTTAGAGGTTTCAGATTATCTGTGTCGCCGAAAAGGAGCTAATTCTGCAAAAACCGCTTGAAAGGAGCTGGATTATCGAATCGTTCGCTCACAATAGCCACAAAGATACACGTGTTGATGTATGTGTATGTATGTTGAACTTATTTAGCACCGTACGTAGCCAATCATACTAATCGGAGGTGTGGGGGGGAAGGACAACAAACTAAACACAAAAAGCGGTGTTGAAGAAATGAGTCTTCAATCTAGACGATTTAAATGTGCATAGCTCCAGCAGCTTTCTAATATCGGAAGAACATTCCAGACTGCTGCAGAAGTGCATGCGAAAGCACGCGATGCAGTGACCGTCTTTGTTCGATGGCCCAGCCAAAAGGCGCTGCAAGGATGACCGGAGTTCACGTGACGGTTTCTGTCCCTTGACGTCTCGTCGTCCGTCACAGAAACGGACGAGTTTTCAATCGAGATTTCAGTCTTACCGATGCGTCGGTAAGACTGAGGTTTTGCTACCTTAGGCGGTACACCGATTGCCGCTTGTGACGGAGAGAGTCTCGACGAGGTGGCACGCGCACTACGCGAGCCGAGCGACGGCGTCGGGTGTCTGCGTCGTTGTCTTTGTCGCAGCGAACCTCACCGGCCGGGCTGCCCGTGGTGGCCACCTGGCCGACATAAACGGCGTCGACGGCGAAGTCGCCCACGCCGCCGCCCTTCTGCAGGCCGAGGCGCCAGACAAGGAACCGGCTCCCCGTAGCGAACCGCTGGTCGGAGCGCAGAAGCGAGAGGAGGTCTACGCACACATACTGCCACCTGCAACGCACGCACACAAAGGCATTGATTCCCCCGTATGGCCTTAACAGACTGTTGGGGCAAGTGCTGTTACCGAGCAACGCCTATGAAGACTGGCACGGTAGGCGAGGGGGTGGGTGACCAGCACCATGCCCGGCCACCTTTGTCTCTCTAATGGCGATGTTTACTACACACCCCACCTAGGGGAGGACACGGACTAGTTCAGATAATTGTCACTGGTGTTGGCCATAAGCGGGAATCGAACTCCAACCGCCGGATTCGTAGCGCAGTTCGCTAACCATTGCACTACCGCTCCCCACACACGCACACACAGACGCACAGACGCACCATAACTGGGGTTACACAATCTCCTGCAGTGGAGTCGCCATCTTCTCCACAATTCTCAGTCAGCTGAGGTCTATCAAAACTGTGCAGTGTGCTGTGGCAAGGTTCAGCATGATACCGGTAGCCAGATCTCGGTACAAATCACTTCCTGCCAGCCGAACACAGTTAAAAGACAATTTCCGGACTATCCTGGTCAACCCGGGACAGATGGCAACCCTAGCTGCAGGCATGTGGCCTGCCCTGCATCGTTCCACAGCCACCATCAGCGTGGCAGGCAGGCCGCATCCTGGGCTTACACCTGACGAGTGGTCCAAGGCCTGTGCCCAACACGGAGGTTCTCCACCCCCTGCTCCCTGCTGCTGCTGCACCAACAGCACCACTGCTCAGAATTAGAATCAGAACATCAGAACCTCAACCGCATGACGCTTACAGCACTGTTCCACGTGCACTTCGTGTGACAAGCACATTTGGGCGCATGCTCCCATCAGTGTCCCTCGGCTGCGCCCTGCAAGTAGCGGGTATAATGCAAGCAACACGTGGCTGCGGAGACTCTGCTGGCGTCGTTCTGCTGGCGTCGTGACGTCACGGCAACCGGTAAGACCCTGTAACGCGGAGCAAAAACGTCGGACATCGTGTGGAACAAGAGCGCGCCGGACGGACCCCGTACCCGGGGAGCGATGGGAGCGCGAAGTCAAACCACTCGTCGCTGCTCCGGCTCGCGCCGTCCTTGCTCCGCCACGTGAAGGCGAGGCCCAGCTTCGGGGCGATGTTCCCCCACATGGCGACACACAGCTGTATGTGCACATGGTGGCACGCGGCCGCACAGCAGCACACGGCATCACACAGCGGGACAGCGGCACACGGCATCACACAGTGGCACACAGTGGCACGCAGGCGCGACACATAGCAATGCTTTGGTATTCGTTACTGACATGCTCCCATGTGTTAGCAGCGCTGGGCATATTATGTTCTGGTGAGGTTTCAAATCGTTCTATCAGAACTAGAATCATAATCTTTAATTAACTGGAAGAACCCGATAAGCTCTGAAGCTCTATTTAAACGAAACTGTTTTATTCACCAAGTAAAGCCGACTCAGCTATATAGCTCTTTTTCAGAAGCGACCTGGCGACAAATGTATAGCTCAATGAAGTGGCTTATCGTGCGGACATTTATAACACCCCAAATAATCTAAACGTGTGGAGGGAGAAACCGGAGCACCCGGAGAAAAATCTAAGTGACCGAGGGGAGAACAAGCAAACTCCAAATATACAGGCATCATGGTCAGGACCGAACCCATGACCTCCAGCAAACTAGTCGAGGGAGATCACGTCTCGCCACATTTCACAGCTGTCGCAGTGCGGGATCGCTTCTACTTAAATTGAGGCTGGAATCGCGTGACCTCGACAAGAGCCGGCGCGCCGAGTGCGGTGCGACCCTATCCGATGCGTGGGTAGAGTGAGAAAGGTGGAGAGGGAACCAGGGGTCGAGAGGGATCGAGTGAAGAGTCTGGGGTGAAGCCGGTGGTAGCCGTAGGAGGTGCTGCTCTTCCCGGCCGGTGTGATGCGGCACCTGTCTGTGTATGCTGAGCGAGATGTTGCCGTACGGAGTCCCGTCCGGTCTCGCGTCCCCCGCGTTGTAGAGCACCGCCGGGTTCTTGAGGCTGTAGCGCCCGCAGAAGGCCTCCATGTGCAGCGTGCGCTGCCCTCTGTTCTCGCCAGGGACCTGTGGGCAGGGGCAATCAGCTCCCGGTGACAGCACCGCTCACGGGGTTACGCAATCCGCTAATTGTGCTCTCCATGCAAAAACGACCATCAGTGCGGGGGGTTTTTTCCCGCTCAAATGAGCATCATTGAGATGTTGGTGTTCTTTTCCTGACGTTGTGTTCGATCGCGTGAATATAAATGCGTCGTTAAACCCACCACCACAGCCAATTAGTAAGGTTGGTCACATAAAGAAAATTTGCCAATTAGTCACTAGTTCAGTTACTACTTCAGCACACCGGTTGTTGGGGAATGAACCCACAACAATTGTAAATGTTGTGAATCTGTGCTCCACCTGATCTGTGTAATCCAAATTGAGCAATTTCGCTGCTAATTTGCCAAATTGATAAGTGGTGGGCGAATGTTTTGTAATCCTAGCGTAAATGCAGATATCACTGGAGCACATTCTACCGCACGAGGACCCCACGCGCACGACCAGAAAACAAAGAGAAGCCCCATTGCGAAACGTGGATCACGTGCAGCAGCGATACATGGCCTCACAAATGCCTCTCATTGTTAGGAAGGAACAGATTCCTTGTGGACGACCCCACCATCCGGCCACCTGGGTTCGATCGTCGGCACCGTGACCAGGCCCCGTTCAACATGGTCCCGGACCCGCCAAGACATCCTGTGCGTGGCGGAGCCTGCACGGGCGAAGCTTACGGCGATGACCCGAACCTGTGGCCGTAGTGGCACGACGCACGATGTTGTGTGAAAAATAAGAATAGGTTTAAGCCTTTCTGGCAATAAAACAGGTGTTCAAACACCAAATAGATAACTTTTGCAAGGACTAAAGTCTGCATTAACTACACATACTTCTGGTGAACATGGAAACAAACATTCTCTGATAATATATGCATTGTCTTTGAACTGATTGGCCACAACCAGAGAAAGCCTTCTTTATGCCCTAGTCTCACCAGTGTCAGACCAGAGAACATCAAAAGGCAAACAGTACAAAGACAATGCACGTATCAGAGCATTTGGTGTTTGGATATCTTGACACGTGTTCTATTGCCAGAAAGGGTAAAACCTATTTTATTTTTTCATACTTTGATCCTGCCAAAAAAGGTCCCTTGACACGACGCCGTGTCCGTTGACCAAGCCTGACTGGCGCGTGAGGATGACGGGGCCACGCACCGCAAACGATCAAGACGTTTACCTAGCTCGGTGTGAACGCGCACACGCTAAAGCGAAAATGTCCCCAAATAGCCTTTGGACGTTTTGCGCATTGTTGGGAGGCACGCGGCAGAAAGGAACGGCGGCGTGCGGGCGCCTACCGTGGGGCTGGCGGTCTCGTAGTCGCGGAAGAACTTCACCGCGAATGTCTCCGATATCCCGGACACCTCCTGGGGACAGCGGCTGCTGATCACGCCCTCCAGAGCCGCTTGAACCTGCACACGTGCCGATAAGATGAACCTTGCCTATAAAATCCGTCAGTTCGGCAGCATTGGTACAAGTAGGGCCTGCCTCTGCTGATGAGAAAATTAATGTCAAAGCCCGTCCAGAGTTTGCTTGGGATGAAACAATGCTGCTGAAATGATGCACTTCCAGATGGCCGTGCGATTGATATGTCTGTATGTGGAGAGACAAGCGCATGACGGAGGCGTGGTGTTGACTTAAATATTTTGAAATGTGTCCGTGTCACCGTCTCCGTGCCCCTTTCCCTAATGGGCAACACGTGGTGTGAGCACCGTTAGTCCTTTGTTAGTGCGCGCGTTTGTGCACGTGTGCTGGCACGGGGCGGGGGGAGGCAGGGGACCTGCTCAGGAGTGGCATTGGCGGGGATGGGGGCGGAGAGGCGGCCGTCCCAGCGCAGGGAGAAGGAGGCCATCGAGGCGCTGCCCGTTGCTCGCTCCCGCACGCTCACGTTCACCTGGCTGCCCGGCGTCACCTCCCACTGCAGCAGCTCAAAGTCACCTGCCCTCACACCACGTGCATTTCATAATCATCATCATCATCATATTATGCCCCAGCAAGCGCTCTACATCGCATCTCAACCTTTCAAAGGGGACCCCGAGTGGCAGCTGTCCCTGTTTGGCACGAGGTGACTCAGCACTGGCCTGCGAATAGGCCTGAGTCTGCCAGTAGGAGGGCGATGGTGGCTGCCGTGCATGATCCCAATTGAGTAATTTGAGGGTAATCGTTCAAACTTGGCAAATTTGGACGATAAAGTCAGCACACGATGGCCTGCTCTCATTCAAATGACGTCAGGGGATCTAATATGGCGGCTGCACAGAGTGTGGTAGACCGAGTCCTCATCACAGGTGAAGTCATGTTTGTGGGAACAGTGACCATGGTAGTAGTAGTAGTAGCAACAGAAGTGTGATACGGAGGCGAATGACCGCCAGTGAGTGAGTGACTGTAACTGTAGTCACGTGTTCGTTGGGATCATGACAATTCGGCCAGCTAGCTACAGCTTTGCTTTCTCCGGACATGGTTGACATGGCCGGGTACTTGCAGGGGACATAACAAGGACGCAGCTTCCGGTGGGACCAGGGGGTGTGTGTCGCTTCCCAACATCGATGGGGCATGCCACGTGATAGCCCGCTGTGCAAATGCGGGGAGCAAGAGGCCATTGCGCACATCGTCTCTGGCTGTGAAGTCCATCAAGACATCCCGGGCGGACTGGTTTGCCCTGCACGTGCTGGAGGAGGAGGCTGTCACGTGGCTCTGTGGCCATGTGGGCTGACGTCCACGCACACATGTAACATTGACGAACATGTCTTTTTACTTTTTCTTCTATACCTGGCACTCTAACTATATGACGGTCACGTGTAAAAGCATTCACTAAATAAATAAATACAAATAGTGAGTGACAGGAGAGGATCAGTGAGCAGTGGGTGGTGGTGGTGGTGGTGGGGGGGGGTGGGGGGTGAAGGGTGGATTGGGGTGAGTGGAACCGGGTTGGGCCGACCTCGCTCAGAGGCGAAGGTGACGGTGAAGCGGAGGCCCTCGGGGACATCGGCTCGCTCCACGCTCACGTCGTCGGGCCGCAGCACGGCCGCCAGCGCCGCTCGCACGTCCTCGGCGCGTGCGTCCGCTTGCAGAGCCACTGACGCGCGCCCACAACACGCACATAGAGGTCCCCCGCGTAGCCCACGCAGATTCTGGGGGCAAGTGCCGCTGGCGAACACCTAGGCGGGCCGGCGTGGCGCACGAGGGGAGTTGGTGTGGACGACCACCTTGGTCTCCCCTGAGCCGATGCTTACGCACCGTACCAGGCGGAGTCAACCTCGGGGAAGCCCAGCACCAGTTCAGATACCACCTGCCACTGATGTTGACCGTGAATGGGAATCAAGCTCATAGCCCAGCGCTCTAACCACTACTCTGCCGATTCAAGGTTAATAGTAATAATAATTTCATGTGTGTCTCGCTTTCACCAAGGATCTCAAAGCGCTGCACAGCACACAGCGCTGTACAAGCGCAGCAGACACCCAGCATAAAAAAAAATATTATATTTTAATCCATTTACTAAATGAACTAAAAGTTTAATAAGCGGAAGCGTACAAATAGGTTTTAGAGGCAGAGCGACGAGTGGAAATTACACATTACCATGTGGAGCACTTTGAGATCCTCTTGTTTGAAAGTGAGACGCTATTGAAGATGTAGGCAATGTAGCTGATGTTTCGTCTGTGTAATGATGAACTCTGAAAATACTTATTCTGGACTAACGCTGCCAAGCCAGGGACAAAGACAAAGATCCCCATTGAAGCATTAACAAACTTGAGGGGCAAGTGCTGTAAGTGAGCACCTATGAAGACCGGCACGGCACACGAGATGGTGGGTGGCCAGCACCACGCCCTACCACCTTTGTCTCCTCAGCGATGATGTTTATACACACCAGGAACTCATTTGAGGTTGAGTCGACTTCTGCAAGGCCCATGACCGGTTCAAACGCTCATCGCCGATGTTGGCCGCGAGTGGAAATCGAACTCAGGTCGCCGAGTACGCTAACCACTGCGCCACCACCCCTCACACGCACGCACACACACAATGGGTAACCGCGCAGCGTGTCTCCCGTGCGTCGCCCCGTGCGACGTGCGGATTCCCGCGTGGCCGTGGCGGCGCCGGCGCTCACTCACCCGTGCGGACCCGGGCGAACGCCAGTCGGAACGTCTGATCCGAGCAGTCGCCCGCCGAGCCCAGGCAGGGGCTGCTCACCGTCAGCTCCTGCACCTCGGCGGACGGCACGCCGGCCCGCCAGCCCACCAGGCTCACCACCTGCACGCGGCGCACAACAACGTAGCTCCGCCTCATTCCTTCCCGTCACGTAACTCCCCACTAGGGCAGCCACCTGTCCGAGTGTGTGTGTGGATGTGTGTGGATGTGTGGGGAGCGGTAGTGTGGCGATTAGCGCGATGCGCTACGAACCCGGCGACCCGAGTTCGATTCCTGCTCACGGCCACCGACACCGGTGACGGTTATCTGAACTGGTCCTGGGCCTCTCCTCGGTCGACTCAGCGTCAAATGAGTACCTGGTCAGGTCTGTAAATCTTGCCACTTGGGAGACAAAGGCGGGCGGATGTGGTGCTGGCCACCCACCTCCTCGTGTGCCGTGCCAGCCTTCATAGGTGCACACTAACAGCACTTGCCGCTACAGTCTGTCAAGGCTCTGTCTTGTGCCAGTCATTTCCTTCAGTCAACCCATGGCACCTCGGTCTTTCCCGTGATCTCCTGCCAGCAGCGAGACTTCCACACTTCACGTGATGGCCTCAAGGTGCACCTAACCTGGCACGAGCGCTGTGGTGACGTTACCGCCACTCGGTGGCGAACGGCGGCTATCGTTGTTGTCGTTGCGTAGTGTCGTGGTTAAATGAGCACCTGTTGCAGTGTGCAAATATCAACACCGGGGAGACAAAGGTAGCTGGACGTGGTGTTGGCCCCCCACCGCCTCGTGGACCATGCCGGCCTTCACATCGGTGCTCGCTAGCGGCACTTGCCCCAAGAGCGAGTTAAAGGCTATACGGGGGATGTTTGTCTTTCAAGTTCCATTTATTAGGTATAGCCCTGTGAGCCATGCGGCTCTTGAGTCGGGTGCAACCGCAACAAACTAAATATGAACAGAGAAACATCTTAAAGCGACGACGCGCAACAGAAGCATCCTGGATAAACCAGCAAATATTCCAGAAAAAAAACACCGCATTACAACGCTGTGTGCAAAAATACCAGTGTGATGCAGGGCAAACAATAACAACCATAGGGCAATTTAGATTAAAGTTATCAGGCCAACTCCGCTTTGTGGGACACACCTGTATCTCGGGCTGCACCACGGAGGATGTTCGCAGCAGCTGGATGTGGTTGATGGCGCTGGCGGTTTGTTGCTCCGTGTAGATGGTCTTCTCGCGGAACGTCGCCACCTCCACCACCGCCAAGCCGTTGAACTGTTGGAAGTCCAGCTCCAAGTAGCAGCTGCGCTCACGTGGATGGAAAGCGGAGCGCCGCTATGCATACATGACACTGCTCGAGGGGCTCAAGTATGTATATTGAACTTCTTCTTTCGCACCGTAAGTAACCAACCGTGCTAATCGGAGGTGCAAGGGAAGGACAACAAACTAAACACAAAAAGCTGTTTTCAAGAAATAAGTTTGTCAATCTAGATTTAAAAGTGCAAAGCTCCAGTGGCCTCCTAATATCAGAAGAGCATTCTCGATGCCCGCAGATGAGCATCTGAAAGCGCATGATGCGGTGACTGTGTTTGTTCGATGGATGACCAGAGTTCACGTGATGGTTTATGTTTCATGACGTCTCGTCGTCCGTCACAGAAACGGACGAATCAACGACTCTCTGGACAGCGCAGCACGACAAGCAATGTTAGAGGCCATTGTGTGGCAGCCCCTGCCTCCCAGTTGCCGGTGATGAAGCGCCACGCCGCAGACCCCCCCCGCGGTTAGGGTGGTCCGCCGAAGAATACGCCCACCTCAGACAACGATGCCGATTTTTGCAGAGGGCATTCACGGCTATTAAGCCGGAGCGTCGGGGCGACGGCGCTGTGCGGCGTCCACCCCGTGCATAACTGTCGAAAGGCACCTCAACGTGCACCGCTCGCCGCTCGTGTGGGAATCGAACCCAGGTTGTCGGAAAAAGGCCGCTCACCCGCGCGGGCGCGTAGGCTCACGCGTGCGTGTACCGGTGAGCAGCGAGCATACTCACGGCTGGCCGGCCACGAGCTGAACGGGGGGTGACCTCTGGGACGCGTCTTTAAAGTAGCTGTGGGTCACCCTGTTGCTGTAGGCAACCTTCACCTGCGGCGGGGGTGACGCACCGGGAAGAACGCGTGAGCGGGGCGGCGAGAGGAGCGGGCGCGCGGCCACCGTCGCTCTCCAGCAAACGGCGCCTCCCCGACCGCGGCGACGCGAGCCGGGGGTGGCGGCGCCAACACGCAGGACGCGTGGCGACGTGAACGCGACGCGTCTGCGATGGGAGCGCGTGTGTCACGATGTCGTCTCTTATCGGTCACCGTCCTCGGGGTCGCTCGCAATCACAATCAGGTGTGTGCCGTACGATTGATTGACCCTCAGTTATTAAATACGGAACGCCTTTGTCGAATTAAAGGAGTGTTCAAAAGAAGGTATATTGTTTAAAAACGTAATTGTTTTATTTGCCAGGTTAAGTCCACTGAGCTGTTAGCTCTGTTTGGGAGCTGACCTGGCCACACATGATAGCTCATTGCAGTGGCTTTATCACTACATGCAGGGATTTATAGCAACAGCCAAATCATCGAAATGCATGTTTCTAATGTGGAGGGCAAAACCAGAGGACCCCTAGAAAAATACACGTGACCACAGGGAGAGAGAAGATGCACACTCCAAATATACAAGCGTCAGGGTCGGGATCAGACCGGCGACCTCCTGCGTATCAGGCGACGGTTATGATATCTCCCTACCGCCTAATGTATTGCACTATTTTCCGTGTGGATCATTAAATAGTATGTTAGGATCATAAAATAAATACTCTATTGGAAGTGTCCAGTACCAAGTGCGATTCTGTGCCATATCAATTATCAAAGAACACGCAATTAAAGGCAATACTCTGTGACCATGCCACCAGCAGGCTGCCATGATGGTCCACAGGCCACACAAATGCCAGCTTGTCCTTGCTGTGCCTGGCGCGTTCTCTTGAAGCTGACGCACTCTCTGCCCACCATAAAAGCCTCCTAATCGCTGCCACTGGCTTTTTAAAAACAACATTTTAATCTGTATGATAGTGTGCTGTTTTTGAGTTGTACACCTTTTGGCGTCTTCTGGTCCAACACCAGTGGAGACTAGGCTCTAAAGAAAGCCGTCTCGGGTGTGGACCAATCAAATTCAAGGACAGTGCATATTATTATCAGAGTTGTCTTTTTGTTTGCATTTTGACTGCTTGTGTTGTGGTTATTGCAGACATGATGCCTTGACTAAAGGTGTCAGTTTTTTGTGCCAGTTAAAAGGGTAAAACCTATTACTATTACTGTATAACTGTGTCATATACACTATAGAGCACCAAGGTGGTGAAATGTTAATGACCTCACCTGGTATACAGGAGGTCGTGGGGTCGATCCCGACCTCACACCTGTTGTATATTCGAAGTTTGCATATCCTCCCCTGTGGTTGCGTGCATTTTTTCTCCGAGTCCTCCGGTTTTTCCCTCCACATTTAGAATCATTGTCACGCGTTTAAGAGCATTTTGCTGCTCTAAATTTCAACGTGATAAGCTATCCTTCTGCGATAACCAGGTCACTTCTGAAGAAGAGCTATATAGCTCAGTGGGCCTTCCCTGGTTTAGTTTATAGTTTACATAACTCAATTCCCAGAGCTGGCGGTGTGCTTAGCATTGCGCGTGCCTTGTCTGCCGGATCGCCGGATGGGCTGAGGAACAGCGCGCATTTGTCGTCCCCGCGCACGTAGAACTCGTAGCTGCCATTCTCGGGCGGCACGAAGAAGCCGGAGAAGCGCGCCGTGAAGTAGTTCCAGCCGGTGGCCCAGCGCTTCCACGTGGCGTCCACGGTGTCGAGCGCGTACCCCGGCGAGCTTGCGTTGAGCAGCGCGATCTTCTCGAAGCTCTGCGGTTGTGAACCGTTCCAGATCTCCAGGCGCAGCCCTCGCCCGCCTGCGTCGTCGCGCACAAGAGACACGGGGACGGTCGATCGTCGGCCGCCACGGTTTTAATGAGGAGCGGGTGATAATTCCTCAGGGGGAAGGAAACCATAAAACTAAAAACTTGTTTTTATTTTACCACGTCCAAGTCCCGCCGAGCTGTGTGGCTCTTTTTCAGAAGCGACACGGCCACAAATTATAGCTCAACAAAGCGGCTCATCGCGTGGAAATGTATCGTGGATAAATACTCCGAACACACAATGATTCTAAATGTGGAGGGAAAAAACAGGGGACTCGGATAAAAATTCACGCAACGACGGGGAGAGAGGCATGCAAACTTCAAATATACAGCAGGCGTTGGGGTCGGGATCAAACGCACGAACTCCTGCATACCAGGCGAGGTAGTTAAGGAGGCGAATAGTAGTTTGCTTTGTTTTGTAACTTGAGTACTCCGCGCACGGCGAGGCTCACGGTTATGTTGTGCGAAGCATTCGGCAGCCCTCACGACGTTTGGGGCTGTGGCCGAACTTGGCGACGGGAAAAACCGCGACGAATAAGGAGACAAGCCACGGTGAGAACGGACGCCTCCGGAAACTGAACCGTGCTCCATCACAAAAACACGTTGCCTTATCATAAAACTAGCATCAATAACTTGTTCTTGACAAACTCCGAATTAGATTGTATTACGTGTCAGCTTTATTTACTTTGCTAGGTAAGAGCCGAGTGAGGCGGCGTTGGGCTGTGTGTTACCTGTGCGGCGAGTTGTGGTGTTAACTGCGTGTGTGTGCGTTAGCGCGTGTGGCGGAGGGTCGTGAAGGACGCTACTACTGGGCAGTTGGAGGCAGTCGCCCTCCAGCAACAACAAAGGGCAGAGGAGCGATGCTCGCAACAATGAGCGGAGCCTAAAACACAGCAAGTTGGCACAGTAGAGGGCACAGGTGGTGCATCTGCCGGTCATCTCAGTCAGTCAACCCATGGCACCTGGGTCTGTCACGTGACCTCCTGCCAGCAGGTCTTCAACACGTCACATGGCCTTGAAGTGCACATAGCCTGGCACAAGCGCTGTGGTGACGCCACCGCTACTTTGTGGCGAATGCCAGTTGTTGTTGCTCTGTGTGGGTAGTGGTAGTGTAGTGGTTAGCACTGCACTGCGCTCCAAACATCGCGACCCAAGTTCGATTCCTGCTCACGCCCAACATCAGTGATGAATATCTAAATCGGTGAACCTCCCAGGGTCGACTCAGCCTTAAATGAGTACCTGGTGCATTGAGTCAACACCCAACACCCCGAGCTCTGTGTTGGCCTTCACAGCACTTTCACCAGCCGTCTGTCAAGGCTATATGGGGATATTTGTCGTTGTTTGGTGTTACCTGTATAGAAGGTCGCGTTGGAGGGCACGAAGCGTTGTGTCCGACATGTGATCTGTGTGTCCGTAACAGCCGTCACCAGACACTTGCGCCCTGCACACGACATGGAAAGAAAATGAATAAACTCCAGGAGGCCACAGCTAACGTCACGACAAGGAATCCCGACCTGGGGATCCTGCGCTCGGTTATTTTGGCGCAGCTAGGCTTGCTATAGGCACCAGGAAGCTAGTGGCAAGGTGTGAGCGCCCACTTCTCAGGGAGGAGTTTGATAAGTCCACACAGAGTGACACACCAAGGGGGAGTGGCACCACCACCCTACTGCCCCAGAGAAGACTCCGCTGATCCAAGCTCCACATATGGCACCAAGTCACCATTGTTTCGGCTGGGGTTGTCGCCTGTCTGGGTTTCATCTGGACATGTCAGGAATTGACACGGTCTGTGTCCGGGTGGCAAGAACTGGTTTGTGCCGTGATCCGGTAGCGGCATTGCTGTGGTGAACTTTACCACAGGAGACTGCAGAGTGTTCAATGTAGACCTAGGCCGACTGAAAACTGTGTCCGGGTTGTTCTGTGGAGAAGGTGGTCACTCTCGATCTAGCTCAGGCTTCGTGATGGGCACCTTAGAGGAGCTGAGCTCCACGGGGAAGATGCCACTTGAGTGACCGTGCACCACAACATGGAATTCCGTGTTGTTGGACATTGCAACACAGTGGGGGGGGGGGTGTTTGTGGCAAAAAAAACACCATGACAATGGGAGCTTAAGCAACCATTGCTACCTTCCAATTTAGAGGAAAAGTGCGGTCAAACTTAGAAACTGCCTTTGCATCCAATGAGTACACAATTCATCTGCTTCGTGTGACGGCACCGGGCCACAGGTCAATCCGCACGGACGGCCTGGGGTCCGCTGCATTGACACGGGGATGACCCCCGCATTACGGCCTCAACCAGAACTCGTCGACAGCAGCGGGTATGGAGAGATTGGCGGCTCGATGGGTCCAGGACAGGAGCGGCTCAGTGAGGGCCGGAACAACACCCTACCTCCGACGAGGACGCGGACAGGAGCGTCCGTCTGGTCAAAGAATCGCCCGGTGACCGTGAGCAGAGTTCCGCCCTCCAGGCTCCCCGCCGCCGGAGACACGGCAGCCACCTCTACCGGGACACACGAGGCTCGGGGTGGAACACTGGACGCGGCACAGCGGGTGCGGCACAATTGGCGCCCCGCACGTCAATTCTAGTCAAGGCGCATCCGCCAACTAGTGAAATCATACCCATGCATCGGTCACGACTGCTGCACTCCCCTTCTAAGACAGCAAAGGCATCTTCGAGCAACTAATTATCATGCATCTGATTATGACATCTAATTATCATTTAATTATCACCAATTTAATGATTACGCATCTAATTTCACACATATAATTATCGGGCTTATAATTATCAGGCATCAAATCATCTAATTATTACGCATCTAATGATCATATAATCGTCACAGATCCAGTTATCACAGATATAATTATCGCACGTATAATTTATTGCACAGGTTTGAGTTTGAGCTGGAGTATGCAGTCAAAGTACTTTGCGACATGATTGGCGATACTTTACTCTCGCGTGCAGCCACAGTGCTGCCCAATGGCGAGGTGCAGGCGACCCAACCCCACGCCGATCCCCTGCAGTGCGATCACCACGCGCCCTTCGCTCACGCAAAGAGCCACACTCACCCGCGTATGACTGGAACATTGACAGCTTATTAAGGGCCGACACAAGGAACGTGCTTTTGTCCGGCAAGGATCTGCGTACACGCACACGCGCACACAAAGATCCCCCGTGTAGCCTTTAACAGACTGCTGGTGCAAGTGCTGTTACTGTAGCAAGCACCTATAAAGGCGGAACAATATACAGGGGGTGGGTGGCCAGGGCCGCGCCTGGCCGCCTTTGTCACCCCAATGCTGACGTTTACACGCTGTACCAGGTACTCATTCAAGGCTGAGTCATCCTAGGGGAGGCCCCAGCACTGGTTCAGATATTCATCACCGATGTTGGCTGTGAGCAGGAATCGAACTCACGTTAACAAAGTTTGTGGCGCAGTGTGCAAACCACTACACTGCCGCTCCCCACACACATGCACACAGCCACACAAAGATACACGCTCGTGCTCCAATGCACATACCCTCCAGCACGCGATATTGTGTACGTACGCGTATACGCACATAACACCGCGAAGCTAAGGTGCTACGACCATCAATGATTTGGTTGGAAAATCAAAAGTAGTTTTACCTTCCAAAGTCATCACTGAGAATGAAGCTCACGTTCAAGTGCCCTAGAAAAAGACAACCCAAACGCTCCGGTTAGCACCACGGCCAAGCGTCCAGGACACGTTCCAACTTCTCCGTTGCCGTGGGCAAGGCAACAATTCCGTTACACTTTTATTAAAATTCATGTACCAGGGAAGAAAAAATATTTTAAAAATACGGTCACGGTGGGCGGCAGTGAAGGAGGAATCTATTCTGGTGTGGTTCGACAGACACTTGATTAAAATTTGAGATTTTTTGTGATGACTGTGACCTCCGGGACAAAATCACAGCCTTACAAATGTGCAATATAATATTTTACATTATTACACCAGTGCCAAGAAAAAGTTTGTGAACCACAATGGTGATTATGGAAATATATGAATAAAAACCGGTATTTTCCTAAATATCCAATAAGGTTTATATTAAGCAATTCCACGTATTTTTTTTTAACAAAACGATGTATCAATTAAACAAACAATGAGTTGAGAATAGGTTTTCCCCTTTTTTCTGGCAAAAACAGCAAACTGAAACCTTTTACAAGGAATCATGTCTGCATTAACCACGGTTAATGTAAAAGGTTTCAGTTTGGTGTTTTAACATATTAACACCTGTTTGTTGCCAGAAAAAAGGGGAAAACCTATTCTCATATTTTGGTACTGGCAAAGGAGGTCCCAAGATGAAACAATGAATTCTTAAGGTTCAGGGTATGTGCAAAAGTAAGTGAACCCCTGATTTCATTATCTCAATGAAAGCAATGATTATAATCAGGTGTTTAAATAATTATGTATATCTTCAGGGGTGAGTTTGAGAGGCCCCACCCTATACAAAGATCAGAAACTTTGTCAGTTTAGTCTTCACCATACAGGTGTGTAGAAACTAGTCATGCCACGATCAAAACACATCTCTGAAGACCTCAGAAAAAGAGTTATTGATGCTCATCAGCCTGGAAAGGGTTACAAAACCACTTCTAAGGATTTGGGGCTCCAACGATCTACTGTTAGACAGACAGTCTACAAATGGAGAAAGTTCAAGACCAGTCACTCTACCCAGGAGCAGTCGTCCTTCCAAAGTCTCTCCAAGAACAACCGTAAAATGATCAAGGATGTCACAAAGAACCCCAGAGAAACATCCAAGGATCTGCAGGCCACTCTCGCCGTGGCTAATGTGAGTGTTCATGGCTCAACTATCAGAAAAAGACTGAACACGAATGGGTGTTCATGAAAGGATAGCAAGGAAAAAACTACTGCTCCCTAAAAATAACATTGCTGCCTGTCTGAAGTTCATCGAAGAGCACAGTGTTGATACACAAGACTTCTGGAATTCATAATAAAGGTTTTTGGGTTAGATCGCGTTATTTATAAATGTGTCGTAACCCTCCACCACCCGACACGGCCAATCAGCAAAAAAAAGTGTCATGTTGACAAAAGACAAATAGTTCACTACTTTAGCCCACCGGTGTGTTGAAGAGTGAATCCACAACATTTACAGTTTGAGTACGACGTTTCGCTGGTAATTACATCCAGCATCATCGGGCAATTCGCCAGAATGGTAAAGCTCTCACTTGCTCCCGGTCTTAAATAGAGCAGCAGGGTGACGTCATCATTTAACTCACTTCAGGTGCAGTGATTTGTCTTTTGTCAACGTGACACTTTTTTTTGCTGATTGGCCGTGTCGGGTGGTGGAGGGTTACGACACATTTATAAATAACGCGATCTAACCCAAAAACCTTTATTATGAATAATATTGGTCGCGAAAGCCTACGTGTTAAACTGACTTCTGGAACAATGCTCTCTGGACAGATGAGTAAAAGGTAGAATGTTTTGGCCTCAGTGAGAAACGTTATCTTTGGCGAAAACCAAACACCGCTCTCGAATAGAAGAACCTCATCCCAACCGTCAAGCGTGGTAGTGGGAATGTGATGGTTTGGGGCTGCTCTTGCTGCATTAGGACCTGGACGGCTTGCCATTATCGACACAACCATGAATTCTGCATTGTATCAGAAGTTTCAAGAGGAGAATGTCAGGCCATCCGTCCGTGAGCTGAAGCTGAACCGAAAGTGGGTCTTGCAGCAGGACAATGATCCTAAACATACAAGCAAATCTACAAAAGAATGGCTGCAAAAGAATAAATTACGTGTGTTACAATGGCCTAGTCAAAGTCCAGACATAAACCCCATCGAAATGTTGTGGCAGGACCTGAAGCGTGCTGTCCATGCAAGGCAACCCTCAAAATGTCACCGAGTTTAAGGAGTTCTGTAAGGAGGAATTGACCAATATTCCTCAAATCCGATGCGAGACATTGACCAACGGTTACAGGAAGTGCTTAGTTGCAGTCATTGCTACTCAAGGGGGCATCACCAGTTACTGAGTGTAAAAGTTCTCATACTTTTTCACACGTGGTGATTGAATGTAGAATCATTTAAGGATGAACAAATGTTGAAAGTGTATCACCTTTTCGTGTAATTTGTTTCATCAGGTTATCTGTATGTATTATTAGGACTTAGAAAAAAACTTGATTTGGAGCTTTCATGACTGCAGGAATTAATCTTTGGTTCTTTAGGTAAAGTCACGTTATTATTTCATTTATTATTTTCTTTCTACGTGACTTTACCGAAAGAACCAAAGATTATTAGTACTTAGATTAAGAACTAATAACATTTTAGAATTGAAATATGTAAAATATGTGAAAATCCTAAGGGGTTCACAAACAATTCCTCGGCGCGTAGTGATACAGGGCGTTCTGTGTGTACTGTGTGCACTGTGTGTTGTGTGTACTGTGCGTACTGTGTGTACTGTGCGTACTGTGTGTACTGTGTGTTGTGTGTACTGTGTACTGTGTGTACTGTGTGCACTGTGTGTACTGTGCGTACTGTGCGTACTGTGTGCACTGTGTGTACTGTCCGTACTGTGTGTACTGTGCGTACTGTGTGCACTGTGTGTACTGTGTGTTGTGTGTACTGTGTGTACTGTGCGCACTGTGTGCACTGTGTGTACTGTGTGCACTGTGCGCACTGTGTGTACTGTGTGTACTGCAATGGGACTTGTTGCACTGTGTGTACTGTGTGTACTGTGCGTTGTGTGCACTGTGTGTACTGTGCGCACTGTGTGTACTGTGCGCACTGTGTGCACTGTGCGCACTGTGTGCACTGTGTGTTGTGTGTACTGTGTGTTGTGTGTACTGTGTGTTGTGTGTACTGTGTGCACTGTGTGTTGTGTGTACTGTGTGTACTGTGCGTACTGTGTGATCTGTGCGTTCTGTGTGTACTGTGTGTTGTGTGTACTGTGTGTTGTGTGTACTGTGTGCACTGTGTGTACTGTGTGCACTGCAATGGGACTTGTTGCACTGTGTGTACTGTGTGTACTGCAATGGGACTTGTTGCACTGTGTGCACTGTGTGTACTGTGTGTACTGCAATGGGACTTGTTGCCCTGTGTGTACTGTGCGTACTGTGTGTACTGCAATGAGACTTGTTGAACTGTGTGTACTGTGCGTACTGTGTGTACTGCAATGGGACTTGTTGCACTGTGTGTACTGTGCGTACTGTGTGTACTGCAATGGGACTTGTTGTACTTGCCAATGTAGGTGCTGGTGATATTGCAGGACAAGTAACCCTTGTCGCTTTTTTCATTGTCCAGCTCCAGGCGGTACCTGTGCACATCACACAGCGCATCAGGTGTGCATCACGTGGTACACCATACGGTAACAACACGCGGCGCATCAGGTGGTGCATCACGTGGTATACCATACGGTAACAACACGCGGCGCATCAGGTGGTGCATCACGTGGTACACCATACGGTAACAACACACAGCTCATCAGGTGGTGCATCACGTGGTACACCATACGGTAACAACACGCGGCGCATCAGGTGGTGCATCACGTGGTATACCATACGGTAACAACACGCGGCGCATCAGGTGGTGAATCACGTGGTACACCATACGGTAACAACACGCGGCGCATCAGGTGGTGCATCACGTGGTATACCATACGGTAACAACACGCGGCGCATCAGGTGGTGAATCACGTGGTACACCATACGGTAACAACACACAGCTCATCAGGTGGTGCATCACGTGGTACACCATACGGTAACAACACACAGCTCATCAGGTGGTGCATCACGTGGTACACCATACGGTAACAACACACAACGCATCGCACAGCACAAACCGTTACTGTCCTGTGCGTCGTGCACAGCAATACCAGGCACGCGGAGCAACATCATGCACCACAGCAAGCATGAGAGACTCGCCACGGTGTCTAGGAGATGTTAACTACCTCGCCTGGTATGCAGGAGGTCGTGGGTTCCATCTCAACCCTGACGCCTGCTGCTGTGTATTTGGAGTTTGCGTGCCTCTCTCCTCGTGGTCACGTGGATTTTTCTCCGGGTCCTTCGGTTTTTCACTCCACATTTAGAATCAACGTGCGTTTAGAGTGTTTGGCTGCTATAAATGTCCACGTGATAAGCCACTTCCTTGAGCTATCGTGTATGGCCAGGTCGCATCTAAAAAAGAGCTATGTAGCTCAGCGGGGCGTTACATGGTAAAATAAAAAATAGTTCAGTAATAGTAGTAGACTCACTGCCTGACGACAACACCAGCGAACGGCGGGCAACCACAGCAAATGCCAGCGCACTTAGTGGCACTGCCTATGGCCGTAACCGAATTAAGTGACAGCAATCTGAACAAGTGGATGCAAGTGGGGGTTCTCTCATCACCACGTTCTTGAGTGATATCAAGCATGGAGCCACATGTAAAAAAAGGCCACGATAGCCAATGTCTGTGAAAAAGAGCCTTATAGCTCATTCCATTCCTCCAGTATAAACACATTCTCCTGCGGAGGGAGCTGGTAGGAACGTTGGGTTGCTCGGTCAATGGCCATGGTCAACGGCGGCACCACGTGGTGGTGTGTTCCGCACAATATGCCCGACTGTGAGGGCGGGCACAAGCCGGCGTGAGTAGGTTAACCGTTGAGTTTTTTAAGGGCACCACGGGGTGACCAGCCCCTCCCCACCTTAGCCCCACCCTCCCCACCCAGCCCCACCCCTCCCACCCCCACCAAGCCCCTCCCTCCCCACCCAGCCCCACCCCTCCCAACCCCCACCCAGCCCCACCCTCCCCACCCAGCCCCACCCCTCCCACCCCCCACCCAGCCCCTCCCTCCCCACCCAGCCCCACCCCTCCCACCCCCCACCCAGCCCCTCCCTCCCCACCCAGCCCCTCCCTCCCCACCCAGCCTCTCCCAACCCTCCCCTCCGCACCCAGCCCCTCCCCTCCCCACCCAGCCCCTCCCCACCCAGCCCCTCCCCACCCAGCCCCTCTCCACCCAGCCCCACCTCTCCAATCTTTGTATGCACGACGGACGGACGGACACAATAATCCCCTGTGGGCTGCTGGTGTAGTAACCAGGAGGTTCCTACCAGTAATAAATATTATCATTATTCCGAGAGAGAAAGCAGCACAGTGAGACTGCGGACGGCTTCTCTGCACGTGTCACGCAAGGGAGTCCCTCCCGTGAGCGACTACCAGGGTGAAACAGCATGTCCTGAAACATTTCACAAGCCAGGAGGAAACAGGGATTGTGGCAGCATTACGATTCTCATCAGCCGGATATCCCAGCAATCTGCTAAAAGCCTTGATGTTTACGTATGATAAATGATAACGATGCAGCTTGACATTGCAATTACACGGGAACAGCACCAGCTTGGTGAGCAGAGCATCATTAGTCAAAGTGGTTAAATTAAACCACACCAATGATTATTTTGTTTTGCGAATTACAGAGATTTGCGTCAAACTATACATCTGGCAGTGCATCAGCAGCTGTTCAAGGGAGCCCAGACTCTTGCTGACGAGCAAACCGGTCCAGGGTTATCCTGATGGGATGTCTGAAAAGCACTGAAGGCAAAATTTTTAATGAAGGTGACGGATACGGGGAAGGAGGCGAACTGTCCGCTGATTGAATGTGCGTGTTGAGCATTTGCATTTCGAGCGAGCGACGTGATTCGACGGCACATCCGAGGAGGCGGTCTCCCACGTGCACACAAACAACCGTGGCGCACACTCGAGACTCGGGACATCCGCGCGCCGTCATCGCGCAAGAACCTGCTACCCCCGCTCAAGATTCACTTGAGAGGTTGCGACACAAGCGCGGTGGTCGCGGTGCCGCGTCGCAGATATGTCGCTCAGGCAAGAAGTTGCAGGTTGCGCCGTCAGCCCCCGCCGGGCCGAGTGGAAGTGGGGTGCGCACTAGGGAGCTCACCGCAGCGGCACACGGCGACGTCTTGAGAAATATTATGCGAGTCACTGGCCCGCCGATGTATATTTAGGTTCGTCACGATTAACTTCTCTGGGTAAACACAAACGCTTGTCCCCCCGGCGCACGGGGGGCACCTCTCTCTCCATGCGCCCTTCGCTGTGCTTTTGTCTCAGGCACGCGGCCAGGTGCAACGCGGCGTACCCGATGGGTTTGCAGGAAATAATCACGTAAACTACATGCCCTTTGGTTGTTTCGGTAAAGTCACGTAGGTAAAAATAAAAAAATATATAAAGTTAATCAAAGCACGACGTTTCGGAGGCAACACAAGCTTCCGTCATCAGGTGTAACTAGCACAGCGAAATTACTGTAAAGAAAGCTATTTTGTAAGAAGAGAAATAGCTCTCATTACAGTCATTTTGCTGTGCTAGTTACACCTGATGACGGAGGCTTATGTTGCCTCCGAAACGTCGTGATTTGATTAACTTCATTTTTTTTATTTTTACCCACGTGACTTTACCGAAATAACCAAAGAGTATGGATCACTGCAGTCACGAAAACTTTAAATAATGGAAACTACATGCCCTGACAATGCATCCCACGTGATATTATCAATGTATTGTTTAGTCCTCATCACATTATTTTAAAATTAAATTACATTTTACAGATTTTATTCCGAAACGTATTCATAATGAAAGGCATTACATTGCAAGTGACTGAGTGCTTTACCTTTGAAAATCATAATTTCCTGAATCGGAAGGGATATTTTTGGGGACAGGATACAGTGTTGGTGAAAGTTCCAACATGAATTGCAATACCGTAGGGGTAAACCAGCCCGTCTGTTATCCGTGGATACACAATGAGGCTCCACGCAGGCGTGCTGCAGTGACTATGGTGGGGATGTCGTGCACCAACGTTACAACACTCTCACGCGCGTCGACTTCGCAAGCAGAGGAAAGCCGGTGTCAGTTGAGGATATAGCAAGAAATAAGTTGACGCTCATGTTATGCAACCACGGGCGAGAGCTCAAGAGAGCAGGATAGGCATCTCATTTGCAAGAGTGACCCTGGGTCACCACAATGACAAAATACAAAAATATATATCTACATCGGTCAAGAAATTAGAAATCGGAACGAAAACAACCAGAAGTGCACAGGAGGATTGCGGCGCTGTCCGTGATTACATTTTTTTTCGGTACAATTCCCCGCGTAGCATGAACTCGTGATTTCCAGCAAAATGACAGCGAGCTTCACGTCGCACGTATGACACAGAAGGCAGCAGGGCTTTCGAGAGAACAATAATCTCACAGCTGTTGTTGCCAGTGTGTGTGCGTGTGTGGATACAGGCAGAATGCTTCTGCTGTCCGTGCTGTCTTTCACGAGAGAACGCAAGTGGAGATGTTGTGACTAAATGAACACCGAGACGTGTGCGCATGTAACTCAAACTAAACAAAAAAAACTAAACTCTTTTTCATTCTACCAGGTAAGGCCCACTAAGCTATTAAGCTCTTTTTCAGAAGCAACCTGGCCACAAATAATATGTCAACAAAGTGGCTCATCGTATGGATATTTAAAGCAGCCAAATACTCCCAACGAATGTTTGTAAATGTGGAGGGAAAAACCGGAGGACCAAGATACAAATCCATACGACCACGGTGAGAGAGACATGCAAACTCCCAATATAGAGGCGTTAAGATCGGGATTGAAACCCACGACCTCCTTGTATGCCAGGCGAGGTAGATAACATCTCGCCAACATGGCGCCCTGCCACGGCCGTGCACATGGATCGCACGCCACGCGGCTCAGCGGCAGTGCGAGTGGCTCGCAAAGCAAAAAGCCGCAAGTTCAAATCCCCGTCGAGGGGCTGACTCATCATCCCTGCGGGGCCGATACAACAACAAAAAAGGTTACAACTTTGCGTGGAAATCAACAGCGTTTGGTGCCATGGAGAGCCTCGCCTGCACCCATGGGAAGAACAGAAGGTGAGCACCAAATGCCTCTGTGCGCATTCGAAGGAGCAGGAGATGGCTCAGAATGAGCGTGAGGTATCCGCGCAGTGAGTGTTGCGCTCCACCGCCCCCCGTCTACCCACCCCGGTGCTGGAAAGCGGTGAACACGTGTCCGTGAAAATTATGATCACGTGAAGTATAAGTGTCGTGCCAAAGTAAGGGTAGCATGGGCGTGCACTTGCCCTTCATAAGGAGTTGCGGAAGAGAAATCGAGAGAAATGGCAGTGATTCCAATTCCAATGCTGGACCCCATGCTTAAACCCACACTTAAAGCAACGCAACGATTAACGTACAGCGATTACGGAATCCACGCTCTCCATCGGTTGGTCATTGTTGTGACATTGCTTCTTCCCGTTGGGTATATTAGGCTCGTGCGTGCATAATCCCTCCGTTAGAAACTGTGCATCGCAGACATTCATTCTGTCGCACACCGCACCGCCAGCTCGCCGTGCCCATGCAGCATCGCGTGCGGTGGGCGCGAGCTCAGGAGCAGGTGTCGAGGACAATTGTGGGATTTGCCACGGAGCAATTAGGCTGATAGAAAAATTTAAATCGGACTGGTACAATGAATTCATTATTTTACGTTTAGTGACTTGCTTACCATTTTCACTATTTTGCACTCCTATCGTGTTTTGTTGTATTGTTTGTTGCTGTAACTTTCTGGGCCCCGTGCTCATGCTGGACATCTGCAAAAAAGAGCTTCATAGCTCATCGGATTCCTCCTACAGTCTAAACAAAGATTGTCATTCTGACGCACGATGCAAGCGGGGTGTGGGGCCTTACTGCAGAAACAAACACGAAAACACACGCAGCGTGGACCGAGTAATCCCATGATACAGGTTTTTTTGGTGTAGATCGCGTAAATATATACGTGTCGTTAAACCTGCCACCACCCGACACAGCCAATTGGTAAGGTGTGTCATGTCAACAGAACGTGCCAATTCGTTACTGGTACAGCACACCGATGTGTTGGAGAGCAAAGTCCCAAAAAATATATTATAGATAATATTGGTCACGAAATGCTCCGTGTTAAATCAAAGCAATCCCAGCGGCTTGGAGTAGCAGCTGCTGAAGAGGAGTCACACGCATGCACAGATAGAGTCTCTGTGTACGTACAAGTGAAGTGCAGGCAATGGTGGAGTCACAGGGTCATAGGTGTGACGGGTGAAATGTGTGGTCGTAAGAGTAGTGAGGAGCGAGTGACCTTTGTCTTTAATGGGGAGCAGTGATGTCGTGGTTAGCGGGCTGCCCTACGAACCTGGCCACCCGAGTTCGATTCCCGCTCATGGCAAACATCCGTGATGATTATCTGGGGGATCTTTGCATTTGTCTCTGGAGTGAGTAGTAAGTGATGAGTAGTGAGGAGTAGTGGAGAGTGGGGGGTGAGGAGCATGCTCTCTGTACTCGGCGTGTGAGCGAACGAGCGAGTGAGTGCTGTGTGGCTCACTCACAGGGAGTCGGAGTTGGGCAGCAGCAGCTCGCAGGGCATGCCTCCCGCATATGCCCTGTGGGGCACACACACACACACAGAGTCCCCACAGCCCCGCTCACTCTCGCCGCACCATCATGAACGCAGCACCCACCAGGGAGTGAATTAGGTTCTGCCGTGGCTGCAGGAGATTTTATAACACAGCATTCGCTCGCTCTCGTAAAGAGAAGCAACCAGACAAATAGGAAGGCAGCCGGTGGAAACAATTGCCCAAGCTCTCTAGTCTTATATAGTAAAAGTGTTATCAACCAATAAATGAGTGTTTACATGTGGGAGAAAACCAGAGTACCCAGAGAAAGCCCACGCGTGCGAGGGGGAAACACTCTATCCCACACAGAAAGAACAGGTAGAGTCCACATTTTCGCTGTACTGCCTTCTGGCAAGCCAGGGGTACGAATCCTCCTCGATGACCACGGGAAGGGAGTTTCACAGCGACCCTCGCTGCCTCCGCAGTGCTGGATTACAGGCCAGATGCAAAGCCACCACCACCCGGCTAACACACACACATAAATGTGTGCAGCATTGTTGCGTAGAAAAGCTCTCCAGACTACCGTCACAAAAAAGACTGAATGTATGGCGCTAATGTCGTTTACGCCGCCATGTGTCTGTCCCAACGGGCAGCGGTGGGACAGAGACGCAACTATTTGACCAGCAGTGCAGAGCGAGGTGAACGCGAGATGGAGGAAGAGGAGCAGGTGGGCACCTCTGAACCCGAGTGGACTTCCCATTGGTGCTCAAGGCCACGTTGTTGCCGTACACGCTCGTGAACACGTTTCCTCGCAGCGTCACCACGGTGCCTGCTCACCACCGTCAACATAACCGTCGCCAACATCATCAACATCGTCACCGTCAGAATCACAATCATATACACGCGCCCTCTCACCATCAACCATGTTACTCGCTCACCACCATCAACATCTCCCCGGTGAAACTGAAGTTAAACTTATATTTAAATAAACGCCAATGCCACAAACAAATTCTTTGCAGATCGCTTCAGCTCATACGTCCACCGTGGATAACAAAGCAATTTAATTCAGATCGCGCTCAGACAAATGAGGGAACACTTTACATGAGAAACTGGAAAGTACCAAATAATGATGCGTCCGCTCGTCCCAAACAAATATAAACATTAAATACAGGAGACACATACTCTTTGGTTCTTTCGGTAAAGTCACGTAGGCGAAAAATTAAATAATAAATACATATAAAAATAATATAACTAAATAAATCACGACGTTTCGATTGCAACACAAGCAACCGTCATCAGGTGTGACAACCACAGCAAGGAATTTTTTTACTGAAGTGGGAGAGAGACCAGGGTTAGGGCAGTTAAATAAGTCAGAGAGAGGGGGAGGGTAGGGGGGGGGATGGTGCAAGGGGTGCGTAAACTGCAGGTATAATAGAGACGCTGGGAGTAAAAGGGCAACATCATTGTTGCCAAGATAGAGAGACCAGGGTTAGGGCAACAATCATGTTGCCCTTTTACTCCCAGCGTCTCTATTGTACTTGCAGTTTACACACCCCTCGAACCATTCACCCCCCTCCCCTCCCCCCCTCTCTGACTTATTTAACTGCCCTAACCCTGGTCTCTCTCCCACTTCAGTAAAAAAAATTGTCTTGCTGTGGTTGTCACACCTGATGACGGTTGCTTGTGTTGCAATCTAAACGTCGTGATTTATTTATTTCTATTTTTAATGTTTATGTTATTATTTATTTTTCCACCTACGTGACTTTACCGAAAGACCCAAACAGTATGGATCTTTGCAGTCACGAAAACTTCAAATCTAGAATACAGGAGACACACTCAGAAACACAGCGATTAGAACGCCAATAAAGCATGCTAGTGTAGACAAGTAGTGGAGGACGTCATGTCACTCAGGGGGGTGAGAATGGATGATGTTAGAGGTTACGGGGGATATAAGGGGGAACCCGTGACATAGAGGGGGTCGTCGCGAAGGGCCAGGAACGGAGAGAGTTAGGGAGTTAGGATCCAGGGTAGGGGGAATCAGCGCCAGGTTAGAGTGATACTTCACCCGGCCGACCGAGTTGGATGATCCCTCGGTCGGTGCTGGGGGAAGATCACGTCTAGCCTGGGTGGAGCTAGGGACCTCCCAGTACCCTTCCCCTGGGGAGATATTAGGGTTGTCACCTGTTAGGCGTAAGCCTTTAATAAGTTACTGGCAGCAGCCCTTAATAAGCCTTGGCATCCGCCCCTACTCAAGAACCGTATCAGCGTCGTCAGTTGCACCTCAACAACTGGTGCCAGAAGTGGTTTCATTACGCACCGCAATGTCTAAATCCGGCGCGAAACGAAAGTCTACGCCTGAGGTGCATCTGGGCGACAAGGACGTCGGCGAGGAAAAGCTGGCGATGATCCCAGAGACTGGGGCCATGGTGATGTTCCCCGCGGAGATGGTCCAGTCGGAGCCGGAGGAGGCGGCAGTCGGAGGAGCTGCCGCGCCGCCGTCGGACGAGTGGCGCGCCATCGTGGCCAGGCTGGAGACGCTGCAGCTCACGATGGCGCAGCTCGCCGTCGCGTTGGCAGAGGTGGGGGACCGCGTACACTCGGCGGGTGGTGATTTTCGCCGAAATTGCCGACATCGCAGCTCCAGCCGAAATTATGATTCCCGCCAACGCGCCGCCGGACGCGCCGCGGCAATCGGGCGCCATTTTTTATGCGCCGCCGGGTCCGGCCGCCATTGTTGGCGCGACGCCGGGACCAGCCACCATTGTTGCTGCAACGTGGGGACTGGCCGCCATGACACCTGTAATGGCCGCGCCCATGGGCGCTGCCGCTCCGGACGTCGCCGCCGGCATGAACGCGGGTGCGTTGCACGCCGCGATGGCAGCAGACATTATCTCTCCATCCACTAGCCCGTGGGGGGGGCCCCATTGTGCTAGTCAAGAAACGGGACGGGAGACTCTGTTTCTGCATTGACTTCCGTAAGTTAAACAAGATTTCGGTGGCCGATGCATATCCATTGCCTCGCATGGATGATTCCCTCAACACCCTCTCGGGTGCACGGTTCTTTTCGACCCTAGATTTGCTCTCGGGGTTTTGGCAGTTGCCACTCGATGAGGTCTCTAGGCCCAAGACTGCATTCCGCACACCCCAGGGGCTGTTCCAATTCAATCAGCTTCCCATGGGTCTCCATTCGGCCCCGGCCACTTTCCAGCGTCTCATGGAGATGGTTCTGGTGGGGCTGCAGTGGGAATCTTGCTTAATCTATTTGGACGACGTGATTGTTTTTGGATGTACGTTTGACGAGCACTTGCAACGTCTTGAGGCAGTGTTCGTCAACGTGCGAGCCGCGGGCTTGAAGTTCAAACCACAAAAATGCCACCTTTTGCAACCATCGGTGAAATATTTGGGACATATTGCGAGTGCGTCAGGTGTTGCCATGGATATGGAGAAGACAGCTTGTTTCCGGACGTGGCCGACTCCCACATCTGTAGCTGGGGTGCGTAGTTTCATTGGCTTCGCATCGTACTATCGTCGGTTTGTCCACGATTTTGTGACTATTGCGAAGCCACTGCACGCACTCTCGGCCAAAGGTACAAAATTTCGCTGGGGGGTGGAGGAGGAAAACGCCTTTGTGGCGCTTCACACGGCCCTGGCGGATGCGCCGCCCTTGGGGTATCCCGATTTCTCTAAACCCTTCCTCCTCGACACCGACGCCAGTGACACGGGCATTGGAGCTGTCTTGGCGCAGGTGATCGATGGGGTGGAACAGGTGGTGGCCTATGGCAGCCGCGTTTTGTCTCCCACTGAGCAGCGGTACTGCGTCACCAGGAGGGAGCTGCTGGTTATTGTTTTTTTTGTCCAGCTGTACCGGCCGTATTTGTATGGTCGCCGGTTCACCGTCCGGACTGACCATGCGGCCCTGCAGTATTCCCTGCGAATTGACCAACCCTCGGGTCAGCTGTCCCGCTGGCTCGAGGTGCTCCAGGAGTACCCCTTCGATGTCATCCGCAGGAAGGGGACTCGGCATGGGAATGCGGACGGCCTTTCCAGGCTGCCCCCGGACGGAGGGTGCATTTGTGCCCTGGATTCCAGCCGCTGTAAGGCCCCAGTGGACACCGCGGCCCAGTTGGTCGCATCGGCTGAAGCAGCACCCCCTCCAGGTGTGGCATCGCCTGTTGATTTCGGCCTGGGACTCCCCCGGGTGGTATGGTCTAAGTTGCAGATGAAGGATTCCTCTCTGCTGAGGCTGCGATGCCGTGTTGGGTCAAATGCCTGGAGCTCGGCTCTGTCGGCTGCCCCGGTGATCGCCGTACATCCTCCTCATGCGTTGGGATGCCCAGTTGGAACGCGTGTGGTGGTGCCTATTGGCTTACAGGGAAAATTGACCCGGGTCATTCATGAGAAACTTATGCACCTCGGCTACCATAAGACCTTGTTGACCCTTAAAGGGGATTACTATTGGCCGGGTGTGGAAGATGATGTGGCCCTGATTTTGAAAGGTTGCCACGACTGTGCGCGGAGGAAGGCCCCTGTTGGTCAGGATCGGGCCCCGCTGCAGTCCATCCGGGTTTCTCGTGTCAATGAGCTCGTGGCACTCGACATTCTGGAGCCATTCCCTGCATCCCAACGGAGCCATAGGTACCTCTTGGTGGGCGTGGAGTACCTCACACGTTGGCCTATGGCGTGGCCTTTGGTGGACCAATCGGCCACGTCCATCACTGAGGCGTTCGTTCAGGGGTACGTCTTTGACAAAGGGGCGCCAGAACAGCTCTTGACAGATCAAGGGCAGAATTTTTCTTCCTGTTTGCTCAAGGAGGTCTGTGACCTCCTTGGGATGAAGAAGGTCCACACCTCACCCTACCACCCCCAATCCGACAGGATGGTAGAGCGATTAAACCGCACGCTCAAGTCCATGCTGTGTCATCACGTGAGCACGTCCCAATCGGACTGGGACCTGTTCATCCCCAGGGTGCTGGCCGCGTACAGGTTGGCTCCTCATGCCTCCATGGGGTTCTCACCATTTTATCCTCACGTACGGGAGAGAACCCGAACCCCCGATGCACGTCCAACTGGACCTCGGGCCAGCCAAAAAGGGTTCGCCTGTTCCCGTCCAGATGAGGATCGCGCTCGATCGGCTGCGCGAGGCGCGGCAGGCGGCGTTAGGTAATTCGGCCAGCCGGCAGGCGGCCACCGAGCGTCTGCCCAAACACCAGGCTGTCGGCCGCCCGTGGGAAAAGGGCCAGTTGGCGTGGCTGCACTGCCCCCAAGTGCCGGTGGGTACGTCTCCTAAATTACATCGCCCGTGGCAGGGCCCTGTCGAGGTCGTGGAGGTCCGCCGTCCGCAATGTGTCCGCATCCGGTGGGGCCGTCGTCACTGCATCGTGCGCCCGTCGCGGCTCAAGCGGGTGGTGCCGCCGGGGCTCCCTGATTCATCCCCATTTCCGGAGCGGTCGGCGATTGCTGCGTCCGACGAGCCGGGCCGCGGGGGTCGTGGTAACGCGAGCGATGCCCGTGTGTGTGTATGCCCGCAGAGCCACCGACAGTGACGCCGTCAACGGCGGGCCGTCCGGTGGGTGTCCCGGCGGCGACCCTGCCTCCCTCCAGGCCACCGCAAGCAATCGTCATCCGCCTGATGACGATTGCTTGCGTTTCGATCGAAACGTCGTGATATTTTTTATTTGTATTTCTATCTACGTGACTTTACCGATAGACCCAAAGAATGTGAATTCCTGCAGTCACGAAAGCTTTAAGTCAAGATTTAAACTGAACGATGTTTTATCTTACCCCACTGAGCTATATCGCTCTTTATGCAGAAGCGATCTGGTCACAAATGAGGGCTCAATTAAAGGGCTCATTACATGGAGATTTATAACGAAAACAGATTTTTCTAAATGTGGAGAGAGAAACTGGACGACCCGGAGGAAAATCCTCGCGACCAAGGGGAGAAAGTGCAAACTCCAAATATACAGGGTCGGGATCGAACCCACAACCCTCCTGCATCCCAGGTGAGGTAGTTAACATCTCGCCACTGTACATTCAGAAGAAGAAGGCTGAGCAATAAAACCCACACCGCCTTTTCTCCTCTCCACCGAGAACATGCAACAGAGTTTTGGAAACGCTGGTGGCTTGTGCGACCGAAAATGAGGGCAACTGGTGATTGCTGGAGGTGGGGGCTATGTGTACGTTTAGGTCACGCCCAGGAAATTTAGTGCTACAAAGATAAAGATGAAATTTTTACTTTCAACTTTCGTGACTGTAGGAATTCTCATTAACATCGCAACTTCCGTCCCCTCGTTTAGGAGGCTGCTCTTCTATCTTACAGTTACATGCTAATTTCTCACATTAGCATCACTAGCCCCGACCACTTCTTTATGACCCTTGAGCTACACCCATTTCAAACCATTTAAAAACAGTCTGCCTCAGCAGCAGACCATGCTTTCTCACCTGATGATGGACGCTTGTGTTGCGCCCGAAACGTCGTGATTTATTTTATTTTATTTTACACCTACGTGACTTTACCAAAAGAACCAAAGAGTATGGATTCCTGCAGTCACGAAAGCTTCAAATCAAGAAGGAATTCATATTCTTTGGTTCTTTCAGTAAAGTCACGGAGATATAAAAATAATATTATTTTTATTTTATTTTTATTCACTTTCTTTTTTTATTATTATTTATCTATCTACGTGACTTTACCGAAAGAACCAAATAATATAAAGATAAATATCCTCCGTATAGCTTTAACAGACTGTTGGGGCAAGTCCTGTTAGAGAGCACATATGATGGCCGGCACAACACATGAGGGGGTGGGTGGCCAGCACTACGCCTGGCCACCTTTGTCTCCCTATTAGCGATGTTTGCACACCGCACCAGGTATTAATTCGATGCCGAGTTGACCTAGGGGAGGCCCAGGATCGGCTCCAGACAATCGTCACTGGTGTTGGCCATGAGCGGGAATCGAACTTGGGTTGCCGGGTTCATAGCGCAGCTTGCCAACCGCTACACCACCGCCGCACAGAACGGACACGCGCACCACGTACAAGCTGACGTTTTACTTTACGGTGACAACGAGGTTCGGGGACGGGGAGTGGGGGGGGAGAGGCGTTAGACGCACGCTCACCTGGGGGGCCGGACGTGGGGCTGATCGATTCGATGTACGGCGTTTTCCACATTTTGGTCTGCAGGGACAGAGGCGCCGTCAATCCCCCCCGCCCCGCAGGTTCGCGTGTGCACAACGAGCACAATCCCCCTCAAGCACAACTCCCGTCTGTCACCACACGCAACTCGCTCTGTCGCATAGAAGCCAAAAGCGCGGTTGATTTTTGCCGATAACGGCATTGGCAGCGGCAGTACATTTGGAAAGAGCGGTTGCGTTTCGTCAGAGCGAGCCGACGTGTTAAACTGAGCGATGACCATTCACTCGAGACTGAATTTTATAGAATTAGCAGGGAGAAGTTTCCCCTTTGGTCGTGCCAACGACCCAAACTCTCTCCCACCGCCACTATTTCAATTAAGACGCGAGAAGAATGGCTTCTTCCAAAGCGTGAAACGGGCTCATCGTGCTACGAGACCACCAGAAAATGCGCGCGCTCGTTATGATTTTGTTTTTGTGTAGGGCATGAGGAACGGCTGTTTCCACCAGATTCTACTCTACTATTCTCGTGCATGATGGCAGCGGTAACACGTTTAGGAGCTGAATGGCAATGCCAAGGTCTGCTGGCCACGAGAGGGCTTCAGAAGAGAGAGAGTTTGTGTAGTTTTTGTATGCCTCCTCCTCAGCTGTAGGAGCCCAGACCACAGTGATTTAGTTTGGGCTGTATGGCCACAGCCGCACTCTAGATGTGTCTTTAAATTTCCATCGATGAAGGAGACATGCACATTGGTCTGCTGATTGGATGCGGTTGATGGTCCCACCGGTGTCTTCGAGGAGGAGGAATGTCAAAGCCAAGATGTGTAATGTTTGGGTTTCAAATGAGGTGTTGATTCTGGACTTCCACGTTGTTACGCTCTGTTTGCCGGCGTTTTACCAGATCTAGGTGAGATTGTAGGACGGCGACAGTGCAATTCCAGAAGAGGGATCGCAACAAATGTCAAACTAAATAGTTCATGAATTACTTTTCGCAGATGTTGGGTACGAGTAGGAGCAAAGCTTTAGGTGAGCCTAAAGTTAACTTCTTGAAAATACCAGTTCAACAAAATGAGAAGCTTATTTTAAATTCAAACAAAGATTACATTACATTATGATCTGGTGCATGTCAGTCAGGATCCAGGCTTTGGAGACAGCCGGGGGTAAACTCACGTTGAAGGTGCACTCCCATTTCTTATGAACGCCCTTGCAGATGTCCTGCTTGCGGATAGGCACCGAGTCCACGGTCACTCGCACGCTGTACTGGTCTTCCAGTAGCGGCCTACAGCAGCGGGCACGACAGGCAAGCAAGCCCCCTCTTTAGCACGTGCCATGCACAACGCAGCGTCGCGCGGATGATCGCGCGGCCAACGTTACGATTCGCAGTAAAATGTTGGCCTCGGGCACAATGACCCGACCGAATCTGTGTCGTTAAGACCCCTCCACCACCTGACACAGCCCAACAATTCGTTCTTGCTGTAAGGTCACAACACCCATTTAAGAAGCTGGGCTCGATGATGTCGCTCACTCGGACTTCCCGCATCTTGTCGTTTGCCATGGTCTCAAGTGAAACGTCGCACATCCCAATCGCTGATAAACCCGGGTTGTGAGAATCATTCAACTCTCCGGCGTGAGCTGAAATGACGACAATCGAGACGCACGCATGCGCATCGAGACGCACGCGGGCGCGACAGTTCATTTTTGCGTGGCAGTGTTCTGTTCTTTTCACGTGGTTTAGTGGTAAACCACTCAAAGACAAAGATCCCCCGTAAAGCCTGAACAGACTGTAGGGGCAAGTGCTGTTAGTGAGCACCTATAAAGGCTGGCACGGCAAATAAGGGGGTGAGTGGCCAACACCACGCCCGGCCGCCTTTGTCTCCCCAGTGGCGATGTTTACACACCGCACCAGGTACTCATTTGAGGCTGAGTCGACCTAGGGGAGGCCCAGGACCACTTCGGATCATCGTCACTGGTGTTGGCTGTGAGCGGGAATCGAACCCGGGTCGCCAGGTTTGTAGCGCAGCGCGCTAACTGCTACACACCGTTCCCCACAAACCATACACACACACTCTCACACTCACTCACTCTCACACTCACACACACACACCCTCACCACACACACTTTCACACATACTCACTCTCACACACACCCTCACACCCTAACACTCACACACACACTCTCACCACACCCTCACACCCTCACACACACTCTCACCACACACACTCTCACCACACACACTCTCACCACACACACTCTCACCACACACACTCTCACACACACACTCTCACACTCTCACACACACACACGCTCACACTCACTCACACTCACTCACTCAGACTGCCACTAAACACCGCGGCGTACCAGTGCACACCGCCGCCCATCACGGAGCAACAACGCAGGGGGTGAGGCTGGCATAAGCAGCGCGATTGAGGCCGACAGACCGTGTGTAGCAGATGATGATGTTCTCGTGGCTCGAGTCCTTCTCCACGTCACATGGCACCGCGTGCCTCCATGACACCAGGAACACGGCGTTGCCCAGCTGGGAGTCCCCGTCGCCGAAGCTCACCTGGCTCTCCTGGGCGAAACCTGTGCACTCCCGTGCCAGCCAAACGCCGTCACACTCATTGAATCTAACGACTAAAACTAAACTAATTTTATTTTACCAGGTAAGGTCCACGGAGCTATGTGGGCTCTTTTTCAGAAGCGACCCTGGTCACATACGATAGCCCGCCGAAGTGGCTTGTCACGTGGGAATTTACAGCAGCCAAACAATCTAAACGCATGTTTCTAAATGTGGATGGACAGACTTGAGCTCCTGGAGCAAAATCCACGCTACCACGGGGAGAGAGAGAGAGGGAGAGACATGCAAACTCCAAATATTCAGGTGTCAGGGTCGGGATCGAACTCACGACCTCCTGCATACCAGGCGAGGGAGTTAACATCTCCCAGCCACCGTGGCACGTCACGCCTTCACCCGGTATGTTCTGGAGCTCGGCGCGTTGACTTGATGCGCGAGGCCAGCTTGTGCAGTGTAAGCGCTTGTGCAGGTGACATAGCTGAGCGGGGTGATGATCTATGTGTGTTAAACTTCTTTCGCACAGTACGTAGCTAACCATGTTAATCGGAGGTATTGGGAAAGGACAACAAACTAAACACTCATAATAAAGTTTTTGGGTGAGATCGCGTTATTTATAAATGTGTCGTAACCCTCCACCACCCGACACGGCCAATCAGCAGAAAAAAGGCGTCACGTTGACAAAAGACAAAATAGTTCACTACTTTAGCCCCACACCGGTGTGTTGAAGAGTGAATCCACAACATTTACAATTTTTGAATACGACGTTTCGCTGGTAATTACATCCAGCATCATCGGTCAATTTGCCAGAATGGTGAAGCCCTCAATTGCTCCCGGTCTTAAATAGAGCAGCAGCAGCAGCAGGGTGACGTCATCATTACCAGCAAAACGTCGTACTCAAATATTGTAAATGTTGTGGATTCACTCTTCAACACACCGGTGGGCTAAAGTAGTGAACTAATTGTCTTTTGTCAACGTGACACATTTTTTGCTGATTGGCCGTGTCGGGTAGTGGAGGGTTATGACACATTTATAAATAACGCGATCTAACCCAAAAACGTTTTTTTGTGAATAATATTGGTCGCGAAAGCCTACGTGTTAAACAAACTAAACACTGAAAGCAGTTCTAAATAAATTAGTTTTCACCTATATTTTAAAAGTGAACAGCTCCAGTGGCTTTCTAATATCGGAAGGAAGATCGTTCCAGACGGCCGTAGGAGCGCAACTTAAAGCGTGCAATGCGGTGACCGTCTTTGTTCAATAGCCAGCCAAAAGCCGCTGCTGCTGTGAGGAAGACCGGTGTTTGCGTGGTGGTTCATGATACAGGGAGGTGGGTGAGCTTTGTGCATTTGCCGCTCGTTCCAAAGATTCCCAAGGTTCCAATTGTAGGCGAGGCTGCCCTGGCTAATGCTGCGGGCGACTCGACCGTGAAGTACCAAGGGCCATTCCGCTTCACTCGCAGTGGAAGTGAATGTCTCCGTGACATCATTCCAAGAAGAGGAGGCCAATGTGTGCCGAAGTCATGATCCACATTTTGCAGGTTTTGAAAAATTACATCGGAAAATTTTAATCGGAAACGTACGGCGATCGTCTCTCCCTTGTGAGAAAACTTAGCAGGACCCTCCTTAAAAAAAGCCTTGAGACTCCTTCAGGTTTTACTGGGTAAACAAGCATAACAATGTAATAACGTGCACTGATTACGCACCCTTCACAATGTCTCCAGGCACCATGATGACACGCAATGAAAACGATACATTACCCGGTATACTTTACCAGGGGCATGAGCAAGAGGCAGCCATTCCAGAAAGTCTGAGCATCATAACCACGCCGACCACCTCCCACCAGAAGCAACTCACCGGTGCCAGAGATGGTGAGTCGCGTGGCTCCGTTCAAACTTCCATAGCGCGGCTCTACGTCGAAGACCTGGGGCCAGGCCTGCACCACTGTGCACAGCAGCAGGTGAAACGGACACGGCATTGTGATATCGTTCCCTCTAGGATGCGAATAAAGCTTCTTGCTCAGAAGAGTTAATTTGATATCTAGCTGTGGAACCTGGCATTGACGATGTCTTGTGGCAATGGTGGCCATGGTTGATTGATGAACTCATTCACTGCAGTCACTCACTCACCGGCGATCAGCCACCTCCTTATCACTCTTCTATCGCAACTACCATGGCGGTTACTGTTCTCGTGAACGTCACTCAGTGATCCTTCCATCCATATTGGGGATTCGGTCTACCGGACACTCACTGTTTCGTCTCATTAACCACACTGTATGGAAGCAGCTACAATGCAGGTCACAAAACAATACACTTACTCACCCACCCACCCACTCAACCACCCACTCACCGCACTGCAGATAACTCACCCACCCACTCAACCACCCACTCACCACACTACAGGTAACTCACTCACCCACCCACTCAACCACCCACTCACCACACTGCAGGTAACTCACTCACCCACCCACTCAACCACCCACTCACCACACTACAGGTAACTCACTCACCCACCCACTCAACCACCCACTCACCACACTGCAGGTAACTCACCAACCCACCCACTCAACCACCCACTCACCACACTGCAGGTAACTCACTCACCCACCCACTCACCAATTCAACCACCAAAAACGCAGGTCACACGACACTTCTCTGCTTCTTCCCTCACTTCCTCGTCTCTATTCCCTAAGCTCTTACATGAAAAATATTCTTGCTCAATTCAAGTAACGTGTTGACTCTTCTCCGTTACAACTTTAAGAGTGCTGTTTGTTTACAATGTTCAAAGTGCTGTTTTGCCACTTGACATTTTGGGCATTTGGGCCTGCGCCCAGAAAAAAATAAGCACGATGATATGATACTCTTTGGTTCTATGCGGTAAAGTCACGTAGGTAAAAAAATAAAACAACAAAAATCACGACGTTTCGGCCACAACACAAGTGGCCTTCATCAGGTGAAAGGACCAGACTGTCCAGAGGACAGCGCTGGAGTGAACACAGCCAAGCTCCTTTGTCAAGGCGCTCTGTTTCCTCTCACACAGCTTAAAGGTCGTGGTCTGAGCTTGGCTGTGTTCACTCCAGCGCTGTCCTCTGGACAGTCTGGTCCCTTCACCTGATGAAGGCCACTTGTGTTGTGGCCGAAACGTCGTGATTTTTGTTTTATTTTTTACCTACGTGACTTTACCGAATAGAACCAAAGAGTATGGATCCTTGCAGTCACGAAAGCTTTAAATCTAGAAACGATGATATGAAACTTATGGCGGGATCCCGGGATCCCATAAACCCCTGGCTCTCGCATAAACATTATATTATAATGTAAACATTACTGTATATTATATATAGTATATATAATGTAAACATATTATAATGTAAACAAAAACTTTGCTCTTTTTCACCAATGGGTTTGAAGGATGGCGGCAAGTGTTGTCCTGTTAAACTATGGCTTTTAAAACTACTTGCCTGCAGTACATATATTTAAATACACTATCGAAAAAATAATTTACACCCCTCTGTCAATCATCGTGTTTCTAAGAGTGTGGATTTGTGAACACACTTTGTAAATAGTACATGAAATAGTACGTGCTTTCAATGCGCTGTTCATATTACTGTTCATATTGTAACAAGCGCTTGTACCAATGTTACTCTACAGAGTAGTGGGTCGCCGCTCCTCTTATCCGCATTGATACGAGCGGTATGTGGGGACTATGGCTTAACCGAAAAAAAACTATCTGCACAGATGCATACGGACAAGAGAAGTATTATTAAAGAGGAGGAATTAACGGTGCAACACATCTCATCTGTTAAATATCTGCAGGTAATAGGATTGTCATCGATTGATCCTGGCTGCAGACATTGGTAGGTCACAAACAATAATGAAGATAAGAGAGCAGTTTCACTGTATTATGCATACCGTTATGACAAATAAAGGACTTAAGTCGTGTAGGCAGTTTGAGCAGCTTCGGATAAGACTTATGATCCTGCCCATACCCGAGCATGGAGTGCATTCGCTTGTTCAGCTCTTCTGCTCATTCGTCCTCGCTGCGCTAGGGTACGACACGACAACAGAATGATCCGCGCCAGGTGGGTCGCAGCGTTTATGTGCGCGGTGGGACGGAGTCGCCAAAAATAAATGAATTAATTGCGATTTTGACCTCCGTTTATTCGGGATCCCACCATAAGGTTCATATCTTGCTCTTTGATATCTGATCCATGGTAAAGGTGATTCGATTGTTATGAAATACGACTTAACTTGCCGTATCGTGTGCAGCATGTAATGAGCAGAGGGAAAAGGCCGATGCCGTAATGTCGAGCGCGATATGTAATCGGCGATGTTTCGGGCTATGCCCCTTCTTATGTTTATATATTTTCAGGCCACAGTCTTGTTCGTGTTTTTGTTTTTTATTTGTTGTGGTTGCACCCGATTCAAGAGCCGAATGGCTCACAGGGCTATACCAAAATAAAAAAAATAAACTGAAAATAAACTAAAATTGTTGACGAGTGCTCCGATTGGCTTTGGTAACTGTGCCCGTGCACCGCTGCCGATGCGGCAGCATCACCAAACAATACATTTTGAAGAATAAATCAAAGAGTGGCTTTTAAATCTGGAAACTTTGCCCCGGCAACTCCACACGAGGATTGATGGACGAGGCCTCCCCGGAGGGCCGTGTGGGTGGCTCACGGGCGGCGTGCAGGAGCAGACACAGGGCCCACGCGGCCACGCACTGCACGTTCGGGCCCATTGTGTGCTTCCTGGGGCAGCTGCCGCCCTCCTCGCGGGACACGGCCGCCGCTCGGCACGCTCCTGCCGTGGACGACTTCCTCGAACGTCACGGACGTATTGCGCTTGGCGTTTCTGAGAAAAAAAACACATGTTTTCGGCATTATTCTGAGTTTGCCCAACGTGCTAGGCCACGGGTTCACTGCAGCTGTGTGGCAATCGTAACCACACTCGCTGCGGTGAAGCCAACGTTAACAAGATCTATAACTCAACGAATTGCCCAAGCAGTTTTAGACGTAAAAAAGGGCCATTTTTCTTGCTTCTCTGTCCGTCTTTCCTCACTCTGTCTATGCTGGTATGTTCAAACCAGAGGATGAACACGAAATTTAGCAATCTTCTGAAATTCGTGGTCCGCCAGGCAAGTGTCTAACTGTGTCGTTGGCCGACTGGTTTTGCATCACGTAATTTTTTCTTAGGTTTGTTGAATTCTCGTCTCTCATCTTCTTGTTGTATTTACCTCCGTGCAGTCTAACGCTCTCGATGTGTTGCGTTGATGTCACCGCCTGATGAAGATCGCTTGTGTTGCGGTCGAAACGTCGTGATTGATTTATTTTAATATGGTATTTCTACATACGTGACTTTACCGAAAAAAACCAATGAGTAATTTTATGCAGTCACGAAAGCTTTAATTCTTTATTAGTTTTAGACACTGCAAACGGTCGCATTTTGCAATTCCATTAGCGGCGTGTCTGTCCAGACGTGAAGACCATGATGTATGCAATCGATCCGAGCCCCTTCCTGTTGGTGCTCATCTCATATTTACAGCCCTGCAGAGCCAATGGTGGAGATTCCCCATTCCTATGGCAAGGGTTAGTTTATCCACAGGACACCGTTGTTGGCGTGCCGAAAAGGGACTGTAGCAGATTTCTGTCGGCGAAACTCTCCACTAACCGAACCGCGCTCTCTCCACGCATCGGGGGCCCCCTCCGTGCCACGACTCTTGATGATGTGAACTCCTCTTATCTGTAGACCTTTTACTCTTGATGATGTGAACTCCTCTTATCTGTAGACCTATTACTCTTGATGATGTGAACTCCTCTTATCTGTAGACCTATTCCTCTTGGTGATGTGAACTCCTCTTATCTGTAGACCTATTACTCTTGATGATGTGAACTCCTCTTATCTGTAGACCTATTACTCTTGATGATGTGAACTCCTCTTATCTGTAGACCTTGTACTCTTGATGATGTGAACTCCTCTTATCTGTAGATCTATTACTCTTGGTGATGTGAACTCCTCTTATCTGTAGACCTATTACTCTTGATGATGTGAACTCCTACTTATCTGTAGACCTATTATTCTTGATGATGTGAACTCCTCTTATCTGTAGACCTATTACTCTTGATGATGTGAACTCCTACTTATCTGTAGACCTATTACTCTTGATGATGTGAACTCCTCTTATCTGTAGACCTATTACTCTTGATGATGTGAACTCCTCTTATCTGTAGACCTATTACTCTTGGTGATGTGAACTGCTCTTATCTGTAGACCTATTACTCTTGATGATGTGAACTCCTCTTATCTGTAGACCTATTAATCTTGATGATGTGAACTCCTCTTATCTGTAAACCTATTACTCTTGATGATGTGAACTCCTCTTATCTGTACACCTTTTACTCTTGATGATGTGAACTCCTCTTATCTGTAGACCTATTACTCTTGATGATGTGAACTCCTCTTATCTGTAGACCTATTACTCTTGATGATGTGAACTCCTCTTATCTGTAGACCTATTACTCTTGATGATGTGAACTCCTCTTATCTGTAGACCTATTACTCTTGATGATGTGAACTCCTCTTATCTGTAGACCTATTACTCTTGATGATGTGAACTCCTCTTATCTGTAGACCTATTACTCTTGATGATGTGAACTCCTCTTATCTGTAGACCTATTACTCTTGATGATGTGAACTCCTCTTATCTGTAGACCTATTAATCTTGATGATGTGAACTCCTCTTATCTGTAGACCTATTACTCTTGATGATGTGAACTCCTACTTATCTGTAGACCTATTACTCTTGATGATGTGAACTCCTACTTATCTGTAGACCTATTACTCTTGATGATGTGAACTCCTCTTATCTGTAGACCTATTACTCTTGATGATGTGAACTCCTCATATTTGTAGACCTATTACTCTTGATGATGTGAACTCCTCTTATCTGTAGATCTATTACTCTTGGTGATGTGAACTCCTCTTATCTGTAGACCTATTACTCTTGATGATGTGAACTCCTACTTATCTGTAGACCTATTACTCTTGATGATGTGAACTCCTCTTATCTGTAGACCTATTACTCTTGATGATGTGAACTCCTACTTATCTGTAGACCTATTACTCTTGATGATGTGAACTCCTCTTATTTGTAGACCTATTACTCTTGATGATGTGAACTCCTCTTATCTGTAGACCTATTACTCTTGGTGATGTAAACTCCTCTTATCTGTAGACCTATTACTCTTTATGATGTGAACTCCTCTTATCTGTAGACCTATTACTCTTGATGATGTGAACTCCTCTTATCTGTAGACCTATTACTCTTGATGATGTGAACTCCTCTTATCTGTCGACCTATTACTCTTGATGATGTGAACTGCTCTTATCTGTAGACTAATTACTCTTGATGATGTGAACTACTCTTATCTGTAGACCTATTACTCTTGATGATGTGAACTCCTCTTATCTGTAGACCTATTACTCTTGATGATGTGAACTCCTCTTATCTGTAGACCTATTACTCTTGATGATGTGAACTCCTCTTATCTGTAGACCTATTACTCTTGGTGATGTGAACTCCTACTTATCTGTAGACCTATTACTCTTGATGATGTGAACTCATCTTATCTCTAGACCTATTACTCTTGATGATGTGAACTCCTCTTATCTGTAGACCTATTACTCTTGATGATGTGAACTCCTCTTATCTGTAGACCTATTACTCTTGATGATGTGAACTCCTCTTATCTGTAGACCTATTACTCTTGATGATGTGAACTCCTCTTATCTGTAGACCTATTACTCTTGATGATGTGAACTCCTCTTATCTGTAGACCTATTACTCTTGATGATGTGAACTCCTCTTATCTGTAGACCTATTACTCTTGATGATGTGAACTTCTCTTATCTGTAGACCTTTTACTCTTGATGATGTGAACTCCTCTTATCTGTAGACCTATTACTCTTGATGATGTGAACTCCTCTTGCCTGTAGACCTATTACTTTTGATGATGTGAACTCCTCTTATCTGTAGACCTATTACTCTTGATGATGTCAACTCCTCTTATCTGTAGACCTATTACTCTTGATGATGTGAACTCCTACTTATCTGTAGACCTATTACTCCTGATGCTGTGAACTCCTCTTATCTGTAGACCTATTACTCTTGGTGATGTGAACTCCTACTTATCTGTAGACCTATTACTCTTGATGATGTGAACTCCTCTTATCTGTAGACCTATTACTCTTGATGATGTGAACTCCTCTTGCCTGTAGACCTATTACTTTTGATGATGTGAACTCCTCTTATCTGTAGACCTATTACTCTTGATGATGTCAACTCCTCTTATCTGTAGACCTATTACTCTTGATGATGTGAACTCCTACTTATCTGTAGACCTATTACTCCTGATGCTGTGAACTCCTCTTATCTGTAGACCTATTACTCTTGATGATGTGAACTCCTCTTATCTGTAGACCTATTACTCTTGATGATGTGAACTCCTCTTATCTGTAGACCTATTACTCTTGATGATGTGAACTTCTCTTATCTGTAGACCTTTTACTCTTGATGATGTGAACTCCTCTTATCTGTAGACCTATTACTCTTGATGATGTGAACTCCTCTTATCTGTAGACCTATTACTCTTGATGATGTGAACTCCTCTTACCTGTAGACCTATTACTCTTGATGATGTGAACTCCTCTTATCTGTAGACCTATTACTCTTGATGATGTGAGCTCCTCTTATCTGTAGATCTATTACTCTTGATGATGTGAACTCCTACTTATCTGTAGACCTATTACTCTTGATGTTAACTCCTACTTATCTGTAGACCTATTACTCTTGATGATGTGAACTCCTCTTATCTGTAGACCTATTAATCTTGATGATGTGAACTCCTCTTATCTGTAGACCTATTACTCTTGATTATGTGAACTCCTCTTATCTGTAGACCTATTGCTTTTGATGATGTGAACTCCTCTAATCTGTAGACCTATTACTCTTGGTGATGTGAACTCCTCTTATCTGTAGACCTATTACTCTTGATGATGTGAACTCCTCTTATCTGTAGACCTATTACTCTTGGTGATGTGAACTCCTCTTATCTGTAGACCTATGACCTTCGACTCCTCTTATCTCTAGCCCTATGACCTTCGACTCCTCTTATCTGTAGACCTATTTACCTTCGACTCCTATTATCTGTGGGAGCTGTCGGGTCCATGGTTGTTTGCGGCCCCTATCCTCAAATTCACCAATATTCCGTAGCGTTTCCTGTCTCTCTTTCTCTAACGCCTAGCGTGGCAACAAACGTCGCGGTGACGTCGCCGCCACTTACGCCGCTGTTGTCTTATTTGTGGGGTTTTTTTTCATTTCGATGTCTGCTCAGCGCTTGCGAGGAGGCGCTGGGCTCAGGCGTGCGCGTGCCTGGACGAGCCACGTGGCTGCGAGGCACACAGCGCTCTGCTGCGGCTAAATCGCACGAGTGAACGCCGAATAGAGCGACCAGCACAGGCTGGTCGATTCATCACCCGGGACATTTTGTTGTTTACAAACTTCCACCTTGTCGTTATTGCACGTGGAGGGGGGTGGTTTTCGTAGAGGGGGTTTTTGTTGTTATTTTTTGTTCTTGTTGTTGTGTGGGAGCGTAGTTACGCACACTTCTTCAGCACCGCTTGAGCTCTTTGTTAGCACAACGCACTCGTAATCTGCAGTATTTGACGTTTGCATTTTTTTCATTCATGTCCAAGGCAGCTCAATGCGATCTCGTCAACTGTTATGAAACATGCAAAGTGGCGTTTATACAGTCGGCTAACTGTATTTCTTAGGCAGTAAAGGGCCGTCCATGAAT